GGGCTGGCGTACACCCTTACATTGCGACGGGTGGGGAACACTCGTCCCGGATCACAGAAATCTCCTCAAGGAATGACGTGCCTGTACAGACAACATGCCTGCGTACCCGAAGAGGCCCCTATCCCTGCTTCGGACCTTAAATCACAATGGCGTGAGATTTGAGGCGCTCATCCAATACGCGCACTATACGCGGTCGCCTGTCAGTGTCAACACTACCCGAGGTCAATAGACGCCGGCAACTCTATCCTAGTCGACAACGTGTGCATAGTTTTGGCTACGGACTGACTTGCAGCATGTCAGTCCCAATTTGAACATACCAGTGGTAGCCACAAAGCCAGCAAATAAACCTTGATCAAAACGATACAAAAAGGGACTGAGTCGCACTGAACAATCGTGTGTTAACCTTTGAATCTCGTCGACCACGACGATGCGCATAAAAAGCCACTATCGAGTCAATACGCGCGCTGTCCGAGGAGGGCAGGATGCTCGCCCATTGTCGTGTTGCAGGGCCCCGATAAACTTTCGCCAATCCGCACCTGTGTGGCACAGCAAAGCAATGACAGTCGTCTAACATCGAGCGTTACACAGAACCGACGGGGACGCGGGCTCTGGAGAAGCAAACATGGCCTGACTATGCGGGTCATAGCGGCCTTTCTTCGCACAAATACCGAAATCTGGCCAATTGTTAAATCTAACGCTTTTTCTTTTAGTCGCCACGCTGTACAGCTGTCAAATCGGTTTGTTTTCACCTCGGTCCGCGAAAAATAATGGATGCCACGGAATTTAGTTCACTGACACGTGTCTGAGAAAACTTCATATTCGATTCATGTCGCTGGGCATAGGGCCCGGGTATTGATTCAATGAACTCAAAACTTCCGCTTTTTGGACGGACGAGCATTCTTTGCTCGGCGATTTTCCTGCACCTTGCGGTTCTTGCGCACAGCATCCACATCTCTGAGTTCGCTCTTGGCGCCACCATCCTTCCATGCACCGACGCGCTTCTCCTTCGCTTCAGCCACCCTCTTTTTCTGGACGTGATAATCGTCGCGGTACCGATCAGCCTGCTTCGGAGCCTTCTCGGCCTTGTGCTTGTAGCGCGGGGCGTTATTGAAGGATGATGCAGACCGGTTGGGGGCTTCCATCTCGCCCACTCGAGGCATCTTGACCTTGTTTGCCTTGCGCCAGTCGTCGAAGCGACCACTGCGGAAACTGGCTGCAATCTTTTGCCCACTTTCTCCTCGAATCATCTTGGTACCCTTGGATCCATCCTCGTCGTTGGTGCGGTTTACGTATTTCTTCGACTTTTTGTCCCAACGCATCTTGGACTTGGCAGCATCCGCGAAGCCCTGAATTTCATCGTTCACAAGTGACATCTCCGCCGCCCTCGCTGCTGTGACGAAATTTGAGTTACCGGCATCTCCTCCGCTCACTCCATAGGCCTTCTCCTCCGCCATGTTCTCCTTGGGAAGATATGACATGAAGAAGTCATCGTTCTTCCAACTGTCTTGTTTTGATTTCTTCGAAGACGGTTGTGAGACGGACACCTCAAGCTCATCAGAGTCTGAGTCGTATAGACCATCAGCAACTTCAACTTCGTCTTCTTCTTCCGATGCTTCTTCATTACCGTTCGACTGTCTTGAAGGTGCTTGAAGTGGGTCGATATCGTCTCCAGCAGCCAGCTTGTTGGCGGCTTGCTTGGCTTTTTGTCGTTCGACTTGTTCACGTCTCTTGCGCATAATTTCGGCTGTCTCGCTCTGAGTGCCTCGCTTGCCGATTTCAAATACAGTCTCCGCGGGCCTGAATGATTGGATCCTAGCAAGCATATCTTCCTTCGCTTTCTGAGCATTGTGTGCATCGTCGCTGAAGAGCATGTGCGTCTCTGCAAAGTTTGGAGATGCCACCAACTCCTTAGCTCGTCCGACACTTTGTGCACTTGCCTGGTTGCGTGTTCGTTGATATTGGCGCTCACCCTTTTCGGCTACGCTTAGGAGAAGCGCTAGGTCCTCGTCGTCGGTGAGCTGTTTGTTCACGAGCTCGACTGAAGACTCCAGCTGCCACGGTGCCAAGCTTCCGACGACAAAGTCTTCTGCGTAGTTTGGTTCCTCGCTCGACCTTCCGACTAATAGTCGCTTTCCAAGGAAAAGCTGTAGATCTATGAGGTAGGGTAGATCGACATGCCTACATAAACTGTAAGCCCATCCCTTCCGTCCGGCTCGGGCTGTTCGTCCTACTCGGTGCACGAAGATCTTAGGTTGCGAAGGGAAGTCGTAGTTGATGACGTGGTTGATATGGGGCATATCCACACCCCGAGCAGCAACGTCGGTGACGACAAGTATACGGGTCAATCCCATCCGAAAGTCCTGGATCTGCTCTTTGCGAGCTGTTTGGTCAAGGTTGCCGTACACTTCTGAAGTTAGTAATAGCACGACACAATGAGATCTGGTTACGTACCATATGATACAGGATATCCTGCACCGCGAAGAAGATTGGCCAGATACTCAACTCTGTGTTTCGTCGCAGCGAAGATGATAGTGGACTCGGCGATTGGGACGTCCTTGACAAAACCGTCGCTGCGCTTCCGCTTTTTGCTGTTGGCAGCTTTTTCGGCATCTTGCTTGGCTTTCTTTGCTGCGTCAGTCTCACCTACCGGCACCTTGATGACGTTGTCGAGAAGATGAAGTAGCGCGCCATCTCTATCGCCTGACTTGATTGTGAAGTAGGCACTCTTAAGATCCGGCGAAATTTTGCTCTCAGCATCGAGACGGATGAGCTTGGGCTCTTGCAGACCTGCTCTTGCAAACTCTACGAGTGACTTTGGTAGTGTAGCACTAAACAGCAGTGTTTGCCTCGAAGCAGGAAGAGCGTGCAGGATCTCGGCCAGTTGCGCTGCGAAACCCATCTCGAACAGACGGTCGGCTTCGTCGAATACGATGTACTTCACGGAGGACAGATCGAGACCCATCTCGACCTTTAGATGCAGAAAGCGACCAGGAGTAGCGATGATGATGTCAGGGTTGGTGGTCATGGAACTGAATTCTGCAAACATGTTAGTCTCGCCTTTGTTCCAGTTGCCGCTACTCTGTTGCACATACGTTCTTCGAGACTGTCACCACCAACAAGCAGAATAGTCCTCAGATCCGTGCCGCGTCCCAACTCTTTGACAACCTTCAACGTCTGCAATGCGAGTTCTCGGGAGGGCGACATGATGATTCCTCGGGCGCCAACTTTGGCAGAATGCGCCTTGAGCTTCTGGATCATGGGTATGACGAAAGCAGCCGTCTTTCCAGAACCGGTCCTAGCCATACCCACGACGTCTTGTCCGTCCAGCATGAGCGGAACGGCCTTTCGTTGAATCGGAGTAGGTATCTTGAATCCCTTCTGCGCGATAGCTTTGAGAAGCGCTGCATTCAGGCCCATTGCCTGGAAGCCTCCACCCTTCTTGACAGACTTTCCTACGTTGGAGGCTTTGCGATTCGAGGCAGCTTGTTTTGCGGCGATAAAGGCCTCGTCGTCGGATCCGTCATCATGTCCAACATCAAGATCTATGCCCAAATCTGCGTCCAAGCCCGTCTCTTGCTGAACATCATCACCGCCAGCGAGGGCATCGAATATGTCGAACTCGGTTTCGGAGAGCGCCGGCGAGCTCGCGCGGGGAGCCATGATGGTTAGGTTGGTGGTCGGACTCGGAGGCGACGTGATGCACTTTCTCTGCCTGACGTCTGGAAGTCGCGCCTTCCCTCTGTCTTTTGGAAAATTTCGGGCACGGTCCTTCCAAAATCTTGGCGACAGGGATGAGGATGGCGCACCTAGCTGCTAGCTTCCACGTGCCCCGCGATGAGGCAGGCGCGTCCGACGCGTTTTGCCCTCACCGAACTTCTGTCATCGCGTCACCCAAACCCACGCCCACGAGATGAGTATGCCACCCAGGTCTGACCTTTCTTGTCAACCCACCAGCGCTAACTCTTGTAGGCTACAACGGCTACGAAACCTCGTACACCTCTTACGGCGCCGGCGGCGGTGCTGGCGGAGGTGGCTTTATACCAGGAGAGGGCGGTAGTACACAGAGCCCTGGCGGTCGACCAGACCGTGCCCAAGATACCCTGCGCCCTGTCACCATCAAGCAGATACTGGACGCTCAACTGGAAGCCGGCAGCAATGATGCCTTCAAAATTGACGGCACAGTAGTGTCTCAAGTAAGCGATAATTCCGTGGCCAATCTGCCTCTACTAACTGCTTAACCAGCTCACATTTGTCGGTCAAATACGCAACATATCCAACCAGACCACAAACACTACGTACAGGCTTGACGACGGCACTGGCAGTATAGAAGTCAAGCAATGGGTCGATTCCGACGCTCAAGAACAGACCAACCCTACCAAAGCGAAACTCGTCGAAGGTGCCTATTGCAGAGCATGGGGCAAGCTGAAGAGCTTCAACGACCGAAGATCTGTCGGCGCAACCGTCATCCGACCAGTCGAAGATATGAACGAAGTTTCCTTTCACCTGCTTGAAGCGACCGCCGTACACCTATACTTCACGCGCGGGCCTCCTGGCGGCGCGCAAGGCAGTGCTGCTGCTACAAATGGCTCTGTTGGACAGCAACAAGCGGCAGGCGGTGGCAGCTACGGCGGCTATGATCTTGGTGGTTACAACCAGACAGCGAAGAGGGTGTTCCAGTATCTGAGAGAAGCGCCGCAGTCCAACGAGGGTCTAAACCAGCACGAGATCGCTGCGAAACTCGGCATCGACACAGCAGAGGTTGCAAAAGCTGGTGATGATTTGCTGTCGGGTGGTCTCATCTACACGACTGTTGACGACCAGACCTGGGCCATTCTTGAGGCAGATTGAGGGCCATGTTTACAGGCGTGGGACCTGGAGTGAGCATGAGCAAGCAGAATGAGAATAAATTATGCTGGTTTAGCGACATCAGCATGAGCGTAACGATTTATTATGATACTTCATGCACTGTGTTGAAACCATTCAAGATCCCCGATAATTCTCTACCTTCTCTTTTCTGCGTTGGTTGAAAGCAACAGTATGCATGTTGCAACGATGGCACTTGATACCACCGTGAATACGACTTGCGTCTTCCATCCCGTTTGTACCAATGCTCGCCGCTGACTATACCGTGAGATCGTATGAATGTAGTTTGACAACCCTGATAGCAGACATGCCATAGAGAGTAGCCAAAAGATGATGCCCAGAGGTAGTGCGAAACGCTTTTCTGTGACGCATGGTAAGCACTCTGTAGAGACAGTTTTGTTGCCAACTTACCCAGTGGGGTGGGTTCCGACTTGAGGTGAAACGAGAGGACGATGGCTACAGACACAATGGCCATATACACACTAAGCTTCAGCCAGGAAAGAAAAGCTGCGCAATCTGTCAGTCGTGGGACGGTCTCGCACTTCTTTTGGTTTGACATACTTCGTTCATTCGCAGCATGGTCCCTTGCATCCGACGACACGTTATCGAACAGCAGTACACCAAACCACGGCCTCTCTCTGAAGGCTACTCGGTCGTAATCATTATTCCTATAAATGATGTGTCAGAACCAGGCAAGGACTACACTAGATCAGGAAGAGGTACTGTTTTACTAAGATGGGCTGACCTCCGAAGATGTGGTAGAACGGTCGGTACGGTTTGGCTAATATGGACTCATCTGCATCGCCCATACGCGAAGCGGGTCGGAAGTCCATGCTTTCTAGAGTAGTGCAGGAACCCACTAATCGTTGTGATGAGAACGCGCTATAGTTAGTGTATGAGGATGCTCCCGGATGAATGAATGTGTTTGGATCGTCGGCCGCACGGGCCTCATCATGAGGTCACTACTTGATTTGGACACCTCTAGGGTTTGTTTGAGTCGACACCATCCACACAACAATTGCACACTTCACTTTGCAAAGATGGCTAAAGAAAATGAACTGGTTTTGTTCGGTGGTGAAAAGTAAGATATATTGACAATGCTTTGTTGAGTTTGGAACTAACAAAATCGCATGCAGAGGCTGGAAAGCTTCGGATTGGACGGATAGTGATGACCGAGTAAGAGGAGGCGCATCTCAGGTAATCCCACATACCCTCTGTTAAGGCAAACAATCCAGAATCTAACATACGGTAACCAGTCTTACCTTACCATTACTGGATCATCAGCACGTTTCCATGGCAATCTCGACATCACCGCCCTTGGCGGTGCCGGCTTTGCCAGTCAACGCACTACCGGAGAGGATCATACCTGGGACCTCTCTGCTTACGACGGCATCTATCTCGATATCGGAAAGCACGACGGCAAGAAGTACACGCTGACCCTCAAGGACGAGATTCTTCCCCTTATGCCAGATGGACGAGAACAGTCGACTATCAGTTACGAGTATGACTTTGAATCACAGAGCGAACTTGGTCTGTTTGTGCCGTGGCGTGCAATGAAGCCCACGTATCGTGGTAAAGAGAAGAATGATGCGAAGCCATTGGATCTGAAGAATGTCAAGCGGTTTAGCATCATGATGAGAAGGTAACATTGTCCATCACCAGAGCGTGTAGCTGCAATACTTAACAGCAGGCAGTTTCTTCGGTACTCAGGAAGGCGATTTCTCGCTCACTATCAGTTCGGTCAAAGCTGTTGCACAACCAGACGATATCGAGAAAGGCATCATCGGCAGTGAAAAGGGCACGGGTGTAAGACTTTAAATAATTCACCGTGCTGGCTGGCAGCTAACGCATATGGCAGGTGCAAGAGCCTTGGTCCTGGAAGAACTCAAATATCGTTGGTTTAGCAGTCATTTTGGGTTCGACATGGGCTATCTCATGGGGATATTGCTGGTGGAAAGGGTATGATATGGGTATTATGAGGTTCGGAAGGTGGTGGTCTGTCGTGAAGGATTGAAGAGTCAAGCCAAGAAGCACGCTGTTTGGTGCTTAAAACCTATGGCGTGGGCAGCATGTCGGTTTGATCAATGAAACAGCCGTATCCTCGAATAAAGCAATATATTTTGTCCGACGAAGATCCCTGCATCGAATCCTATCACAAAATATCACGGATAAGAGTTTATCTCTTCATATGTACTCACCGGATCTGTTTGCGACGTGATCTGGCTTACGCAATTCTGTTGAAGGCCAGAAAGAAGTCTGAATAAATGATAACAGTAGGAATTTGCGATTCACAACAGGATGTTGCTATCGCGAAGATGTACCGGAACCGGACGGGAGTGGGTGATGCAAGACCCCGTCCTATCCTGCCAGCATCAAGCTCTCATACAGATTGCATTGAATTGATCGTATGGTCGGAAAATTCCGTACAGCGTTTGCCATCGTTCTTGCTCGTCGGTAATTTGTGCAGCGCTAGGGCCTGTGTTCGTCAGCTCAGGTACATGGAGGAGTGCTTGGCTTTATGTTCGTGGGAGCATTTTGAGTAAGCGTCCGTAAGCATATCCTGCATGCACACTGCACAGTGAACAAGTGCCAAAGAATCGCCTAAACTAACAGTTCCTACAGTCGACGGGAACGTTGAAGCTTGACGTTTATTGGCGTAGAGTGATAAGAACACGCAAGAAACGTCCCGCGGACTTGGGATGCTTGACTCGGCTAGGGCGACCCGCATTCAGGGTGAGCTCCTTCCTGCATCACAATTTGTCTCCACGTCGCAACGGATAAGAGTTCCTATAGCGACGCTGCAGTGTTGTAGAAACACCATAGTCTAACCCAAGGGAGACGTTTAAATCACACGTCTACAATTCGTCCTGGAGGCTGCGGTTGGTGACCATTTTCGCCGTTCCAGCGATCACATCTCCAATCACCAATTTCTCCGCTGCCAAGTCTCAAACCATGGCTAGGCCTTACCGATTTCGTCGCTGATGGGCAAACCTCCGCTCGCGGAAATTCTTTAGGTACCGTCCAGGACCGCAAGGTGGAGAGGCTGAGACGCTACGAGGCTGCATGAACATGGATTTTGATTGCAGCAACTGCAGTAGTGGCGGGCGTGGGGAGAAGATGGACGACGACCACGGACGCAGCGCAATGCGTATAAAGAGCGACAGGAGTACAGCGCCAAATAGAGTATTCGCAAGTGTTTCAATTCGTCTCCTCAGGGTCCCCGATTTGTTTGCGATATTCCCACCTTGTCCATAACACCGCTTCGCAACCATGCATCTTCCGGCTCTCACTCTGGCCTTGGCTGGCACAGCACTTGCGGCGAAGAACACCACCAGGCCGTATTCGACATGGATGGCTTCTTCCTTTTTGTCGAAGAGCCAGTACATGGATAACCACTATGTTGCCTCGGTCATCCATGAGGGCATCCAGAAGGCCGCCTCAACACAAAACGACTCCTCTCTGCTAGCGTATGCCTCTGAGGCCGTCTCGTCGGTCGTTTCCTCCAACGGCACCATCAAGGGTTGGAACTCGACCTTCTACTCATTGGATGACATCCGGGTTGGCAACAACATCCTTTACTTCTGGAACTCGGAAGGGCGCAAGGACGACAAGTACGTTGTTGCTGCTAAGGGTCTCCGTGAGCAGCTGGACCGATGGCCGCGCACCCCCACAGGCGGGTTCTGGCACAGGGCCCCTGTCTATGCGAACCAAATGTGGTTAGATGGCATCTACATGGCTGATACCTTCTATGCTACCTACACATCATACTTCGAGCCCGACAACACAACAGCGTGGAACGACATCGAGTTGCAGTTCGACCTCATCGAGGAGCACTGCCGAAACACAACGACCAACCTCCTGTACCACGGCTACAGCGAAGACAAGTCGACTGTATGGGCTGACCCGGAGACCGGTGCTTCACCATACGTCTGGGACCGTGCTCTGGGATGGTACTTCGTTGCGCTCGTTGAGGTCCTAGAGGTCTTCCCCAAGACACACGCCGGCTACTCCAAGCTCGTTGACTACTTCGTCACACTTGCCTCCGGTATCAAGGACGTTCAAGACACCAGCGGCGGATGGTGGCTCCTCATGGACCCTGAGCTTGCTGGAAAGGAAGGAAACTACATCGAGTCGAGTGCAACCGCCATGTTTACTTACGCATACATGAAGGGTGTCAGGCTCGGTTTGTTGGAGAAGTCGTACCAGGAGACGGCATCCAAGGCGTGGGATCTGATGTTGGATGACTTCATCCAGTACGAGAAGAACGGCACCATAAGCTTTACCGGCACGGTTACTGTGGGAAGTCTGAAGGGCGATGCGTCTTACGAGTACTACACTGGTGTTGAGACCTTGATCAACGATGGCAAGGGCGCTGGTGCGTTCATGTACGCCGCCACCGAGATGGAGAAGGCTGGACTGGAGTAGGAAAAGGATGTTTAGAACATTAATGTATATATTTCCAATCAAATTCCAAGTGAGAAATATCTTTGAAGTTAACTTTGTCTTTGGTTTAGTAAACATATTGTCTCGGTGCCGTTACCACATGCGGCGCTATCCTCATCAAGCCAGCGCGCGCGCCCTCACTAATCCAAAAAAAAAACTGGCAAACCACACCAACCATGTCACGCAAAAAGACAACCTCTACTCAGACGGCCGTTGGTCTTCGTATTATATGCCACTTCGAACAGTGAGACATCTGCCTGCAGCATTATGGTCATTCGGCAAGCAGCTGCCGACAGGCCCGTCATGGTTGCCAAAAATAAAGCTTGGAAACAGGTCCCCCGAGCAACCATGTGGAGCTACGAGCCACGCCCCGAGCAACCGTCACAGCCTCAGATCAACAGTTGGGCCATGAGCGACAGGGTCGCTGGCGTGATGGATCTTGCTGGAATTGTCGGTGACGTTGCGCTAAGTCATGGCATTGCCTTTGCGTATATTTCTTGACCGTTGGATCGTCCCTGCTATTTTGCTACACCACTAACCTCCGACTACTTACTTTACAGCAAAAAGAAGTATCTCACAGTCGCTGTTAGACTACTAACAAAGTCTACGTCTATAGCCGATGTAAGTCTTTCGAATGGGTATATCCAATGCCATCCTAACCACCGCACAGAAACCTCTAATCGCAAACCTCACAATGTCCGCCGTATCCTCTGCCGCCTCTCCCAGCGCTACGGGTGCCTCGTGCACAACCGCCGACTTCACGCAATTCCCCACCCAAGATGTCTTCTGCGCCGTCGGCAGCACAACTGGCATCCCCTCCAACACATCCGACGCACTCTCGCAATGCTGCAAGGACGCACCTGTCGAAGAATTCAACGGCTCATGCGGATACTACTGTCTCAGCTACGACCAGACTGTTGCTGATCTTCAGTCTTGCTTTATGGACAAGGGCGTGAACCCCAGCCAGATCTTTTGTTCGGGAAACCAGACGTCGAGCGCAACAGGCACACCTAGCGGAAGCGGAACCGCAAGTCGGACGTCTGGTGGCAGTGGACTAGATGCTACGAGCTCGGGTTCGTCGGATAGCACTGGTGCTGCGGCGCCGATGGGCGTAAGCAAGGCCGGTTTGGGTATGCTAGGTATGTTTGTTGTATCGGCTTTCGCTGGTGCGTTGTTGTAAAAGATGGGAGGTTCACCACGGATGGAGTATATAACTTTGTGGACCTAGCAAGGGTGGAGATTACTTTACGTTTTTGATTCAAGCATAATACCACCTACTTTCTTACTATTTACACTGCATGTCTTTCAAGTGTATCCATCTTATCACTCGCTCTACACGATATAATCTGACCTTTCGAATATGCTGGTTCTCGCTAGATATGCCTTGGATAGGGAATCTCGCGTACTTTTCATGGAATGGATATGCGCATGCATTGGCTGTCGGTATATCGGCATACCACCTCGCCTTACGATTGGACTCAACGAATATTGCGCATTCGAAAACAGGCTATGCGTGCCTCTTTCATACCGATATAATGGTAACGTGAGCTACCCCGCCCGACACATGTACAAAAAGCGCGCGCGCGCAGGAGACGACGATTGTATGTCTGACATAGAAGGCTACGAATTTATATGATAAGATCCAGATTTCGTTCAGTCTAATCCATTAGTGACATCACACTGTTCTTGGACGAGGTTTGAAGTCATGGCTGCTCTAACTGCGGTTCTCATCACTTTCGTAGTAGTCGGACTATACTACCTCACCAAGATAGGTCGCCGAGAATCAGGATTACCACCTGGTATCGTTGTAACACACCATCTCTCGTTCCAACATTGACTCTTCTAGGCCCACCGACCCTCCCCCTCCTCGGCAATATCCTGTCCATACCAACGAAAAACGCGCACTTCCAATTCACGGCATGGAGAAAGCAATATGGCGGCATCTACAGCCTCAAACTCTTCCACGCCACAACCATTGTGCTCAGCGACCGCCGCTTGGTCCGCGAACTCATTGACAAGCGGGGCGCAATATACAACAGCCGACCACCTTTCTTCGTCGCGGAGCGCTACGTTGCCCGAGATCCAGCGAATATACCCTTGGTCGTTTTCATGCCCTCGGGAGATAAATGGAGGCTTTGCCGAAAGTTACTGGCACAGTGTTTCAACGAAGCGAAAGTAGAGAAAGAGTATGTTGGCATCGTGGAAGCGGAAAGGTAAATGTCCCTGCACGAACTGCAGCTGAGACATAAACTGACTTCGTACACCCACCCATATTTAGTAGGCAGATGGTGCACGATTTTTGGAAGGAACCAGAAGAGTTTATGATGCATACTTTGCGTTTTTCTAATAGTGTCATCAAGAGTTTGGTGTATGGGACGGGCACTAGACATGCAGACGAACTGAAGGAGTATACGATCATCTTTGAGAAGTATGTTGAGTTGCTTGAGGTTGGTGCAATACCGCCTGTAGACTTGTTGCCCTGGTTGGAATATGTCCCACAGTGGATGTGGCGGGGGCGGTGGAAGAATTGGAAAGACAAGGGTGATGAGAGTGGGAGGGCAGTTAATGCTGCTTTTACGAAGATGGCGGAGCCGGTGCTCGAGAGGAGAAGACGTGGTATACATGCCAGTTCTGTTTACGACTTTGTGTTGGATGAGGGTGAAAAGGGTATTGATCTGACGAGAAGAGACTTGGATGTCTTCGCGGGGTCGTTGATTGATGCTGGGAGTGATACCACGGCGTCGGCTATACGGGTTTTCATACAGGCAATGGTCAAGTATCCAGATGTTCAAGAAAGAGCACATGCGCGTGTTGACGAGGTGGTTGGAAGCACAAGATCACCGGTATGGAGCGATGTCGCAGATCTACCGTATGTCGTTCAGATCATCAAGGAGGTAATGCGATGGAGGCCATTAGCGGCCATTATGCCACATCACACTACTGCTGGTATGCCTCTCCTGGCGCAATGAGTATACCGAGGATTGCTAAAGCAAAACAGATGATACGATCGACGGCTACTTCATCCCCAAAGATACCACAGTCCTCATCAATGTCTGGGACTTGAATCGCTCACCAGCTGACGTCGATACCTGCGAATCACCAATGTCAGACTTCGACCCCGATCGATACGCATCACGCACTCATCCCGCATCTCACTACGCAGCATCTCCTAACTTCACTTCGCGGGACCACTACACCTACGGTGTTGGTCGTCGTATATGTCCCGGTATCCATCTTGCCGAGCGCAGTCTGTTCACTGCTATTGTGAAGCTCCTTTGGGCTTTCGAGTTCAAGGAAAAGCCAGGGAAGCCGGTGGATGTTGACCCTGAAACGGGGTTTATGGACGGTATTGTGAGGACCCCGAAGAATTTTGAATGTGAGATTAGGGTCCGGGGGGAAAGGAAGGGAATTCTTGAGAAGGAGTTTGTGGAGGCGAGGGAGGTGTTGGGCGAGTATGAGGTTTGAGGCAGTGGTGGTGTATCACACCTCGATACCATATACAGAATCTCCGGATGGAAGAATCATCTCACGAGGGGATTGCTCATATTGCGTTGCAGCACGAATATGACTACACTTTTGACATCATGCTCTTTGAAATCTTTGCCCACCCCACTTGGTGATGAAGCACATCGTCCAGGATTCCTTTGTGCATGACAGTTCAATAGATCTATATGCTCATCGCACTTGTAGCGGTTGAGGATGTGCGTGGTCGTAGCTCTCCAAAGAGACTGCTGTGCAGCTGCACTCAGCATGCACCTTCCACACCAAGAAGGGTCATGTCGCCTGCCTGCTCACACATTATCTTAGTGCAAAGTTAACTGGAATTCATAATACTGTGTTCTTCTTCCAACTTCTTACCCAATTAACAACTCGAATCAATGTGAACATATCTTCCCATCGCTAAGATTATCACATTATGTCACGCACTTCCGACCGTTGTCAACACGTACAAAAGAAATCCATCATAATAGCACGTCGCTGGTCTCACAAATTGTGTCGCTATTGGAGGTTGGGATATGTGTCTCCAGTACCGACAGCTCCAGCATCAACGGCTCCAGCACCAACATCTCCAGTACCAACATCCGTAGTACCAACGTCTCAACCATCAATGTCTCCAGCAGCAACATCCCAAACATCTACGTCTCAAACATCAACGTATCCAAACACTCCATCCTCCTCTAAAGTTGAGACACCACCGATGAAGAGGCAATTTAGGTCTCCGAAAAGTGAATTCGGGTCTTCAAAGAGCGAATCCGATTCTCCGCAGAGTATGAAGGGGCAGCTGTTTGTTATTTCTGGGGCAACGTCAGATGTTGGGTGTGCAACAGCTAGATTGCTGGTTGCAAGCGGAGCGAAGGTTGAACTTGGGGATATCAAACTAATAGCATTGGCGGAGCTTTCGAATGAACTCAGACCGAATGCGAAGTGGACAATGGTGGATGTTACAGACGAGAGAGCCGTAGACAACTGGCTGACACATGCCCCTACAAGATGGGGAATGGAGTTTATCGATGGTATGTGGGCGTTGTGCCCCCGTCTTCCAAGGCATGAACATGCCTACCGAAATCGAGGTCTGTATCTGTACTTTGGCTGACAAGAAAACAATGCAGGCGCAGTAAACCTCGCAGCTACCTCAGGTAAAGCCGCCATTGCAAGAGATCACGACCATCACAGCTATAGGGACGTCTTCGCAGTCAACGTTGAAGGAACGTTCAACTGCATGTCTGCCGGGCTCCGCAACATGCGTTCCGCAAGTGAGGGTGTAAAGGGTGGATCAATCGTAAATGCAGCATCGACAGCGGGACTGGTCGGCAAACAAGGCAAATCGGTCTATTGCGCGTCAAAACATGCGGTCATTGGACTTACGAAAGCTGCTGCAAGGGAGGAGGCCAAATCTGGCATTCGGATCAATGCTATCGCACCGTAAGTGCTGTGTACAGCCTATCACAAGCACTACTTCTCTTCCTCTACATCCCTTGCATATGCACTCGTACTGTTGGAGGACAGCCGGTCGTTAACACTGTATTAGAAGCTTTGTAGACACACCCTACATGGACGCCTTCGATATTGAACATGGCCTCGGACTCCCTAACAGCGCCGTGCTCGGCCGCCGCCCCAGCCCCGAACAAGCCGCAAAAGTCATTCGATTCCTGCTTAGCAGCGACGCGAGCTTCGTCACTGGTTCAGTCTGGCAGGTCGACGGCGGCGCATTGTGTTGAGTTGAGATAAGGAAAAAAGAACTGCGGGGGCGAACTGGTGTTGCAGAAGCGATGGTGGGTAAGAAACAGGCCATTACACGCTCTCTGGGGTTAGTTTGAGATTTGATGAGTGTGTGTGTGTGGAGAATGCCGCATTGAGAAGACGACGATGTCGGAAGCGAAACAAGCTTATGTACTTGCCGAGCTGTCATACGTTTTTCTTCTCAGCCTTACAAAAAGAAATTCCATCTCATCGTTAAGCTGGTACACATGCCGGAAACCTGTACCAAGTTTGGAAGAAACAACCGTTATCAACGTAAACGCAAGCCTCGCACGTATTGTATGCACTATTCTGGGAAGGATAGCAGCAATTTGTTTTCCTTAGATGCACAGAAACGGTGGAGAACTGATTGTTGGCTCTGGTTTGCTTTTTGCGATATCGACAAGTGGGCGCGTCGACACTCTCGATGATGATGACATGGCTGTAGAATGCACGTCGCTTGCGGACAGTTGTTAGATACCGGTAGTGCCCCTTATGTCGCAACAAGTGCCGCTGCGAGACCCTGCTGACCGGGCAGCGATCGGCACCCCAGCCGTGCAGCTTGCGAATACGCGGCTCGGAAGGTGAAGCGCTAACCTTAGAGTTCGTAGATCACTTTCGCTGCTACTTTCAGGCAAACAAGGCTAGAAGGGAAAAACAAGAAAGTAGCGAGTAGATCTCGGAATACTGTTTGGTGTGTCGCTGGGTTTCAGTGCCTTGGAAAAAGTTATGTGTCGTTACTTCTTCTCGCCTCAGCGAAGTTGAAAGAGGGTTGTAGCAAAGGTTGGTTGGGCTAGTATCAATGCCGCTGTCCCGAAGCAAGTGTTGAGCGAAAGCGTTGACCCGACCCAGAGTTTGTGAACCAAAACTGATGCCACCTCATGCACGGATGATGTACCCGCCTAAGGACAGTGCTTAGAATAATTTTGTCAGTAGTCGGCGAGAGCAAGAAGTATGATTTCGAAATAACGGCAAACGGCATTAGGTTGTACCCATTTCAAATGACTCGTAATAATTCATTTCGTAAGCGCGAAACTCTAATTCACAGAAACTTTCCCCTGCCAATCACAACAGCTATTATCTCCCCATCGACCTAAAAACCTTCTCGCGGCGAGGATTTGTGGGCAAGGCTTGTATAACAACGGAGTTGAGCTCGCGATTGGATCCATTCGAGCCCATCCGGTCGTGGTACTTCCAATCCGACTCCGTGCTTCGAATAGAAATCGCGTCATGAGATTTCGGCGTGTGTGTTCCCCGCACGCGATCTGCGAGGTTCTGCGATGCGGAGATGAACCAGGGGAGTCTGCCGGCGGGTTTGACTGGGGTTGTTTGTTAGCGGCTGGTATCGATGATGGGTGTTTAGGGGAAAGTGCAGCGAGAAGGCTCGGAGATGTGATGAACTTACTAGTCCAGTATTCGCGATGATCCTCGTCGTCGGGAACAATGTAGCCGCCTGAGATAAGCTTTGTCAAGTAAATCATGCCATTGAGTGCGGTGTAAACCATCAAGCCCGCAATGAGACCGTAAGCTGCGCTGTATCCAAATGGGATAAACATTACGGTTACGAAGGCTGGGACCGCATCGCCGATGTATCGCCAATTGATAGAGGATATTTGTCGCATCATGAGGCAACCAACCTATATCGTTGTCAATGATAAGATTTCAAGGGTTGATATCAGGCGACTTACGAGAACCAAGGTGCTTCCAGTAGCCCATGGCGGTATCGAAGCAAATATAGGCGCGAAGAACATAGATATGAGGAAACAGACACCACATGTCATGGCAGTCAATCCGGTCTTTCCGCCCTCTGCAATCCCCGCGCCACTCTCGATAAAGGCCGTGACAGGTGAACAGCCGAGGAGTGCACCCATAGAGATACAGAAAGCGTCGGTACAATAAGCGATCGTTGAGCGGGGGAAGTCTCCAGTCTCCGCGTCCACCACACCAGAGAAACGCGCCATGGAATAGAGTGTAGCCGTGCAGTCGATGATGTCGACGTAGAGGAAGGTGAATAGAGCGAGGGCGAAGTGGCCAGGTGCTCGATTAACGTCCCAGTCCAGAGCGTTCAAAGTGCGATTGATGGGGTGGAAGTCAACCACCTTCTTAAAGAATTCGAAGCGGTTGTCGCCGATCTCAGTGTAGGGGAAGAACGTAACCGATGTGCCTCGAGGCCATGAGATGATTGACACAAGTAGGATAGCCAAAATCATGGCACTCTTGACCTTGTATGTCATCAAGTAAGCTGTTAGGATACCACCGCACATGATACCTAGCCACATCTGCAAGGAATGTTAGCATTATCTTATGAGATAACGACACATGACCTACAGTAGGTGAAGTCATCTTATGGCTTGTACATGAGCCAAATTCATCTTTGTACTGATCTGCACACCCCGCTATGTCAAGTGGGGTACTCTTTGAGCCCGCAATCGCACCGATACCCGCATTAGAGCTCAGTCCAACCTCTGCCAGAAACAGTCCTATACCACACGCTGCGGCAATCTTGAGTGATACTGGTATGACCTTGACAAGCCATTGTCGCATGCCAATCAAAGACAAGAATATGAAGATGAAGCCTTCAGCAAATACCGCAGTGAGCGCGAGATTGTAAGAGATGAGGCCGCTGCCATGGAAGCCGACAATCTGGTAAGCGAAGTATGCGTTGAGGCCCATGCCTGGTGCTAGACAAACGGGCATGTTGGTGAGGAATCCAAAGAGGAATGAGCTGAAGCCTGCTACGGCCGCTGTTGCAGTGATGAGGTTACGATTCAACTCTGAGCTTGGATCAGCGGAAGTTGTTGAGAATTCAGAAAGTTCTTACCCTGCTTGCAAATGAGGTATTCGGTGTTCGTCAAACACATAGGGTCTGTAGCATCATTACACACGCAGTTGCCGCCTGTATCAGCTAGGATAGTAGCCTGGAATCATTAATACGTCGAAGGACATAAAAACTTTGAGAGCTTTACATTGACTGCGATGATGTATGCCATTGTGAAGAAGGATGTAAGTCCCGCCCGCACTTCAGTAGTGAACTTCGTGTGCAGGATCTCATCTTTCTGTCAAGACTGTCAGCCATGCTCGAGGTCGCTAGCATTCTCTCTTGTAAAACTTACATGCCCACAGCCGTGGAGACGAAATATCCTTCCGAACGTCGACCGGCCGATGTAGACGTTGAACGAGCGGATTGAGGAACGGATGGACTCCATGTTTGCAGACGTGAAGATGGCCACCAGTTGGGGGTTTCAATGCTCGGTAGATAAAGAGGGAGGGATCTACAACAAATAGCCCTGCGTCGACTATATTTGTGTCACACACGTCCGGTATAAGCAAACATGAACGACTCGGAACGAAAAGGTATATGGTATGGAGCAATCGCAAATGCGATCAGCTATAGTGGCGCCATAAGCAATGGTCCTGCAGGAATGCTATAGGAAGTATGAAGGGTAGGGCGAACTGTGCTAAACACCAAAAGACACGCACGAAGCGAAGTGACCTGTAGCGTAAGGGATGGGCGGGGAATGCTAAGGGTATGCATAGCGCGCAACAAGGTAAAAAGCACGCCCTAATAAGCTTTTGGATAAACTGACGGCATGACCATGTGGGACGGCCGCCTCAAGCGTAGCACAAGTCAATTGTATGGCGGCAGGAGCGTTGTCGTGCAGCTGAAGCGGATAATCTTGGTGCGTACTCGAGGGTGGGCAGTCTAGCCTCGTGCTATGGTGGCTTAACGGAAGCGAGTCAGGGGCCGAGGAGGTTAGTTTACGCTAGTCAGGTACATCATATGTAGATCAGGCTGGGTCATGACTGGTCGGAATGTTATGTTTGGTGCCCCTCCCGCATCTGCAGCAAAATGACGGGGCGACTAAAGGTTTTAGTAGAACCTTCTGCTCACCCTTGCTGCTTCCTTCTGACAACACTGACAACAGTCATGCGCATATGGCTAACTGTTCATGCCGCCAATTCGGTTCCGCGGCCTTGCAGCTTGTTCTGTCCATGGCACCGGTGTTCCCGTTTAACCCTATAATCTTGATCAGATGGATCAGCGCGCGGTGATCGCCATCATAGTCAGTTTTTCAATTCGTAGCGGGTGCAAGTCAAGGTTGGCGGCATCATATCGGTTATTCTCCCTAGCAGCCGTCATGCTGGCATGTGCGAATGGCAGCCAGCCACAAGCGTTTCCTGCAGAACCTTGGGCGGAAACACCGAGGGGAGGAAAAGAGAGCCTGATAAGCTGGCCAGTCGCAATTGCTGCAGGACCCGAATATTTGCTTCTTCGGGGAGGATCCGAATCAAGATGCGGTTGCTTTGCACGCTCATACCACGTGTAGCCGTATCTCTCTCCAACAGTTTGGTCGACGACCCGAAAGTTCACGGTGCGCTGAGCGACTTTGCGCTGTGCATCGAAGCACAACAGAGGAGCGTTAGCGCATGTGTTCGGATCAGGGAAGCCCTGATAGTAGTCTTAAAAGGTCAATAACGCCACGGTCCGAGTGGTGCGACAGTGTTTCGATGCCGCGGAAACAAGGGACCGTTGCGTAACTCGCTTTACGGTTGTGCCACGATCCACCCAGGTGCTTGACTACTTTTCCGTCCAAAGGTGTGACTAGTCTGGAGTGTTTGATAGCCTTCAGGCGGTCATTCGTTCCCACTCCTTGGATCATCGACTTATAGTGGCCCCGCTGCACCCCGCTAGACTCGCCACTGTAATCGAACATGTTCGCGACAGACTTACCACTGGACAGAGAGGCGGAATCCGTTGGAGCGCGGAGGGAACGAAAGACCAAAGAGCGATCCGTTAGGTCAAATTCCATCAACACTTCACGAACGTCCATCAGTTCGACAAACTCCGGCTCCACCGACCGTGAGCTATGGTGGTCGTCGGGCCTGAAGAAGGCGAAGAGCATGAAGCCAAAGATACTACGGCCATCGAATGGATGGACTGCAAACTCACAAAGAACAGCCATTACAGTGACAACTGAGGTAGACCTGACCCACACGCACAGTCTTAAGGATCCTGAGCTGCAACCTGGCTGGACGTACACAGGTTCTCTTTCTGCGACACTTCCATCCGGAGATCCTCTGCATCCGCGTCAAGATGAAGTACCAGAGCTGGAAGGTGATATTTCATCTCGAAACACAGGTTCCACCAGGTCGCGCATCTCGCGTAAGTCGTCAAGCGTTAGCGCGATGTGGGTGTGTACTGATGACATGCAACAGATGACCGACAGCGCGAGGTGAGAACTCCTACCATAGTCGATAACAGCGATGATGCAACGCAAGCAAGCCGCATCAGTCCCAGCTCTTTCGTGACGAGCAGAACTCGTGCCAGCTCTGCGACCCCTGAAAATGAGTATGCTATACCAATGTCAATGCCAGAAGCAAAGAGGGTTGACAGTGCGTGAGTAATATTCCTACCAAGATTCGAGTTTATGCTTACTGTTCGTAGATGGCCACAGCCCATTGAGACTGAAGCAAGTCTCAAATTCGAAGCATTGGAGCTGCATGATAGCTTCCAAGAGGAGAAAACACAGGAAGACGCAAGGCATGTTTCGAAAGTGAACAGTGGTGCGAATTTGGAAGTCCCCTGCAAGCCTCTCTCGCAATGGCAGTGTCTCACCCCAAGAGGGGTACCTTCGGAGATGCAGTTACAGTCGCGTCCGACTCTTAAGAAAGCCGCAGTCGCCCGCAGTACGTCACCGGAGCTTACTCGATTCCAGCGCTTCATACGCAGAATGGAGGGTGCCGGGCCCAAGGTCATCCTGGACCGACTGAAGGAAGATTGGCAATGGAGTACATGTGGTGGTGTCGACGAGGAGGTTCGTGGCAATGCTACGGGTTTTCGCGTATCTTTTGCTAATGGTTGAACAGTTGGTCCTTGAGAAACAACTATGGCTGTTGACGGGTTTCCAAATGCTGAATCTGGGTCTGGAACGGACCTTGCCGCAGCCCGAATGCAACACCGGGAAGATCCTTGAATTGTATGGAAATCTCTGTAAGTCGATGTTGTGCCCTTGCGTCACGCTGTCGTGCAAGCTCTAACGGTCGACGTCAGCTGAGGTATACCAACTGTCGGCTATGCATCCGTCCCAAACAGTGCATTTCCTCACCATCAAACCCCCCCGTCCTGTTCAGCTACCGGGCAATGTATCGTACCTGACGGTACGAAAGCTTGGTGCCGTTCCACTGCCTTACCCAGAAGACTACTTCTCGCATATAAGAGCATCGACGTTGCCATCACTGGTACCATCCGCCAGATTACCAGAACTATTCAGCGAATGTCACAAGCTGCTCGCTCCCGGTGGCTTCTTAGAAATCAGGATCATGGACGCCGCCCCTGTACGCAAGACCACCGGCCCGTTAATGCGAACTTGGATCGAGGATAGACTCTCCGTTAACCTAGAGCGAGACTTCAGATGCTCGAAGCCATGTTCGTTAGTCCCCAGTTGGCTAACAGCTGCCGGGTTTGAGATGCTCGTTCAAGAGAACGATCAGAACATGATGCTACCGTGCGCTCTCGATTCGGATGCAGCCAACGTAAACGAAGAGCTTTCGATGATCATCGGCCGAGCTTTCTGGAAGGACATTTGGGGCAGCTTTGTAGACGACGCTCAAGACGAACCGAAGTGGTGGTGGGAAGATGAAGAGATTGTTCAAGAGTGCGTAACGCGCCAGACTTTACTTGAGTGCAGGACTATCTTCGCGTATAAGCGATGAGTGCTCTGGCTCATGGCACGATGGTTGGTGCAATATATTAATACGGAGAACGGGGTGGATATGGCGTTGACGGAGATATAGAGCGTCTGTACGATAGGATACCCGACGCGTGTTGCTGTCACTACCGCCTGCGATGATACCTCCTTTAGACTTGTGGTTATATAGCGATGCATTTGGTACGACGCAGAGATGAATGATTGAACTTGACGATCCCAGGAGTTTCGCATGCCCAAATCCCAAACCCGTGCTATTAGCATCAGCTCACGTGATACCGCGGGGAATGCCATAGGTACCTTGCCAAGAACATCAGAACCCATCGTCGTCGTCATTATCATATGGAGTCGCACACACCGTAATCTGCAAGCTGTAACACCATAACCTGAACTACGGTAGCCGGGTCATTTCGCTCCACATCCCCGGACCTCGATTAGGCGTCCGTGCCACACCCTCCGTTTCAGATGCATGGTCCGCAACGCGTCGTGGCTACAAGATCAGCACCATGTCGGCACGACCGAAAGCTTTTCCGCGCATCTTCTTCACTCCACGGCGCCTTCGGTCTGCTTTCCTCCTGAGCTAATTCATACTTTCACCCAGCTCATACCACATCTGCATAATTTGGCATAAATCCTACACGGCTACAATCCTACACAATTATCGACAGATCGGGACGGCTTCAGACCGATCTACATCCGAATTACGGCCGCTGGATAGCACCAGGAAACATGTTCAGTTCACTAGGGACCAAGATAGCCCTGCGGAAAGCCGGATTGGGCAACGTCAAGCTCCCGAAAACCGATGACTTGTTTGGCAATGGGAACACGAAGAAGGGGAGCACCAGTGGCGCAGATGGAGGAGAGACAGGCTTCGCCAACCCATTCGCAAACGTACAATGGGGTGTACCAAAAGCCCTACAATCTTGGACGACGCCTCCACCGCCCACGAACCCAGTGCGCAAGCCACCAAATATCGGTGATCGAGCACAAACACATACGAAGTTGCAATTCCCAACATCCGATGGACGGCCGACTATACTACTGTTTCTGAGGTTTTGCGGGTGTCCTTGTGAGTATCTATTTTCTCAGAGGCTGTAGTCGGACGCCACGGTGAAAATCAGACATGGACTAATACCTGCAAAAGTCACAGAGAAACTCTTCCTGGCGCTCCGAACCCTCGCAAACCGCCATACTTCCATCCATTTCGTCGCAATCTCCCACTGCACACCTGCTGCAACCACAGAATGGCTTAAGAAACTCGGTGGAGCCTGGAACGTAGACGTGGTAGTAGACCAAAACCGGGAACTATACGCCCTATGGGGTTTAGGCATAGCCACTTGGGGCCATGTCCTGCATCCTAGGAATGGGTACAATCAGGTCATGCTCCGGAAGAACGAGGGTGTTTGGGGACAGCAGGTTGGAGAAGGCGCATGTAGATGGCAGGTTGGCGGGGCATATGCGGTGGATGGAAGGGGTGTTGTCACATGGGGCTCACCGATGCAATCAGTAGATGAGGCGATACCATTCGAACACGGCGTGATGTCACTTGGATATGGAGAGACGAGGATATAATGCCAGGGGATAGATTGAGATTGCGGATTTCTGCAATGGGTTTACCGGTGTTCCAAGCAGCATATGAGGGGATATCGGGTGAGGGATTCATATCCAGGAAGATGCGAAGGGTTCGCATCTTTCTTGTATAGTACGTTCAGACTTCGTCCTTTCTGTTCCCGACGAAGAGCTTTCGGTCACCAATCGAATAGTGACAAAGAGAAGCAAACGTTTCGAAGCTGAGTCGAGTATATTAACCGTCTTCGTTCGTTGAACAGAGTCTGTGTTCAGATCACATTTAAAATCATGACTACACTTGGACAAAGCGTCTCTGAACGGTACTTGACCTACTAATCCATTGCTGCATTAAGGGTCCAAGCCATTCCTGAGTAATGCGCGATCCTCGACACAATATAATACTGCGCAAGGCAAAATGAACAATACCGGTGCAGGATACATTGACTTGCATACTGTAACGTATGGAGTGGAGACTTCGATAGCTGAGCTTACAAGGTTGAGTATGGAAACTTTCTCGGAGACATTCTATGACTGCGCTTCTAGTACGGAGCCGGGGACTTTACTGTTGGATGCCATACGCCATGCACTTTCTTCGTCGTATAGGGCTTAATACCGTCGATGGAGGACCCGTTTGGGGGCATGCTTGTGCCGGAGGTATTCGTGGAGACTTTCTTGCCACAGAACTCTGGTGCCCACAGTATATCAGGCTGGCTGGACAAACGATGAACAAAACATAAACCTCTACATACTCTCAGATTCTCAACCCGTACTATCTCGTGGAACGAGTTTTGACGCTTTTCAAAATCTATATCAGCAAAGCTATATACTGAAGACTTGACAAGATGGCGCTCCGAGCTCGACCCCAAATCTTCGACATACTCATCATCGGCTCAGGTCCAGCAGGGCTGAATGCTGCGCTCACTTGTGCAAGAACACGCAGCACAGCTATCGTTTTCGACAACCAAAAGTACCGCAATGAAGGCGTTACGCACATGCATACTGTAGCGTCTCGCGACCACTTCAACCCTAGAGAGTTCGGTCGCATAGCTCGCGAACAGATCGAATCCCGGTACGACACCATCTGGTTTCAACCTGCTATGATTACCCACGCATCCATTAAACAGCTATCGGTACCTGATGAGAAGGAGTTGTACGATGGCTTCGAAGTCACAGATAGCGAAGGCCATTCGTACGAGGGAAAGAAGATAATTTTAGCTACTGGTTCGGAAGAACTTCTTCCTGATCTTCCAGGTTACAAGGAGAACTGGCCAGCACACATATACCAATGTCTAGCCTGCGATGGCTACGAGCAACGCGGAAGTGCAGTTGGCATCCTAGGTTTTGAAAATCCCATGTACACACACTTCGTACAAATGGCTATCCCTTTCGAACCCACCTCCATCACCATATTCAGCAATGGACCCACCAAGCAAGAAGCGCCAGTACAAGACGCTTTGAAGCTCGCAAAAGCCTTTGGTGCGACGCTCGACGAGAGAAAGATCGTACGCCTGGTGAATAATGGCCCAAGTCACAAAGATGGCGTAACGATTCACTTCGAAACAGGTGAACCAGCTACTCTTGGTTTCATTGTCCACAAGCCTGCTACGGCCAACCGCGCGCAACATCTCATCGATCAGCTCGGTATCGAGACAATAGAACCGGCGATGGGCGGACACATCAAGATTGCAAACACTATGTTCAATGAGACGAGTGCCAGGGGCGTGTTTGCGGCTGGTGATACTATGGTCATGATGAAACAGGTTGCGATTGCTATGGCTGAAGGACTCAAAGCAGCCGCAGGTGCGGGAATGCAGATTGCGCAAGAGAAAGCTAAGATTCTTTCCAAGACTTTTGAGGAGAGAGATGGCAAAATTGAGGGAGACAAGGGCAAGGCAGAGGTGACATCATACTAGGACGGATAACTGGTCAAGGGAGTGATAAAGGTAGCCTTAGGTGTCTTGGTGTTTTTTTTTTTGAGCAGATAATGTACAGATGTGGAGGGCACGAAAGCCGCTTCTTCCAATGTATAGTACGTAATTGTTTTGACATCACATAATGCTACCATCCATCATACTATCATTAGCCCAGATGGCTAGTGCTACTGCTGATTCGGTCACGGTGCCTTCCTCTCCAGCCCAAATGTAGGAGCGTTTGCAACCAGCGCACTGTAACTCGAACACCCTCAGTACCTACGGCGCTTCCCACACCTACCACGCTCGCCATGCTGTTGCTTTACGATCCTCATACATTCTCCCACAACTCCCTCCGACATTAGACATACTCCCAAGCCCCTAGACTCCTTACCAATCCGCTTGTGTCAATTCCAAAATGCTCATCCCACAGTTCGCTGACCTCAAAGCTCGAATTAGTGATCTAGTTATCAACCACGACTCCATACCCTCCTCTTCATCTGAGATATCTACTTCCAGAAACGATGCCCTCGGATAACCTCCGCCCCAACCAAAATACCCCATTAAGAAACGGTCAATGCGCCTCTTTCCCAAGACACAGACTCCGCTACCAACGATTGAGATCGTAACGAGGCACAATCACGCTTTTGGTTGTTCAACAGAAACGGGACTAAGTATACTGGGACAACTACAATTTGCTGAAATCATGAAGGAGTAGGTCATCGTTATGTGTTAATATTTTCACATCTGGGTTCGAGATAAGATAAGAGGAAGAGTAGGAGGCCAGTCGAAATTAGAGCAGTGGTTAGCTAAAGAGTTATTATGGATATAAACCGCACCTCTCATCACCACCGAAAACTTCGACAAGAACACCTCTTACAAAGTCGTCTGCACCGCAAGGAATTCGTGCACCGGGATACCTTCAGCCGTCCTATCGGTAACTGCAACTACTTTGTACACTGCGTATTGTTTGCCGTCACGCCAGATACACCCGAGAGCAAATGAACGCCTATTGGGCAGAGCACCGAAATGGATTCTGTGGTCCATGAGATAGAGGATTTATGGAAGATGGTCATGAACAGAGCGGGTGGGTTGACACGTAAGTTTGGATGTGTGATAATAGATAAGGTTTAGAGAGTCGGGTGCTAATAGAATGTGAACGGTAGGTAGAATAAAAGTTACCGCGATAGTAAATGAGGGTAAGAAGATACGGGGGAGAGTATGGGGTGGTAAACAAGAATAGGCGGAATAGGGTGGGAAAGCTAAAGGTAGTAGCAAGCTCGTTAGTGGTTGATGAAAATAGGAGGAACTAGGATTTTAGGGAAGGGCAATCACCATTCTTTAGATCTCAGATATGACAGCTAATTCCCTGCAGTAGCTTGCATGTATGTGCTTACTAGAGCACAAACTTTCTTGTATATCTAAGTGAATCCATTCCAATAGCGTAAGTACAATTTCTTCTCATCTCCAGTACTCATCACCAAATCAATACCTTCGACACCAATTCAACATCCCTTCAATACTTCACTCCTCCTTCTTATGCATCCTCGGCAACCCCAGCCATAAAACCAAAATCACGCCCAACAGTGCCAGAATAATCGGCTGCAGCACCTGCACACCCTTCGCTTGCGCAATAGCTCCAACCACAAAGGGAAAGACAGCAGCTCCACTGCCACCAAAAGCCGCCGCAAAGCCGATCGCACCTACGTGCAAGTGGCGCGGTAGAAGTTTCGTAGCCACGACAACGACAGCAGGAAACAAGGGACCGAGAAAGAAGCCCTGGAGGCCTACTGCAACGGCCGAGACAAAGAATTGGGGGACGAGCCAGAAGATGAGTTCGAGAGCCATGGTGAGGGGAAGGTAGATCTGGTGCTTCGAGTTAGTGAATGAACCGATAAGGCGAAGCAGAAACGAGAAAGAAAGTAAGGAGGAGGAAAAGAACTCACCGTAATTGCCAACTTCTCCCCTATTCTTGGCGTCACAAAGCCCAACACAATTCTTCCCACAGTGATGCCCATCCAAAACCCTGTCGCTACCATTCCACTAGCAAACTCCTCGCCATCGCGCACTTCAAGCATAAACTTGACGATCCAGCCACCAAGCGCAACTTCGATACCCACGTAACCGAGCAGAAAGAGCGCACAGAGCCATGTGACACGTGCATGTGGAAGACGAATGAGCGCTTCCTTCATCCGGTTGTCTTTCGTGTCGCTGGTCCGGGGATTGGCCGCACGGAACTTGGCGCCGGTTTCGCGCCAGAAGGCTGATGTGGAAGTGGCGAGTTCGATGGCTGCCATACCGATCATGATGTAGTAAAAGGTATACCAGGGTAATTTACTTCCCTTTGTAATCATCGTTGTTGCTATTAAAGGAGAAAGCACAGCGCCTACACCGTAGAAGGCGTGTAGGAAACCTAGCACTTCGTTTGGATTCGCCATGTTGCCGATCCAGGCATCTGTGTCAAGTTAGTACAATTGTTTTTCCCTTCTATCCTTTGGAGACAGAGGATAGGGCAGATACTCACTCCATGCAGCATCAGCAAGCCCATTGCCGAAGCCAGCCAACATAAATATAACAACAAGCACCGGATATGGGGGATGCACTGCAATAACAATGTACGCGATCAGATGGCACGTTGGCGCTATAACCGCAACACCTCTCTGGCCAAACTTGAGATGGATACTGTTGTTCAATAGTGCGGAAGCCGTGTAGCCGACAAGTGGGGATAGAAACACCAGCGAGATGACGACAAAAGTAAGGCTATAGTACTCTTGCAACTAAGGTCCTTGTTAGCACGTCCTCTCTTTGCGACTCATCATCGAGTAATATAACACGAAAACTCACATAAGGTATCAAAGCCCCATACGCTGCATCATTGGCTCCCATAACTACAAAGCTCCAAAACGCCGCCGAAGTCTTGAAGAAATTCGATCGTGGATGATTCCATCGCTCCAACTTGTCTGCTGCTTGAGTCGTTGGCGATGGCAGATTCTCTACGGGGTCGCTTTCTTGGACGCCTTTAGTATCCGACAGTCGCAAGCCATCGGTGTTGCCTGAGCTGGCGATTTGGGCATTTTGGGGCTTGGAGACATAATTTGAGACGTCTTGGAGTTCGATGGGCTGCTCGAGGCAGGTTGACGAGGTGCCGTTCTGGCGGTGAAGTGCCATTTTGTTGGGTTAAGACGACGGTGGACGTTGGCAGCTTCGTTACCACCTACGGCTTTTGAGGTGCGAGTGATTGACGAAGGAAGCTTGAAGATAGAGCTTGATGGGAGGAGAGGTATATCCGTAGGTAAGTCCAACGCTAGCAGGCAGAATAGAAGTTTTGGTACAAGATGCGCAATACGAGTTTGGACCGTCACCCAAAGGCTATGACGTTTTCCGTCTGCACGCTCAACAGCTTTCCAGTCACAAGCCACGTGAAGCGCGAATGAATAACCACCATCTGGGCACCTTTATATCTCCGGTTCTCAAGTTTAGGCTCTTTACCTCGCAACGTTTACTCAAAGAAGCCGAGTACTGCGAGAACACTGCATCTGGACATGTCCTAGCCTACCCCGACGTCCTGTTAGCACCAGAAGAATTGCCCACAAGGCGGGGAATCGTTCGGGATCTCCATACTATGCATACAGCCAATCGGCACAGCGTAACCCCCAACTTGCGGGTCGAAAAGGGAAGCGAACGGGAAATCTTCGGCAAGACTGCTTTTCCGCCAGTAAACCGCCGCTAGCGACATGCTGTATTCACTACAAGGTACCATCATACTTATGTTTTCGAGGGAGTTGGTGATGAAAGGGGCGAATTAGTTTCATAACACCACAAGTCTGCATTCAACACATGTGTTCAATATCTCATAGTGTGGCTGGAATCCTCTACGGAGCAGCACGATCCGACTAATCTCGCACCAAACCCAAAGTGTCGAAAAAATGCGAAGATGAAACCCATCTCGTTGGAGCCCCGAATACAGTCACAAGATAGTCTAGTCAGTCACTGTATGTCGCAAGCTGCATATCACTTGTATCACAAACCACGTGTTTAGTCAACCCTTTGAAAATCGTTAATCGTTTTCATGTTCATGCTATACCTGCTATTATTACCTGAGCTGATTCCCGGAACCGCGCTCGCCCGTCTTCATGCACGTACCGCGTACCATGTTTGGGGTATCTCTCCCACGTCCTACGCAACAAGCCGTCTGGAAGGAAAAAAGAAACACGAAAGGAAAAAACCGTTCTTGAGATCAACGCTTGTATTTCAACGACTGTGGGGAAAGGTAAATCGTCCATATACACATACTCGCTTTCTACAGTCGCGCATATTGCTCCTGTGATGCTCTGCTCTGCTCGCTCGCCCTAGCCGTTCAGCCCTTGCCTTTGGTGAAAAATGAAATGGAAGACAATGTGAGATCGTCATGCTAGAGAAGACGACTATGAGGGCTGGATAACGGAGGGACCGGCAAGGACCTCGGCATCGGCAACGGACTCGCTCTTGGTGATCATCATGTAGACTTCACCCTGGAGGCCCTGGGGAACCATGCAGTTGCCGTCGGCGATCTTGGTGAACTGGTTGCCGCCACTGTGATATGTTAGAAGGTAGATCTGAGAAGGAGCATGTGGGGTGACTTACGGTCCGACGAAAGCGCAGAAAGAGGCACCGGCTGGTTGAGCGGGGTCGGCAAGCTTCAGGTTCTGGCCAACGGTAGCCTTCTCAGGGTTCTGAAGAGCAATGGCAGGGAATGCCTGGATGTTGAGGTTAGAACCCTCGGGGCAGGACTTGATGAACTGAGCGGCGAGGGTGAAGACGGCACGGGGCTGGAGAGCAGTGTCGAAAGCAGCAGGGACTGGCTCGGCGCCGGATGCGATACGGATGAAAGCCTGGTGACGGGCCTCGACGGTGAGAATGGAACCAGCAGCGGAGAGGATATCGGAAGAGTTGACAAGGGGAGCGGCACCAAGGTAGGCAGAGACGCCGACAGCCTCAAGGACACGGGCAGTCTTGACCATGGAGTCGGCGCTGGCAAGGGCAGCGTCAAAGTTGTATTGGCAAGGCTCGACAGGCTTCGCGCCGGCTCCTGCGATAGCGGATTGGAGAGTAGTGACGTGGGTGGCCTCGGTCTGTCCGACACCCATCAGAGACTTGACCTGGCCTTCACTTAGACCGAGAGCCATGAAGTCGGCCATGGAGAACTTGGCGAAACCCTGCTTGTAGTATTCCGATTCGAGATGCTCAGCGGTCAAAGCGCTATTTCTATTGTCAGACTCCAATCATTATGTTCAAGGCATTGATGTTACTCACAAGTTGAGGATGTCGACATCGCTCAATGTTGCTGCTGCCGCCGGTGCAGCAGCAGCTGGAGTGGCTCCTCCTGCTGTTTCCGTGATGGCTGCCGCCGCTGGCGCAGTAGCGGACGACATAGCCATTGAGCTCGACTTGGAGGCCATCTCTTGACGGGCGTAGTTGGCGGGGGCGGCAGCCGCAAGAGGCGCTAGGGCAACGAGGCCCTTGAGGATGGTTGATACGCTAGGCATGTTGATTGAATTAGGTTTGTTGGATTGTTTTTGAATAGACAAGTTCGTAAAGAGGGACCTCCAGCAAAGACTCGCTTTGAATTCGATTATTATAAATTGTCTAAAGTCCAACCAGGGACTGAGAAGGTAAACCGTAAGGAATGTGGTTGATTATTAGGTAGGAAGGTAGAAGAAGCTCGCCGATGATCCAACTGAAAACGAGTATGGAAACAAGGTGGGCGGCCAATGGACCTTATACAAGCAGCTACGACTCCTGGGCCGTATCTGAGACGCCATAGTAAAATTCGGAGGACGGATGTTGAGCATGTGGCGGACAACTGAATCCCGCCGACGCACTGGCTCCCATACCGGATCCGTGACCCTACAAGCTTCAAAGCTTGGCAAATTGACCCATTGATCGTCCAGGAACTGCTCGCTAGCAGTGTAGCAACCGCTGAGCGAGTCCGGCATGTAGCAATGGGGCTCGTGGTGCAGGCGTGTGATGTAGCAGGTCCGGGGCCCTGCGACGCGAAACGAGTGGGATGAAACCCTACGAGTACCAACATGTGCGCGGAGCCAGCAGAGCCGCCCTAGAGAAATCCTAGGTCCAGCGATAGTGCATGGCGATTAATGGCGGTATTCAGACTTCCCGTCCGGAACCGTGAAGTGGCTCACCACTTGAGGCTTGAAGCAGTCGTCTCCTCATGTTGCTGGTGGGGTGTGTTTCCCGTAGCAATGAGCTTGCGAAACGTTTCAACACCGAGCTTTCGACAGTATTTTGTAGCATGGTCGCAATTACAACGTCTTCCTTAAGAGTGTCGTGAGAGCGCTTATATCCTGTGCCGAGAGAACTATAGATGGGTTGAGAGGTTAAGAGGGATGGATTCAGAGGTGGCTGAGGCACTCAAAACGTCTTCACGTTGCCAAGCCTTATAGAGAACCACTGCTATTTCGGCAGCGGTTCAGGCCACAAGGCTCCCGTTCGCTACGATAAACACATGCAGATACACGGACCACCGGTAACAAGGGGTGGGAAGTCGCAGATCCGCTGGTGAAGATTAGAAGTACACCAGCCTACGGCATCAACCTGATGCTGTCTAGCGGCAACTTGTCACATTCGACAACGCGAACAAACAAGAGACGAGAGCTGGTCATCAAGGAGCATGTTCCATCTAAAACGGCCAATCCTCGTCCAAGGATGAGTTTCCGAAAGTAATCAAAATGTTACTGAGGCCTGACGCGGCTCATCTGGTCGCCTTGTACGGCTTTTGAGCAGCCTTATCCAGGCTTGAACGAGACTTGCGAGGGAAGTGTCAATGCGGACGGGTGCTAAAAGCAATCACAATGGATTTCATCTGGCTAGAGGCACTCGCGCATGATGTAAACACATTACTGTACTACGAAATACTACTGTGTATAAGAGCTGCAACCATATATCGCAACTATCGATACTTCCGCGGCATGCACATAGACAATACACAGTTCGTCGATCGTCTCTTCCTGCACAACCTAGTATGTATCCTCCATTCAATTTTCTATACCAAGTCAACACAAGCCACCGAAAATGCTAGATGCCAATTGGGACTGGGCGACACAATTCGTCTACAGAGCGTAGGGGTTGAGGGATCGGATGGTCAAGCAACTGAGAGAAAAATTAGCAGAGTTCAGGATCTAGCAAACGGTATTAACTTACGGAGGGCTCTTGGTCAGATCCGTCTTAAGGATGACTGGGACGCGCGTCATCTCCCGCACATCCTGGATGTAGTCGCCATTCTGCTCGCGCAGAGTAAACCAACTGAGATACTTCTCCTTGTTGGTCAACTTGGTCTCTGCAGCATCACCAGCGCTCTGTGCAATCTTCGAGTCTGAGTTGACACGGTGAGGAGCGCCAGCAAGATCACGGCGAGTAGGCGAAGGAGGCATACTCTGAGTCGGACGATCAGAGTTGAGGGAAACACCGGCCATGTTCGAGTTGAGGTCGTTGGAGTCGGAGTCGTCATCGTCATCATCGAACAACGCAGCCTCCTCGTTGGTCGACATGGCTCCGGTGTCCACCTGCCTGCGCTGAGCCTCTTCCTGCTCCCTCGCACGCTGCTTAGCCGCTTCGGCATCACGCGCCGCAGCCGCCGCGTTGGCAGACCTAAGCGAGCCATGCTTTGGCCTCTCGTCCTCGGGAATGTAGTTGGACGATGGAACGCCCTTCTCCCAGTAGAGCTCAAGGAGACGCTTGTTCTTGTCGAACTCAGCCTTCTTGAGGGGAAGCTGGTCACAGTGGACGCGCTTCTCGAAGCCCCACTCAGGAATAAGGACATCGAAAGCAGACTCGTACACGCAAAGGACGATACCTTCAGCGATCAGATCACCACCCCTCTCCTGCCTGACCTTATCCATCTTGCGGCAAGCCTCGATGTGAACGCTCTGCTCCTGGGCAGCATGAGCGGAGTCCTTCTTGGTGTTGCACATCTCAGCGGTCTTGGCAAGAGCCTCAATGTCTTCAGTGAACTCAATGGCACCGTTGGAGAGGACAGCCTCCAGCTGGCGGTGAACAATGATGTCGGCGTAGCGGCGAGATGGGTTGGTGAAGTGGGTGTAGAGGGGAAGGTTCAGAGCGTAGTGAGGGTATTGATCCTCAGGCAGCCTGCCAGCAACGAAGTACTTGGCACGAGGCATCGACTTGATGACGAGGGTCTCCATACCCTTCCGGATATCATCATCTTCAACCTCGAACAAGCTGTTCTGGAGAGTGCCACTGCTCTCGGTGTTGATATCGTAGCCAATGGCACCCATGCGCTCTGCGATTGTTGTCAAGCGGCGGGGGTTAGGCGATGGTTGACGGCGCAGGAGGGCCTTCTCGGGCAGACCAGTGGCGAGCTTCTTCGCAACAAAGGCGTTGGCGAGATGGCTGAGCTCCTCAATGCACTCGTGGGCAGGGGAAGAGTCGAAAATGTTCTGCTCGACGGGAACATTCTCGTCATCCAGCTGGTACATGAGGCGAAGAGCCTTGACATCGCTGGAGCGGTCGCCAAAGCGAGCCTGGCGGAATTTCTGGGAGATGTGATGCAGCATCTTGATGTCCTTAGCACGGGCTGCCGAGACCGGACCGTCGTTACCGTTGATAACAGTGTCGACCTCGTCGTACGATAGCTTTCCAGAGCTCTTGATCACAGCTTTGCCAACCCAGGTATCATCATCTGAGATTTTACCAGAGGTAGGATCGACCTTGAAGACAACACTGACAGTGTAGCGCTCCTCGCCAGGGTTGAGGCAGCAGATGTCGTTTGACAGTCGGGGTGGGAGCATGTTCACCGTACGGTTCATAAGGTAGACCGCAGTTCCACGCTTCTTGGCCTCGCGGTCAACAAGCGAGTTGGCCTTGATGAAGTGGGCAACATCAGCAACGTGAATACCAATTTCAACACGGCCGTCGTCAAGGTATTTGAAGTGGATGGCATCATCGAGCTCCTTGCTGCCATTGGGATCAATGGTGAAGGTCTCCTCGTTTCGGAAGTCGCGACGGCTCTCAAGCGCCTCTTCGCCGTCATTGGCAACAGACCAGTCTTCGAAGCCTACGTTCTTGATGACGGCGTCAGAGAAGTCATCTGGACCAAAGTTGTTGTCGCGTAGAAGTGCATCGGTTTCCACCTTAAGATCACCCATGACTCCGAGCTGCTCGACAAGAGTACCAAAAGGATGTAGAGAGGTGATGGGCCATCGCTTGATGCATGCCACAAAGATGCGGTCGGCGTAGTCTTGATGCTTCTCAACGAAGTCGCGTGGGGCCTGCTCAGTAGGAATGGCGATCAAAGGCACACGCTTGTCTGTCGGCTTGAACCAGACAATCTTGGGCTTGTTCTGAGTCTCTGGCTGGGCGCGCCCGGAGTTGCCCTCACGAGCCTGGCGCTCAGCCTCCTGCTTCTCCTTGGTGGCTTGGCTGCTGGGACGCAGGAGTCCAAGGGATCTGTAATGATCATTAGTAAAGCATTCCAAGCAAGGTCGATATAGTTACTTACCCTGAGAACATCTGTCCAGCAACACGCTCGATGACAGCAACAATGTGACCAGCGTATAGAGGCTTGAGCTCGTCGTTGATCTCCTCCTCTTCCATTAGGAGCAAGCTCTGGCCTTCAACTTCGACATCGTCGTTCTTCTTCTGCGTGGGTCGCTGGCGGAGACTGCCACGTCGGCGGATACCACCCTCAGAGCCAGTTTCAGGTTGAGTGGTGGCATCATTCACGGCAATACTACCGCCGCGAGGGTCCGCGTTGTCCTTGCGCTTCTTCTTCTCTTCCTTTTCGCGCTTCTGTCCCCAGACTTCGTCAACGTCAAGAAGTTCGACAGCGACTAGATCTCCTTCGAGAGCTCGGTTCCTGTCTTTGCTACCACAGATGAAAATGTCAGCATCTAGATCGGTAGTTGTCACATAAGCATCACTGCGGTTCTTCTTGTTGACGCGGAGGATTCCGGCAACGAGTTGGCCGTCGCCGAGGAGAGCGGGCAAGGTCGCCTGCGGGAGGTAAGGAGTGAATAGCGTCTTGCGCTGCTGTTGCTGTTGTTGCTGCATGCCCATCTGCGGTGCATGCTGGCTGCCTCCGAGACCGCCACCCTGCATCTGGGCAGCTTGGAGTGCCTGTAAATGAGCGATCTGCATGGGGTTTAGCGGTTGGCCGAACATCTGCTGTTGCAGAAGAAGCTGTGCCTGAGGGGAATTGATCTGCATCTGGGGCTGGCCGCCATATTGGAAGTTGCCGAGAGAGCCAACGGACTGGTTGACCGATCCACGAGTGCGGTGACCAGGTTGGAAAGGAGCGGCATTGGCGGTCTGGTTCATGTTGAAGTTGCCCATGTTCTGGGACTGGTTGTCTTGAGTAGACGGTTGCTGGGTGTTGTTCTGGGGCTGTCTCCAGTTGCCCTCGAAGTTGCGAGACTGGCTCCTGCCATGGCCCTGGCTGCCACGGCGCTGGAAGTCAGACTGCTGACTATTGTTCTGGTTGGTCGGGTTCTCGCTGGTAGCTGGGAAGGAAAAGGAAGGTCCACCACGGCCGGCACTTCCACCGCCACGTCCGACAGCCATGCTCTGGCTACGGCCGTGACCACCTCGTCCACCACGGGTGGAAGGAGTGTCGTTGGAAGCGCTGTTGCCACTGGGGCTCGCGTCACGGTTGGAGCTGCCCTCAGTCGAGCCCGGGATGGGGAACTGGAAGCCCGAAGTCTTTCTCTTCGATTCGGCCTGTTCAGCAGCCTTCTTCGCGTCGGCAAGAGCCAATGAGTGGCGGCGGGTGTGTCCGGAGCCACCGGCGCTGCCACCACCTCGGCCACGAGGGTTGACGTTTTCCCTACCCTGGCCACCCTGTTGTGCACCGAATTCACCGAAGCCAGAGGCACCGGAGGAGGGAGCGGGCGGTGGGCCCATGCCGACTTGAGGGAGGGCGGACTGGTTACGGCGGTGGGCGGGGTTGGGCTGAGCTGGTGCACCCATGGGGACTGCGAGATGTTGTTGCTGTTGCATTTGCTGCATCTGCTGGGGGAACTGGTAGTTGTTGACTTGGGGCGAGACATTGGGCATCTGGCCTTGCATCTGGAAGTTGCCGAGCTGCTGCTGCGGCTGGATCATGCCCATGTTGACATATTGCTGGTGCGTCGCGGCAATCTGTTGCTGCTGTTGCTGGAGGACTTCGATTTGCTGTGCAATGGCGAGCTGTTCCACTATACAGGTGATCAGTAGTTGCCCGAATCTAGTTTGAGACATGTCCACGTACTCATCAGTGGCGTCAGCTCTGACGGACTGCGGCGATGCGCAATGTGCAGACGACGACCGGCGGGGCCCATGGGGCCCTGCTGGCCTTGTTGCTGATCCATAGTGAAGAATGTAGCGTGGGTATTTAATGCCCGCTTGCAGTATATGTGCTGTCGGAGAAGAGACGGTCGGACACGAATTGGTCAAAAGGTAGAGTTATCTGGGCAATTGGATTAGCTTTTGCGAGTCAGGTGACATTTGCAGCGAAGGAGCAGAAGGAGCGAGGAGATGCAAATGGTGAGAGGGAGAGAAGTGAAAGATGGGGGGACAGATGCAGGGTCGGCAGCGGCATGCTTCAGAGAGCGAGCTAGTGGGGAACAAGCCAGAACTCACGTTGGGTAAGCGTGCTAGTTAGGCAGTGCTCGGGAATAGTGAATCGGATATTCTCTGAGAGGGTGGTTCTCGGGGGCAGCTCTGCAAGTCAGAAGCGGGTGGGTGTCGTGTTCAGACAGATGTTAAGTTGGCCTAGGAGGAGTGATAAGGAGGGTAGACCAGATCAAGGAGCGCGGTTTCCCTGGAACGGGCTGTTGTGGGCAGTACAACCAAAATGCGGGTGGAGAGAGTGCTTCGAAGGAGGGAGCGATCGAGGAGGGCGGGCAGGAGGGATGCAGGAAGAGAGGACAGGCAAGAGGGCCGTCAGCGTGATGAAGGTGGTGATGGCTATGGCGGGACTTGGCCAGATGGTCCTAACGGGCAAAGATCGTCTGTTGTTCCGCAAACGAGCGAGCCTGGGAGAGGTCTAAGCACCCGTACGTCACTCACGAAGCCAGATGCAGCTTCCCGCGCCGAGCAGAAGGCTGTAAGAAATTAAGATGGATACAAGAAAGCGCCGGGCCGTAAGGACTGAGGCGCTGCAGGCGTCGACATCTCTATATATACTGCGAGCACCTGTCTTGATGGCGTCTCAGCGCGCCCCAGGTGAAGCATCACGTTTGGGTCTGCACGTTTCAAGGCAGGCCTAGCCGGTGGCCGTTTCTAAATCACGACAATAAGCTGAGGTGCCTCGGGAGCGCGGCGCAAGGGTTCTCGGTTCATGACAGTGGCATGCAGCTACGCGTTTGGAGATTATATTGATCCACCGCGTTGGGGCAGCAGCTTGTCATGTCCGACATGCAATAGTCCAACAGTCTGACAGGGAGGGACAGGTTTTGGTGACTACCCTCACAATGGCATCGCTGGAACTCCAAGACAGTGATTTCACATCTTTCCCCAGCTGTCACATTCTGTCAGTGAAACGGGCATCTTGGGGGACACCAGAGCATCAGGGTGCACTCAGCGCCGTCGCAGCTTGGCGGCAGTCCCACCAAACACGGGGCACAGACGAATCCTGTGAACTTTATGAAAGGCGCAACATGTCGTGTTTGCCCAAGACACGACTCAGGCGTCCTTGAAGCTCCAGTCTCATCTAACTCCCCTGAGGGGTGACAGCTGTGGATGTAGTTACGTCAGTCGCGTAGCCAGTGCCTCGACAAAGCAAAGAAGCCATGCGTGGATTCCAAGCTTCTTCGCCAGGTACGCTAGCACGGCGATGGGGGCGTAGCGCGGTGAAAGCTGCTGCAGGGATGAGCGATGTCACGTGAGTCGGAGCTTGTGTTAGTTTCCGACTAGATCTCTTTGAAGGTCGCGCTCTCACCAACCACCTTTTCAACAACCGCTTTCCTTGTTCAACCACCACTACGGCGCCAGAATGCCCGCCAGATCGGGCACGTCGTCGTCGAGCATGCATACCGCGACTTCCTTTAGCTCCAGCTTCGCCGACGCTTCCCCATCACGCCAATCGCCAAATCGACGAAGCATACACCGCCCTCACCGCGAATCACTTACCCGCGACCCCTATGACAGTCCTTCAAAGCAACTAGCCCTCGAATTCAACCTCCGCCTGAGCATATCAGACCGAGAATTCAACGAGAAGCTAGACAAAGCTGCCGAGGAACGAGCCAAGCAACATGCACAACAACTCGCCTACGCTGCCGAAGAACACGAGCGCGTATTTAGGAGTGCGAAGCTCGAAATTGAGCGCATAGCCCTGGAAGAAGAGCAGGCGCGTCTACGCCATGAAGAGAACCAGAAGAGAGAGATTGAGCGGTTGAAGCACGAGAGGGCCCGCGAGCAAGCCGAGGCTCAGCGAAGGGCTTTGGAGGCAAAACAGCGTGAGGAAGAAGCCGCCCGTCAACAAGCAGCAGACAAGAAGAAACTCGAAGAGGCGAATGCCCGTATCAAAGCTCAGATTGACCAACAAGCGGCAGCTGAGAAGCAGAAGAAGGAAAAGGACGAGGCTGATCGGAAAGCTGCCGAGGCTGCAGCCGCTGCAGAAAAGGCTCGACAACAAGCACTACCACAGCAGCCAACTGCACAACCCACACCCGCTGCCGCACCCACACAGGTAGCAGCACCACCACCACCAAAGCCATCGACCGCCATACAAGCGCCTACCACCAACGCCGAGCAGATCCATGCCAAATACCTTGAACTCCACCAGCGTATGAAGGCGTTCCGCAACGCTTTCTGGGAGGAACACAAGAAACCAACTTCGCCCCTGAAAGGCCCAGTCGGTGATGCTCGACGCGCTCTCCGCACTCGGCTCGGTCAGATCAACGTTGAGCGAAAGGATAGTGCCGCCGCCATCAAGCGCCTGCGAACCGAATGCTTCGACATCGCCTTACAAACTCCTGGTCCTATGATCGACATCCGACCATACATTGTTTCGCACCAGATACCCCAGCTAGCCAACGAGAACGAGGCTGCATACCCGGCATTCCTACTCTACGTCTGGATCTGCTTCGAGAAGTTCCTGGTAAAGCAGTTTGAGAAGGAGGCTGCCAACACCGACGGACGCATCATCCAAGAGATTGGCTTGATAGCAGCCAGCTTGTTTGGTGACCAGAAGTACCAGTGGCAGGGTCTTCCTCTCATTGACATTGCACTCGCCAAGTTACACAAGGCTTGTCCTCCACTCTTTGGCATTCGTGGTACTATGAACACCAAGGAAGGTCGGTTGCGCCTAGGCTGGCAGGAGGACTCCACCCCAGAGTCGTACTCGCAGCGCATGCGCGGTATTGGAGCCGGTTACGCCTCCATGTCCCTTCGCTCATTCGCTGCCAAGACACCTGCGATCGCCATCTCAGAATACTGGCGTGCCATCTCCTCGATATGCAACACACCCTCTGAGCAACTCTGGCCTGGACACTTCGCCATCCTCAGTGGGCTGATTCGTGACTACTATAAGAAATTTCTTCAGTTTTATGGCGTACCTGCGCGCGGCGTGCTACGTCGCGCTGTCGTTGACCTGCCAGTCCGTGCACCGGAGCGCTGCAAGGACGCTGCGAGTACAATCGCCGTGCTGCGTGAAACCTGGAAGAGGGAAAGGTTCTCTTTGGATTAGAATATGCGAGCGAAGATGGGTCGAATGGCATTAGGGCCTTTGGAAATCTCTTTCTTTCTCAAAATCTTGTGTCAATCTTGCATGGGACGGCGCGTATCATCATCAGTACGACCTATGGTCTTTTCTTTTTCTCGCTTTGCCTTGATAGATGAGTCAGTCTACGAATTATATGTGTAAGCTAATAGCGTAGTTTGTGGCAGTGAAACAATCTCGCTTTCACATACCAAATCCATGAAACTACATGTGACGACTGTCATGCGGCGAATTGACTTGAACATCCACGAGATGGGGTGTGAGAATAGGCAGGTTGACGTCACCAACTACAACATCATGCGAGAAGGTGGTCTATGGGACCATCAGGAAGCAAACAAGGGTGATATAACAGATCGGAGATGAACACGCCAAGTTGACAATGGTATACTTGCACTGGTAGCCACCTTATAGACACTTCGTCCCTACCACAAAGACAACTCATCAATCGAAAACCTCGATCACAACCATATCACAACACTACTGGAATGGTGAGAACCACACAATAGGCAGTCACAACTTCAACTATAGTTGTGAACGTGCAGAAAGGGCTTCTCTGGGAAGAGCCTCCCCCCGACATACCCGCAACTATCCCAGTTGGGGCTGAGTCTTCAAACCTTCTCTACACAATTTAACCTAAGCAAGATAGTAAGAGTTTCGATGCCGTTCTTTTGGGGGAAGCACATTGACCGGCATGTTCCTCGAAGCCCTTACAAGCGTAGTCAGGACTGACTTGCCGCACAGTTACAACTGCAACTCTAAGACTTCGATGATGAGGAAGTTGATGAGGATAACCCCAACTTCGATTACGAAAATCCAGATGAAGTCAAGCACCGAGCGCAGTGACTCTTTGATTTCCTTCCAAAGGGTTTCCCCGACGAGGAAGTCAGCCTTGGGAGACATGCGTACTCCGTCACAACAACTTCGACACGAATAACAGTCTGATCGACGAAAACAGCGACTTCATTGGTATTATTGATTGGGAATGAGCCTCTTAGTATGGACAGTTTCTCAATCTGTACACACGACGACGGTACACAATATCGCAACGAGACGTACTACGATCGTTCAGAAGAGATGCAACATATCTGCCCTGGATGGGTCAATGTACACAGTTCGAATCACCTGGAAGTCGGCTTCGGACAAATCATACAGTGGTTCTATTGTGTTGTCTTCGGCCAGCAGATCGATCGATCGATGGATAGCCAACGTGGAAAGGGGGGAACTTCACCCACCCCCCGAGAGAGTTCTCGCAGCAGGTAAACTGCGGTCGGCAACTATAATGGTGAAGGACCTTTGGTGAATTGATTTCATGAAATATCGACATACCTGATAATCATGACATAACGACTAGACAAAGCTTTAAAGAACACACCAGTTGGCTAAATGCCTTTCCATCCCCTTTCAGGAATGATCCTTATGCGTGAAAGCGAAAAATTCGGCCTTGAATTAATACAGGTTTTCCGCATATTCGTCTTGAATAGTCTCCATGCAGAAAAAAGGCGTGATTTGGCCGTAAAGGCGTGAAGTGCTCCTGAAATAGCACAGCATTTAAGCGAGACGCTAGTTGGGGGCCAACATCGTCCCGCTTTTAGGCCAGCAATGGCCAGCCGTCCTCAACACCACGCCCGTTGGCTGGCAAGCTTTCACCCACCAGCCAACACACGCATAAGATTAGGGTCTTACTCCACTACGCCGCATGGTCGCCGCAGAGGCGCCGCAATACTCTGTAATGGCGTCCAGTAATCAGCACCTGCCATCCCACGATCTCTACAACAAGGCGCCGCAGCGGAAGCTTGCACTTCGCATCATGGCTTTCCTTTACCACAACAAGTTCGCCTATTCTCCCCACAATCTGTCCACGTCGCCGTCCAATCCTACTTGGGCTTGGCTCAGGCAGACACGCAGAGAATTCTAAGGCGCTCAGCCTTGTGTCGATTCATGACTGTAGCTACTCATTTCTTTTAGCGCAGGTGGCTGTGCTTGCCTAAATTTCGAAACGTTGATCCTACAGCACAATCCTTTGGCACATCACTGTGTTTGTACGACTTCTTGTGTTAGGCTGGTAAGTTTGTGTTAGTATCGAGCAGCAGAAACTTAGGATGGGGAGCCGCCAGAGCAGCCACCCAATGTCTATGGTTCCACGAGCTGAACGTATAGCTTCAGCTGCATAGATGGAAAGGGCAAGAGCGCGTGGGTGTGGCTCTCACGCAGTAGATAGCTCTTCTCAACTGGCCTGATTAATGGATGGGGTCCGACATGCACGCCTGGCACCTTCTTCTACAAACCAGTGCCACCGCCATCTGGCACTCTATCTCTCCAATAGACGCAGTTGTCCAAGCTTTGATGACCATTTTTCACGCCCATAATTCGTCAGGCAACTCGTCTTCTGCCAAGCTGCTCATCATACATAGGGGCGCAGTGACTTTCTCCGAGTTGATGGCCTATTTCCCCACAACGTGCTGAGGCTGAGCATATCTTTCCACTTACGAGCCGCATACTGGACGCCTTCTCACCGATCCAGTGCCATGGGCGCAGGACCCGAACATGTCCATGCGTAGCAAGTTTCATTTCACGAGTAGACATATGTCTGCCTGATGCCCAGTACCAGTTCAAACTGCAGAAGGGATTTCTTAGTCAAGTTCTTATCAACCCTCTTGTGACGGCAAAGCATCATATTGTTGAGGCGTAGTAACTGGTGTATCCTCATCACACCGCCACTCAACCTCCCATCACCAGCATTACAAATACCCGAATAGCTTTACCTACCATCTGAAGTCTCACCGACCAGATCTGAATCAGAGACCCTTCCGCATACACCAAAATACATCGTCATGGCACCTATACCAGTGGACAATACCCTCGTCGTGGGTACCGACGTGACGCCAAAGCCTGATTCAGGATACTGGACGAAAGCCAACATCGCCCTCACAGCCGTCTTCGCTCTCATCTTCCTAGCCATTTGCCTGGCGTCCCTCATCTTCTGGTTCCACCGGCGAAACGAAAAGAAGAAGCTCAACAACCGGAAGTCAGATACAGCGGGGCTCCTTGCGAACGAAGACAAGACAAGCATGTTCAGTCGAAACCGGGCTAGTAGCGTTACATTATACGTCGACTCAGAAGCAGAAGCGCGCAACAAGAGATCAAGCACGGAGACCATGCATCTGGTGCCGCTTCAAGTCACGCCGGTAGAGGAAGTTAGAGACCCGATTGGCGACAACACGGAGAGCTCTGGTACGGGTGTCAGTTCTGTCAGCCGACAAAGCAACGCAACCCTTAGCACTATGATGCTGAGTCCGATGCTGAGCCCGGCGCTGAGTCCGGTGTCACCGAGTGGTGAGGAGGGCGACTTGGGCGTACGGCCATCAGGACGCGCACGCAGCACAAGCACAGCGAGCCAACGCGCACGATACTACGAGTCGACGCCTACGAATATCGCGATGCCACCAATCCCAAAGATTGTTCACACATCATCAGAGTAGAGAAGGATTGGCCATAGCTGTATAACATCAGGCTAAGGGTTGGTACATGAACTGAAGGGTTCGGCTTTTTCCTTTCTTGTGTGCTTTCATGAGCAACCGCGTTCCATTATTTCGCCATTTCGCGAAACTCTTTTACAAGCATCACCATATACCCCATTCGCGCTCCTGCACTTGTCATAACACGCAGTCGAGCATCCAACAATCTTGATCTCATCTCTCACGAAAAGCATATAAATTTCAATACCACAGTATCAAAGATTTTGCCCGGTTCTACAGCCTATTAACTATTTCTGTACTATGCAAGAATTCTAAGCTACACTCAACTTTATCAGTATAATGTATTTGGCTTATACTGTTTCCGCCCCCAAACATTCTCTCCCGGCTGCCTGGTATCCACTGAGTGTGCTGGCTTCTCGGCTCACTCGGAGTGAACACTAGCAACACACATCGGTCCCCAGTAAGGGCTTATGATCTTGGATAAGATGCATAGCATGAGCTTCATATGACATCACATTTCATTGGGCCTACACTAGGCCTGCCGTCAATTCGTTATCGTTAGCTGTTTAGCCTGTACACATGAACGCAAGAGCGAACCAACCATTGAAAGTAAACAATTGGAAACAGCCTCAACACCTACCACCTACCACTCTCGCAGCAAAAATCTTGACATTAGCAAGCAAACCACTTGGGAAGACTCCCATGAAACTCCCAGCCCCGAACGCCCTCTCCACTAACCATAACTAGCCCAGTGATTCCCATCCTTTGACTTCCATTCCAAGATAGTGCACATACAGCCATGCTTGAACACTCTCTACATCATACCAAGGCAAAGGAAATCTTCGAGGCGAAGCATCACAGTCCAGCTCACAGCCTAAACGCAGAATCACGGCACAGTTCAATAAACGGCGAAGTTTCGCAAAGGATCGATGTATCACGTTACAAAGACCTCTTGCATGGCCCGACCGCGCCATACGCGTTATCATAATCTTGGGTCCAACAACGGGGAGTTCGCCACAAGGAATGTGTTGGTAACATCAAGCACGCATAGCATAAAGAAAAAGAAGAATGCACAACCACAGATCACTGTAGCGGAGATGAATTAGAAAGCCGAAGTGCGTGTATGTAGTACACGAGTTAACACAAGGTATCTATACATGGAGGCTACAGAAGCGCTGCACATCCTACCGTTCCAACTCTATCGCTAACAATGCTACATGAAACAATGCGTAAACTCGCTAAAAAAAAAAAAGGTATGAAGGCAGATGGTCGTATCTCTCGACATGCACGAAGCGGTGTCCGTACGCAGTGGCGAAACCCTGATTCCAGTTCCTGAACGCCTATCGCTCTAACCCGTCATCAACCGTAAAAGCTACCAATCGCGCGAATTACTTCTTTGCAGCGTTTACAACCTCTTCACTCAGCTCCCACTCCGGATCCCAATGAACATACTGCGCCATCGCTACAGAAAGCAGCCATTCCGTCTTGACGATACGGGGAACCATGTTTTCTCTCTTGGCCAATTCACGGAATTTGGTCCAATTGGTGAACTCTTTCTTATCAGCGTCAGAGATGAGGTATAGTACGTCTCCTTCATCTTCGACTTGGTTCTGACTGACTTCTTTATCGGAAGTGTTAAGTATGCGCTTCGATGCGGACACCGTAGTAGGACGTCCTTTCCATAAAACGCACTTTCCTCCGTTGGCTTCCACAATATCTTTGTAAGTATCGAAGCCACCACCAACCTTCTCTGTACAGAATATAGTCCAGTCCCTAAGTAGGCGATGCTTGTTCTGCTTGGCGCGCTCCAGTGCTTCAGACAAGCGGAAGTTATTGGCCTCTTCAAAGTCTCTAGCTTGGAGGAGGTGTTTCTCTGCCGGCGGAAGCTTGTTGTTCTTGAGGGCGAAGTCGAGGTAACTGGTTGACACGAGGGTGGGTGCACAGGCTAGTGCTGCAATAAACTTCTTCGTCCGAACGGGCTGTGGCGCGCAAACCATATCCACCTTCTTGAAGTCGTCTGTGATGAAGAGACCGAGCTCTCGAAGGCGCGCTTTATCCTTTGATTCCTTCTCAGGGTTATTGGCCCATCGCTCATCTTTTGAGATAAGCATGCGGAACTTGATAGGTGTGAGCTTATCCTTCTTTGCTCGTTTGTTCTTTGCTGGGATCTCTGTGGCCTCATCTTCCGTCTCGTCATCATCGTCGACTTCATCGATAGAGCGTTTGCTTGAGACTGAGTCACGGCTGCCCTTCGCTTGCTTTGTCCCCTCATCAACCTGATCTTCTGTCCGTCGGCGTCCGCCGTGTATAACGCCGCCTTTACGTTTCATCTCCTTCTCGAATTGTGCGATATCTGTTGCGGCATTATGCAGTTTTGACAATGCGCGGTCTTTCGCTCCTCGACTGCCTGGTGTCTGGTTCTCTTTTCCATCGGTATTTCGAGGTGGTAATGGTGTTTGCGCATTCCCTCCTGACTTCGCACGCTTGGCCTTCTCAGCTACAGGCGGACTACGAGGTGCAGGAGGTTCGCTTGCCCTTGGCGCTACACTCGACGCTGGAACGGCGTTGGTCTGCGGTGCCGCCTTGACAGTTTTGACGGGCTTTGCTTGCTTTGAGAAGAAGATCTTCTCGGTGGCCTCGCGATCAATCTCAGTCTGACCCAAAACTTCTCCCAGGTTGGTCCGATCTGGGAAGTACGTGTAACGACTCTCAGTTAGTGGCATCTCCCGGCATTTGGCGTAGCTTTCTTCTAGCCACAAATGATTGACAATGTTCACGCCCCACTCCGTCGCGGCCTCGCACTTTTCGCTGTTCTTGTGCGCAGCGACAAGATGTGTGTTGTCCTGCTTGAAGGTCTTGGTGAACTCGGCACCTGTAGCTTTGATCAGGTTTTCCAGGTACACACGCGCTTCGCCAGTGTAACTTGAAATGCTGATTTTGTACTTTTCGAAACCGGGAATGCCCTCCCGTGGTCGCGGGTAGTGCATCATTCGCTGCATAGGGTTCGTCCAGATTCCGTGCGTGATAAGGTAGTATAGCCAGCCCAGATTGCCCACATCTTTCCGCGCTTGCGAAGCCTTGATATAGTCAGGACCTTCTCGGTAGTTGCAGATATACATATCCGCTTCGTCGATCTTCGAGGTCACACTGCCGCCTCCAGCCTTGATCATGCCCGTAATAATACCCTTGAGCCGGCTGCTGATATTCAAATCTTCGCCAAGCTTGACACGCTTTCCATCGAAGGCCTTGATTGCGCGGGGTGGCTCTAGGTGGGCTGGTGGTGGTACAGGGTCGTGGTGAGGGTCTGGTGTGGTTGCGTCTCGAATCTGCTGGCTCACTCGTGTAGGAGGAATCGCACCCGGTTCCATGTCGGCGAGAATCTCAGGATTGGGAAGCGTGTAAGGTCGCTCTGATATTCGGCGGCCAACTTTGAGGCAGTCATCGAACCTATGAGTATTAGATGGAGCCAACTCCATGCGCTCGACTCAAAACTTACCAATGGGGTAGCACGATTGACAACTGCAGCCGCTTGCTAATGGCGAGCTGACATCGTGGTTCGCTCACGTCGAGTGCAATAAGATGTGTCACGAATTTGGAGAGGCTTGGTGCGCATTGCCCACCTAATGCCAATACACCACCCTCAATCGCTTCCTTGTCTCCGCTCGGTATATCCCCACAGCATATAACCACGTCGTTCATGATGAATGCGGGATCAGGACTGTATGTTCGCGGGTTCTTGGCCTTGTTGGATTGGAGCGACGCGTCTATCCATGTTGGCTTGACGACATGTATCATGAGATCGAGGGAGCGATAGTAGTCGGGGAAATCGGCCGTCTCAGAAACAATGTAACTGATTTCTTCTAGATTCTCTATGCGGCCTTTAGGTGCGTTGAAGGGTACGATCGTTCCGCGTGCGCCTCTAATATCATCTTCGATCTATTCGGTGTGTTAGTAACACTTCTTAATTGACCAGACGCGTCGCGTACCTGGCGCATTCGGTCTTCTGAGAGGCCATTGGGGATTATTGTGAAGGTGAGCTCTTCAAAGGGACCTTGTGAGCCATCTAACATGGTAGTGTCTTCCATGGCTGCAGCTGTGGGTGTTGTGCTGTATGGTAGAAGAGTGGATGCCTGCCGACATTGAACTCGAAGGCGCGATGCGACATGGGTCAACGCGAACTTTGGAAGGCACGAACGCGTCGGGGTCCACGTGACACCCCACCAAAACACTTCGACGCTGATTTCGTCATAACGCTGCGACTCAGACCAGACCAGTCTCTCTCTGCCGTTCGGATCAGGAACGCGTATGTTCGCCTCACTACCTAAAATAACCTTGAGCGCGGCCGCAACTCTGTCGTCTGTATCTGTATGTGGAGGCTGTGTGGGGAGAAGAGAGGCCGTTGTGGACCTCGGCATTGTTCCCCAGATTACGCCGGCTACTCATCACGACACGGCCGTACGCATAGACGCTGTTATTGAAATCAAGACGTAGCGTCCTCTCATCTCATCTCGCTGCATACAAGAGATACTGTGACTTACACACACTCGTTGCTCGTGTTGTCTGTCGACTCGTCGTACACTGTCTCGTTCACTTTACAGCCCTAGCCTGATCACGTCCACAGTCAGCAGAAAGATGTCTTCAGAACACTTTCGCGTAGACGAACATAAGATAGAAGCATCGCATATCCGTGGCTTCCCGCGTGCCACAGCTACGACGCAGGAAGAAGTTCTACATCTAGCCGTCAAGCAATACACGCCTCTCAATAACACAAGCGCGAAACCCGGAGACATAACCATAATCGCAGCGCATGCAAACGGATTTCCAAAAGAGCTGTATGAGCCACTATGGGATGAGCTCCTGCAAAGGTGCCAACAACATGGCTTTGGTATTAGAGGGATCTGGATAGCCGATGTCGTTCACCAAGGCTTGAGCGGCGTTTTGAACGAAGATAAGCTAGGCAATGACCGTACGTATATCCCTTCAAGTACCCAGTCAACCGCTAATACCTCATAGCGGCCTGGCTCGACCACAGCAGAGATCTCCTCCACATGGTAAACATCTTCCGCGATCAGATGCCGCGTCCGATAGTTGGTGTAGGCCATAGCTTCGGTGGTTGCCAACTAGCTAACCTCGCCCTCTTGCATCCCCGTCTCTTCGAATCTCTGATCCTACTCGACCCTGTCATTCAAGGCAAAGTCTCTCTGAACGGCAATGTTGGGCCTGCTGCTGCGTCATCGGGTAGGCGTGAGCGCTGGCTATCACGAGAAGAAGCCGCGAAGAGTTTCGGTAAGAGCAAGTTCTACCAAGCATGGGATCCGCGGGTGTTGAATCGATGGGTGCAATATGGATTAAGGGATGTACCGACCAAGTTGTTCCCCGATGCAAAGAAGCCCGAGGTGACTTTAACGACGACGAAGCATCAAGAGGTCCTGACATTTCTGCGGGGGAACTTTGCTGCGAGACCAGGTGACAAGGAGCCATCGTCTGCGGAGTTTACATTAAGCAACCCGAAACTTAACAGGAGGACTCATGCAGATATGACGCCGACAGCTGAGCCTCAGTCACCCTTCTATCGAGGCGAATCCACCATTGTTTTCAACCAGCTACCTTCACTCTCGCCATCCGTGTTCTACATCTTCGGCGAAACATCCTTCCTTACCAACCCCGTCGACATTGAGGATAAGATGCGCTTGACTGGATCCGGTGTCGGTGGTAGTGGCGGACGCGCAGAGGGAAGAGTAGCGAACGTCACGGTACAAAATGCAGGGCATTTGATACCTATGGAGAAAGTAGAGGAGAGTGCGGATCATATCAGCAAGTGGGTTAGTCAAGAGATGAAGAGATATTGGGATTGGGAACGCAAGACAGAGGATGAATGGGAAGGAAAGCAGGGAGTGGAGAGAAGTGTGTTGCCTGAGCGGTTCGTGGAAGAATTGAATACGTTGGTCAAGCCAAGGGAGAAGAAGCAGTCGAAGCTCTAAGAGCTGACGTAGAAGAAACACGATATGATAAATGGGAAGCTTTCGCAGGCATTTGGTCTGAACCGTGTACATGTTGGTATCTTAGATAAATACAAATCTCATAGCACTCACGTACTTGCTTGAACTCCTGCGTCTTCAGTCTTGCTTGCTCTCTCCCCTCTCTGGATAATACCCTCCCGCAAATTCCAGACTCGCACCCTCCCACTTTTCTGTCTTAATCTCCCTCCAAGCACTCCACGGCCACCAACCCTCCTTCTCCCAGATCCTCGCCTCAATCGTCGCAATAAAACTCTCCTTGCAGAAGTTTGGCCGATGACCATCCGGGAACGGACTGGCGAGGCCGAACCAGCCTGGCTCCTTTGGCGCATGGGCTTTAAGCTCTAGTTTGTGAAAGTAATTCGATACAGATAGAGAGAAAGAGCGCGTGTCCCAGTCGTTCGTGGAGCTCATGAAGGGACTGAGGATATTCAGGTAGGAGACTGAGAATGGTGGTACGAAATCGAGGTTGAGAGATGGGGATCGGTATCCGAGCATGTACGCAGTGTTATACATGATCTTTCCGCCAGCCAGACAAATACCGCGTTTTTGTTCGTTATCCCAGGCTTGCACCCACATGTGTGCATCGGGGAAACTGTTGGCCCAGTTCTTTTCTTGATGGATTGTAGCACGGCTTTTTTTATCTTGTGCTGGGAAATCTTTGCCCAGAGCGGGTATGTCGAGAGAGAACGTAGCTGGGGAGCAAACAGAGTGGACGTGCCAGTGTAGCGGGAATGGGAGGTTGATCATCCATCCTTCGGGCGTGTTTTTGTCTTTTCTCCACGCTGTGTACTCCTCACATTGCGCTTCAAGCTTCCAACTCCCGTCCTCGGCTTCCAGCTTATAGCTTGCGCGCCCGTCACTCTCGGTCCTCATGAGTCCCATACCCGGCACCCGGAGCTCGAAAGCCTTGCTCTTCTCATCGGTGGTCACGCGCTCGATGTTGTCAACGAAATGCTCGCGCTGGAATATCGGGTGGCCAGAGGAAGGGTAGTATGTAAATGAGACCATGTGTGGGCGCGAAGACGCATTAGGCACGGAGCATATGATTAGAGCGATATGCGAACCTGAGGCGAGGTCGAACTTGGAGTAGTAGCCTTCGAATTGCGAGGATAGATGAGGGGCATAATGTTCCATGATGATTCGCTAGCAGATCACTGCCCTGGGATGAGAAATAGAGAGTTTGCGAGTGTCGCGTCGTTGAGGTTTGGTATTGGAGGATGGGTGTGAGTCGTCATGTTGTTAGGTTGGTAACTCATGACGTAGGTAAATATTCGATTTGGCGACTTGGAGCCACCACGTCGCACCAAGTAGTAATGTTGCATCATGCTGTTCACGGTGCACAGACGGTTGTAGTCAAGCTCCACATGTTCTGTTGGTAGCTATTACTCAAAAGCTTCAAGCCTCGCGTACTATCATGCATCACGATTGGAGGTGCCAACATTTAAACTTAATGCTGCGCAACTATTATGAATTCTGTAGCATCTCCCACAATAGCAGATGAGACTTTCAAGTTCTCTCTTGATTTTTCACAAGCATGCTTACCGCAATTTGGCTTGACTATACGATTATACCTAAGCCCAGGCGATTGTAACACTTCCAAGATTCTTATGGCAGTCGCTTGGAACATGTCCAGATGTAGTTGCTGCGCTACTGGCATGACGCTCTTCCTACTGCGCACTCTATACCGTGAGATACGAATGATGATCCCATCACCTCTCACTGTAGTTTCCAAGCTCAAGCGTGTGTCAAGGATTTCATGGGTGTAATGTCTATGAGTGTTAGTATATACAAGACTAAGCGTGCTGCGAGACGCATGTACCTTGTGGAAACTTGTACTATACTCAGCAAAGACTTTGGACAAACATCGGATCATATGTAACGGAACATGTTGTTCTTCACACTCCTTTTCATCGAGGCTGGCTTCCCATCTTCGTATTCGATACCGGCTTCTCCTCCCTCACTGTCATGGCCTGCCAGCTTTGCCATCACTTCCGCGTCGAGCTCAGCTTGAGTCTTTTTCTTAGGTTTGACCTTGTCAGAAGACTTGTAATCGAGCCTTTGAGCCTCATCCTTTACTGTGGTTGAGGATTCGAAGTTTGCATCGGAATAGTTTCTGCTGTAGATAACTGATGGTAATAATTGTCGGCCGGACGTTTTTGACGATGGCGTGATGAGGGATCGAATGGGAAGTCGCCCAGTGATTTTATGTAAAGGCGGCATGATATGGGGTATTTGATCAGAGGTTGTGCAGTGGAATCGTAGTGATATGACCTCAGGAAGATCGAGACAGTGAATTTACGTCACTGTGACCGCGGTCGCTTGACGCACGTGAAAGCATAGTGCCTGGACCGCGACTGCATCGTGCGGAGGGCACTAACAATTCATATATCGGAAATTACGCGCATAGAAACACATAATTCGCTCTTTGCAAGTCCAGGTCGTCCGGTAAATCTATCCAAACTTCACTTTGTTCGTTCCGCGCGTTGCTTGAAGTTGCCAAGACGCTAGTAGCTGCAGCCCATTTTCAGTTTCGCGATTGAGGATACCATCACTCCACGACGCGCGCGCGCGAACCCACGATAACCCCCGAAAGTCATCCAAAATGGTCGTCACATCTTCCTGGTCGAACGTCGAGGACGAGGTGTTGAAGGCTGCGATCAGCAAGTATGGGTTGAATCAGTGGTCGCGATGCGCCTCGCTGCTGTCGAAGAAGAGCGCGAAGCAATGCAAATCTCGCTGGACAAACTGGATCGATCCCGCCATACGGAAGACGGACTGGTCGAGAGAGGAGGATGAGAAGCTCTTGACTATGGCAAAACTCCTCCCTACCCAATGGAGAACGATTGCGCCTATTGTTGGACGAACGGTACGAAGTCGCGACTATCCCCTTTTTCAGAAATATAATGCTAACTTTAGGCAGGCGACCCAGTGTCTCGAGCGCTACCAAAAGCTGTTGGACGAACAAGAAGCGAGGGAGTCCGGTGATCTCGGACTGGCAGGCCCGGAGGGTGGAGATTCAGCAGCTCCTTCAGCAGAGGATGTACGACGTCTTCGCCCCGGAGAAGTTGACGCATACGCCGAAAGCCGACCTGCAAGACCCGATGCGGTTGATATCGATGAGGAAGACAAGGAGATGCTGTCAGAGGCGCGTGCGCGTTTGGCAAACGTCAGCGGTAAGAAGGCCAAGCGGAAGGCTCGTGAGCGGCAACTGGAGGAATCGAGGAGGCTTGCCCTGCTCCAGAAGCGACGAGAGCTGAAAGCTGCTGGTATCAACATCAAGATTACCCCGAAAAAAGGCAATCATATCGACTACAACGCCGACGTACCGCTCGAGAAGGAAGTCCCCGCTGGCTTCTTCGATACCACCGAGGAAATCGACCGCAATGAGCAACAACGCGAAGCCTTCGACCCGCGAAAGCAACAACTTGCGAACAAGAGGAAGATGGAGTCGCAGGAGGACGGAGGCGGGGACAGGAAGAAGAAGAAAGACGAGAAGTCAGGAGGTCTTGCGGCATCATATGCAAAGGCCGCACAAGCACAGAGAATACGGGAAGCAGAACAGAGCAGCAAGCGACGCGCTCTTGTGCTTCCAACTCCACAGGTTGGAGAGGCTGAGCTGGAGGATATCGTCAAGATGGGAACGACCGGACAACGCGCAATCACTGCAGGCAGTAGCGACAACATCGCAACTCAGGGTTTGATCGGAAACTACTCGAATGTGATTGGTAATACTCCCATTCGTACGCCCATGGCACCAAAGGAGGAGGACTACGTCGCGAACGAAGTACGTAACGCCCGAATGCGAACAGAGACGCAGTCCGCTTTACTGGGCGGCGACAACCCAGATCTTGTTGACGACGAAGCGCCTGCTTCGTTGTCCGGACCCGCTTCGCGCCACCAGATCGTGACGCCGAACCCTATGGCAACACCGTTTAGGCAAGCCAACGGCGGGGTCGGAGACACGCCTATGCGACAGGGACCAGGAGCAACGCCCATGCGAACACCTCGTGATACCCTACGCCTGAATGGAGAGGAGAGTGGTATGCAACTTGTTGGCCAGACACCTCGCGACATCAAATTAAGAGAACAAGCAAAGCGGCAAGATCTGAAGAGTAGGCTTGCTGCGTTGCCAAAACCTAAGGAAGAAAGTTGGGAGTTTGAGCTTCCCGAAGAGCAAGCAGATCAAATGGAAGTCGAAGTTAGCGAGGAAGATGCTGCTGAGCGTGACCGAAAGGCGAGGGAGGCGCGGGAAGCCCAAGAAGCTGCAGACTTTGGCAGACAAACTCAAGTCGTGCAGAAGTTCCTCCCAAGGCCATCACTCGTCGACATCGACGTTCTGATGAAGCGCGCGCTGGACCTCTCGGACCCTGTCGAACGCGAAGTCGAAATCGAGATGGCCAAGCTCATCGCGAACGACGTCCAGAAGTTTGGTGATGGCCGAGTCACTGGCAAAGCACAGCGAGTTGAACCCATGACCGACGATGCTTTGCGGAACGCTAAGATGGAGCTTGCACTTGAGCTTGCCATGACCACAGACAAGGATAAGAAGGCATTCCACGCCGACCTCGACAATTCATGGACCACGCTACACGGTTCCGCAATTCTACCCGGCATTGCAGGCTACGAAGAAGACGAGATCGACGAGCACCAACTTCTTGTCGAAGCCTTCGACAACGCGCAAGAGTCCATCATCGAAGCTGCGGAACGTGCGAACAAGATCGAAAAGCGCTTAACTACACACCACGCAGGATATGTCAAACGTTCAAATCTATTACGGGAGAAGATCAGTGGCGCATTCGCAGCACTCGAGAGAGCCAGAGACGATTTGAACACGGCGAGGACGGCACAGTACAGCGAGCAAACTGCAATTGCACGCAGACTGGAGAGCCTACGCGACGAAGTTCAGTTCGTTACGAAGAGGGAGAGGGAGGCACAAGAGCTGTACAGGAAGAGGAAGGAGGAGCTCGATAGCTTGCAGCAGCCTGTCAATGGTGTACATTAAGCGGTTTCGTGGGCACACATTTTACTAAGCCCGTGTTTTGATATTATTGGATGAACGGTGGAAGGTCGGTATGCATTGGCGTGGCGTTGGAAATTGCACGGCAGGTACATTCTAAGACTGCTTTTTGGAATACGAATGTGAATACTATGATCTACCTCAAGCCATGCCGTACTCATGACCTACCTCAACCCATACCGTACTTATGACATGTGCAAAGTGGAACGCCCATCGACGGATTTCTCGAGCTCACGATCACCAACCCATTTGTGACGTCAAACAGCCCCGAGATCGACCATGCATATTGCTTTTCAGCTGACGATAGAGGGCGGGGTTCTCACACTTCCAAAACGTCACTCTATACCTATCTGAGTATCACAACAACAGATTGAAGATGCACGTGTAGCAAAGTATGAAGTCATATTCGGAGAACATCTGATCATATCATAGCCTCCATGATAAAGAACCCAACCAAAGCCCCAGTCCAATCCAGTCCATTGGGGTATAAGAAAGGCACCAATCCAACATCCCCAAAGGCGGGAAATGTACAAAGAAACCCAGAACTGACGCCACTGCCCCTCCCCCCGTTGCCGTGATAAACCATCTAAGTGAAAAAGCAAGAATGGTAAACGCCCATTAAACTTTCATAAACGCATGCGCATGAACATCAACGACGATCAATCAACTCTAGCACTTGCCATCGAGAACCTCGAAGATACCGACGACGTGGACTTCGCTTGCACCGCGGCCCATGCTGGGTCGTGGCTCGAGGACGTCGAGTTCTTGCTCGAAGAGGTGCTTCTCCTCTTCCATTTCGAATTCGTAGACGCTGGGCTTGCGGCGAACAGCGAGTAGTTGCCTAATAGATGAGCCTGAGGAGCGATAACTGTGTGGCGAAGAGTTGCGGGTTAGAGGTGTAGTGCTTGAGGAGATGATGGATGATGGTGAGGCGGAGCGCATTGAGTTGCGGGTAGGGCTGAAGGCGGTCTTGAGACGGCGGAGGGATCCGGATGTGCTTCGGAGAGGAGTGAAGGACTGGAAGCGGTTGGTGCGGCTTGGGGAAGGCATTTTGGCTGTTGAGTTGGTTTGAAGAGGTGGTAGTGGAAAGTAGGTTGGTAATTAGGTTGAAGTTGTGATGTAGGTGTGTTTGCTTCTTCGCCGATGATTGATATGATGTAACCTCCCGTTGATTGAGTGGGTGAAGTTTGTTGAGTCCGATAAGGCAAGTCGATGTGGAGAGATCCAGCTGTCCTTACGGAGGGTAATGTAAGGAATGTGGTTGGGATTGGGGTACGTCAACGAATGTTGAATCTGAGGATCGGCTTGCGAATCAGAAGGGATGACGTGTAATGCAGCGGGTGTGCGGAGAGGCGAGAGCTCAACAAAAGTCTCGTGATGTAGACCAGCTTCGAGTAAATTGCGGCAGTGCCGAAGGGAGATCAACTCTGTTCAAAGGTATATATGGATGGAGAGTTTGGTCAAAGAACAGAAGGCGCGCACAAATACACGTAAAAGCGAAGGTAAAGGGATGAAGAAGGAAGTTCACAGAGGTATTCCTGTTCGAAAAACAGCAGACTCGGGGATCCTTAAGCTGCGTGTCGCATGTGCTCTGTGCCAGTGCGTGTTACGTCCCAGAGCTAAAACCTTGGACAGTCGGAGCAGCGGCATCCCTGTCAGGAACGCGTGAATTGAGGGGTCGAGCCTCGTTTGATCACCGGTCTAGAAACAAGCGAGCGGGAGACGTCCTGTGCCATTGATTGTGCCGCGGAATGATTGCATGGCTTCATTTCACATAGGCCTGCAATCGATAAGAGATTAGATGACGATGCGCAGAGACAGGATCATCCTCACTCATCATGGAGAATCGCTGAATGCCCGACTTATTGGCAGCTTCACGAGAAATTGTGAGGGCTGCTGTAACTATTCTTACGTCGGCGAAGCTAGTCTATGTTTTTGTTGACGTTGTTGTTGTTGCTTTTCTGCGCGACGCGTTCTGCACATGTCCGCGTGCTGTCATCCACACTGGCGTTCTGCATCATCGTCAGGGTGGTCCACCAGCACGTCCAAGCCACAAACTTGTTGAGTAGGCACGAGGATCGGAGAGGTTTCCGCTCGCCATAGACCTGGAGCCGGTCAAGCCGTACCCAGTTCGGCCAGTTCAGACGCAACCACCCTGGCTGTTGTTTCCTACGTGCATCCCGCCAGCCATAAGAAGGCATTACCCAGCACATGAAGCTCGCAATGTCTCCATGCTCAAGCGGCCTGTCTCGAGACCTGGTGCTGCGTGTGTGATGCAAGAATCTGCAACAGGCGAGCGTATCCGAAAGTGGGATGGCCTAGTTCGCCGAGCTGTCTGACGGCAGACCAGTGTTTCAGATCCAGCGGACGTTCAACAGATGCAGGCGCGTTTTTGATGCTCCGGTGTGATGCTACAGAGTGGTGTGTCAACGTTGGAACTTGTAGTAGACGTACCAAAGATAGGTATGCATTGTGCTCACGGCTCTTGATGTGAGGGTGTCCGATGGGCACCACACTCCAGTGCACACGTAGCAGGAGCGATGAGCAGACCAACGTTTCAGTTACGTATGTAGCTTCTATCGACATGCGGGGCGATTGTATATACTAGTGCATTATGTTCGCGTGGCACTTGTTGGGTCTAGAAGAGTGGACGAAGAAGCTGAAAACAAGTTGTGATCTGGGAACGGAAGATACAACTAGCGTCTGCCACCTGAGCATGTTCACGCTGCATATGCTATCGGATCATTTTCCGTACCATGGTACGGTTGCGCGTTGGCAAGTGTGCTATCATAAGCACCTGGACAGGTTCACGATAAACGTTAAGTAGCGTACCACACATCTTATGCGCTATCCTAAGAACTAGCACGAACGGGTCTTGTATCCGTCATTTAAAAGTCATCAGAGTGGTGAGAATAGGCACCAGCAGGGGAGAAGTAAAGCTTTGTAATAGGGAATATCTAAGGTGATTTGACCAATCGCTCAACGCCGACGCTATGCAATGCCAAAAGTTAACTCCGCCACCGACATTACACCAGTATAAGCACTATCCCTATACCCATCCAACCCATTAGCACCATACCAGCGTTGCGTGTCGGGTTGATGCCAGCCGCATATGTATCCAATCATTCCAGACGTTCATGCAACAGGCTTCGTGTCGTACGCCACCCTGAACCATCCAATTCTGGCTCGACCCATTACCGAAGCCGTACCAAGCCATTTTGATCGACGTGATTGACACCCGCCATGCATGTCCCCGGCGGTCATGTACAAATCGCATCGGACGCTAACTGCGCCTTCGTTGAGTGAAACTCCTCCTAATCGATTCACCCCATGCCGAGTTATCAAGCACTTCCAAAACATCTGCTGCACTAACTGCGCTATTCCCACGGCTACGACTATTCGCTTGCCCGGGATCGACTTCGAGAGGACTGGGTGGCCGACTAAGTGCCGACGCAAACTGCCATTCTGGTTGCTCGTCGCCAGACGGAGAGAAGGGAGATGGCTGTGGACTTGCCCGTGTAGGTGAACCTGTTGGTGTTTGTTGTATTGAGTTGGACCTGCTTCGGGTGCGGTCGTAAGGGAAGGCTGGTGGCGAGGTAGACGTGCCAGCCGAGTTGCGAGGGGAGGGTGCGTAGAGATCTTGGGGTGAGAAGAGAGGACTGGGAGGTCCAGAAGATTGACCTCGCTGAGCGTCTGTGATGTCTTCGTCGTCGATAAAGATCTCGGGAACGGTGAACTGCGGGATCGCTGTCATACGTCCCTGCTTCTTTTGGTCCATGGCGCGGCGGAAGCGCCGTGCCCAGTATAGTGTGTCGAAGAAACCTACGACCACGTTGCGACGGACAGCTTCTTGAACTCTTTGTAGGCGAGCTCTGCGCCTCAAGAACTCCTCTAGTCTTAAGCTCTTGTTGTCGTTGATGACCTTGTGGTGAGCCAAGATCATCAGCAGGGAAGAGAACTGGATGCCCCTATCAGGGTCGCTTGACACGAGCACTTCCTCATAGAAAATGTTCATGCGTTGTCGTCTGCGCCGTATTTCCGCGATTGGTAGCTGTGCGAGACGACGGTTCAGTTTGTCAAGATCGATCTCTTTGGTCGGTTCACGGCCTGATACTGGGAGGTTGGATTCCCTCCGAGGTGCTACTCCACACTCTTCGATCAAGGAACCGACGGTGAAATCGCCATCGTAGATGCGCATCTCAAACACACCAGAGAGTTCCTATCGCTGTTAGTTTCGTGCTTTGATATGAATGTTCGTAAACCTACACCCAGGAGCCTTGGAAACACATCTCTTGAGATGTAGCCTGTCCCGTTAGGATCAAACTCTGCCCAAGCTTGTTTGAAGCGACGAATCTCTTCTCGGCTGATGACGGACAACCCGCTGCTTCGTTGATACACATAACTGAAACTTTCGTATATCAACGAAACAAACAAGTTGACGAAGATATACATGCTCAGGATGTTCCAGGTGATGAATAGAGCTCGCGCCCATTCGGGGCTGCCGCAGTCGCTGTTGAAATACCTGTCGCCCACCGTGCAGTAAGGTTTGTCGACGTTGGCGTAGTCCTCCATGAACTCGTTCCAACCCTCACCACCACTCGTTACAAAAAGGAAAACGAGTGCTTTGGGTACAGTCCGGAAGTTGACGTTTCCAGTTTCATTGGCGCCAAACCTGGTGAGACCGAAGGTTTGTGTAAGGGCAATAGCGTATACCAAGAACAGGACGAACCATGTGGCAAGAAGGTTGGCGATGGACGCAAGACTCGCTGCGGCAGTCTTGAACAGCTGGTCGAGCTGATTATTCCGAGGGATAAGCATAAGAGCGATGGATACGAGGAAGAGCTTGTGCAGTTGGACGAATATCCTAACATCCTCTTTCGCTAAGACAAGAATCGACGTAGCGAAAGTACCCGCAACCGAGAAGATTGAGTACACATCCCACGCACTTCTCCGGAAACGATGCCACGAAAGACCGATAATCCGGATGACAACATTCGCAATGAAGGTGATGGTAAGCGCAAGGAAGATGTAGTCTAGAACTGTTAGTCACAGCTTGTAGAGGGCGTGAGAGGAAACTTACCCCTAGCAGTCTCCCATGGTCCATACCCTGGATACCATTCCAAACAAAGCAGCAGAAGATGCAGTATCAGAACGCCAGTGATGGTTCTCTGCCAGGATCCGGTTTTAGTGACAGCTCTGCGGTAACACCACTCTTCCCAGCTCTCTCGTTGCTTGGTGGACGAAGGTCGTTTGGAGGGAGAGACTTGACGAAGGAGCTTCCGCAGTTCTAGCCAGGAGCGCTGGTCCGTCGTCAAGAAGGCGACTCCAGTTTGTTCCGTATAGTTGCGCATAAACACGGAAACAAATAACGTCAGGACGAAAACAGCGCCGAGCAAATTGAAGACGATGAAGTAGACAGAGTTGCCTTGAGACGCTCTGTCCTCTGGCTGAGTATAGACCCCAGTGATACTCATGGCAGTCCACATATTGTCTGTCCAGCCCTCTTGCGATACAATTTGGAACAAGATGAAGAGGGCATCTCCGAAGTTATCGAAATCGTAGTAAGGGTTGGCAGCTTGGCGTGGGGCTAAGACGTCCCAGCTAAATGGACTGCTGTTGTACTCTCCGACACAATCTCTCAGACTGGCGCCTCCAGGGAAGTCGCTGTCGTTGCAAGACTGTAGCTGGCCGACAAAGAGGTTCAGACCATAGATGGCAAAGGGGATCAACAAGCTCAATGACACAAAAGCAGCCTGCTCATGATTAGCCTCAAACATGTGTACCGTGGGATATGCTTACTGAGAAGAGCTTCCACCAACCGCGAACGATGAGCGCATGGAAGTGATTGCGTGCGCTATCGCTGATGTTGAGCAAACGCAAAGCCCTCAATGCTTTGAAGGCGCCTACGGTTCGAGTGACTTGGCCCTCGTTCAAGAACGATGTACCAACGTTGATCCAAAGAGTGATCAATACAATACCATCGATGAAACCCCAAGAGCCGCGAAAGTATGCGTTGGGCGTCCAAAAAAAGCCATCGGCGATCACCTTGATAAGCGCCTCAATACTGAAAAGGACAGCGAAGCCCATGTCTACCCACACGAACCAGTTTTTGACGCTGAATTCGTGGCTCATGAAGTACTCGCGTTGATACAGTGGCGTCGTAATACAAGCCAACAGTACCATGGCGATAATGGCAGCGTAGATGAATGCAGAGAATGCATACCAAACAGGAACAGATGGGGCGACTCCTTCAATACGGTCGCCACCACGGCCGGGGCCCACAATCCTCTGACATAGCTTGCGTATCGGGTTGCTGACTCGGAAGATGAACATGGAAACGTTGTAGTTTGGGTGGTTCCGCAGATACTCGCGTTGAGCCTTTTTTCTTCTCTCGGTAGCTGAGACAACTTCCTTTGCCATTGTTCTAGGATCTAGGTCCTCATACGCACGGCTAAAGTCCAGAGGAGCGTAGAAAGGATTGACTTCCCGGTGCACAATTCGGCGTTGGAATCGTTGCCAGATCGTGGACATAGTTCCGGACCCTACTATAGTCTTGGCTGGACGAATGCCAGGCCGAGGTTCTTCATCTTGCGGGCTCTCATTACCATCCCCCTCGTCAAGGAAGTCACGAACAACCGCATCTTTGAGTAGCATTTCTGTGGCGGCAGAACCATAGTCGAGTGGGTCTCTACGACGGGCCTGTCCAAGTTTGAAAATGGACGACAGAGATAGATTACTATGATATGTAAGCACATGTGTTATCAATGGTAAGAGAGGTCTACATACCCAGTGCCCGAGGTAAGACCGTCTTCCTTTTGTTGCAGGAAAGCTTTGACTTGCTGTAAACGCTTCTCATCCTCGGAAACATCGAAGTTCTCCTGAATGACAGCGATAAACATGTTCAAGACAATGACTAGTAAATGGTAAGCCCGCGTTCTTGAAATGAGTGTCCAATTTGTACTTACAATTAGCAAAGATGAACCACATGATACAAAAGGACGCTCCTATCCACGCTGTACCGAACGGCTTCTGATGAGCGGTAACGTTGTACAGGATACTGGTCCAATCTTCACTGGAGAATATCTGATACATTCCTAGGAAGGAGTTGTAGATGTCGAAAAACGGCACGCGGATCGTCTCTCCGTCATCTTGCTCAGGAATCTCACCACGGAACAGCTGAGAGGCAAAGATGGATGCCAGAAAAGTCAAAAGGAACACAAAGAGAATCAGGTTCAGTAGACCGCCCGCGTTTCCGAAAACGACCATCTGGTATGATTGTTAGCTGAGCTCTTTCCAATGGCAACAAGCAGAACCTACAATGAGGTCGCGTGTCATCGGCACAGCCAAGACAACGCGATAGACACGAAGAATCTGAAAGATCGATAACCAAGCGTAGGCTTTTCCATCGTGTGCATGCTTGATGGCTGGTATTTGTATGATGACTGTGATGACAGCGATCATGAGGTCGATAATATTCCGCCTGCCCTTGAAGAAATGTCTCCAGTCGACAATAATTCGTACGATGATCTCAACGAATAGGATGAATGTGACGATGATCTCTGTGGCATTGATGAAAGTGCGGCGAAAGTCGCTCATGTTGGCGCTTCTCATCATTTGGGCAACAAGGCCAAAAGCTATCACAAACACCCATACCCACAGAGTCTTGTCGTAAAGACGTTTGAGACCGCTGACGCGTTTCTTCTCGTCGCTGTTCTCGGCATCTTCCTCTTTGATCTCCACGCCAGTGAAAGCGCTAGTCTTGCTTTCTTCGCGGATGATCTGGAAGGAGGAGGTAATGACAGCGATCAAAAGAGATATGAGCCACAAACTCAGAATCAGCATTCCTACAATGAAGAAGAGTGAACTGATCAGGTAGTCTGTGTCGGCTACAGTGTAGAGCAAGTCAGACCAAGTGTTGGACGACATGATGACGAAAACAAGCTCAAGGGATTGAAGAATGTTGTCGAAACTTTTCGTGCCTGCAGAGGGATTATCGCCCTCAACACAGATGGAACCCTTCGGGCAAAGGAAACCTTTACCGTTATCAGGTCCAGGTGGCATACCCGGAGCAGGGATGTATCCTGTGGGATGGTGGCCTTCGATGTTCTGCAAGTGACCACCACAAAACTGGTTGTCGTTGGGAAATCTTTCTTGTGTCGCTGGATCTATCCACACACAGTTTCTCCTGAGACTTGATTTGAAACTCTGGACACCGACAATCGAGAAGAGAAGCCAGAAAAAGCCGATAAGGAATGCAACATTGACTAGCAAAGGCGCAGCCTTCTTCAAACTCCTGAGAATGACGGAGGTACCGCTGGTAAGGTTCAGAAGACGAATGATGCGCAAACAGCTCAACATATCGAAGACGAGAATGACCCGGCTATTATCGATGTTCCACAAGCCTAGGACAAAAGCGATCCAGTACGAAACGACGGCAATGAAGTCGGTTCGGTTGAAAGAATGTCTGAGATAGGCTCGATGTGCTAAGCGAGCACGTTGTTGCTGACGTGCATCGCCTACCCCAATGTCGGTGTGCATCTGTGCAGTTGTGAAGGTCCGAAGCACTGAAGGCTGGTGAGGATCCTGAGTGGGGTCGCTGTTGGTGCCACTTCGCCGCTGTGAAGGCTGCCGTTGAAGACCCCCAAATAACTGGTTTGCTTTGCTTATGACAGCCTCACGTAGGCCAACCTGTCGATTGATGGTACTGTACTCGACGGGGTTGATGATGAAACCAGATACAATTATGCGGACAATAACCTCTAATGTGTATATGATGAAAAGGCACATCAGAGCGTAGTCAATACCGTTGAATGTCGAGATCTCTTTGCTATGCCCGGCATTGTATTGCGCTTTGGTACGCGCATCTACTGCTAGAAGAATCGTCTGGATGACGATGAGCACGAGAAGCAGTGGCTCGGTGACTGAATGCACAAGCAGGTCGCAAAGCTTGATTCTCAGTTTGCTGTCGGCTGGGAAAATTCCCAGGCTCTTCCCTCGCAAAGGATTTGGAGGATGTTGCCATGATGCGCTTGGTGTTCTGGAGTAAACCACAGGTGATGGGGGCTTCTCAATTGGCGTGGATGGAACGGGTGAGGTAGGACCATCCGTGGAATATTCGGGCAATGTTGGAATTGACAGAGGAGGTGCAAGGCGTCCTTGGTGTGTGGTGGATTTCCGTTGTAGGGTTCGCTCGGCGACTTGGGAATCGTTGCTGACATTGACAACACGCTGGGACATATTCCGCATGATAGTCCCAGCCCTGTGTAAAGGCGACTCGAAATTGCCAGGCGATAACGAACGCTTCCTTCCTCTTGAGTCTCGCAAGTTGCCCGCCTCCGCCTGCCCAATATCGTCGCCATGCCGGGCTGTCGGCGATGCATCGCCTGGACTGAGGAAGCGCACACTCTGGAAACTGGATCGGTCTTGCTCAATCGGAGTAGTTGGAGCTGCGGCCCCGCTTATCGGTTGGAGATTGCGCGCATCCGTCAACCGAGCTGTGTCGTCGTAGGTGGGGGAGAAGTAGTCGTGGTCCTCCGAGGTTGATCTGTCCACGTATGGTTCGTGCGAATACGAGGTATCAATGTAGGATAATTGCGACGACCCCGGTGTAGGTATTGGCGGCGAGGTATTGCCTTGGAATTCCATGCCCATGCCAAATCCGATAGCAGCCTGGAATGCGCCTGCATCCAAGGGCGAGCCAGGCTCTTCCTCCTCCACCCTCCGTATGCCATTGTTCGCTGGGGCCAAATTGGTGTTTACCTGCGGGCGTTGAGCGAAGCGCGTAGGGCTGGGCGACACCTCTGCGATGGGCGAGTACTGAGAGTCCCGGAAATGCCCCCCTGTTGCTATCGCGCCTGTCTGTCTAAGCAGATTCCGTCCGCGATCGCTGAGGGTCCGCCTATGTTCTTGTGGCGCATGTTCGTCGAAGTCGTCGGGCGGGCGATTAAGGTCTTGCAGAGGTATTGACTGGTGGGTGTGATTTCGTCCGTGGTTGGGATCTGGGTAGGACATTGGGGCGTCCTGTCTGGTGTGCGGCGTTCAATCCAGCATCTGATCCAACTCAGCTCTCTTGGAATGCTATCGCGCAATCATGCAGGCTTCAAAGCAAAGGCAAGCGAGTGTCGTAGTGAAAGGAGCGATGGTAAAGGCAGTGGCGGGATAGGTAGGTCCGGCGCAGGCTTTCCAAGGCGCGTCTTGTATGTCTGGCAGGAAAGTGTTGGTTCGAAATGCGGGATGGATGCGGATTCCCAAGCACGGACAAGGGTCAATGAACGACAAGGATGCGCAGCTTAGACTAGGGCTGAGGTTTAATTTTAGTTTAACGTCCACTGTACCTGTCATGTTCGGCATGGGCTACTCCATCTTCACAGCAATATGCCTCTGCTATGACGAACGCGCTCTTGCTATAAAACTACATACACGGTATTTGCTCTACAAGCTAGACTATACTGCCATAAGCATAAGGGACCAACACAACCGCGGAAGATCCGAAACTGCTGACGGCTTACTATGCAACGTCTCTGGCCCCTAGCATGGAATCCTCCGGCAATGAGCCACACTTGGTGGAGTGCTGTGGCTTGTGCGTTTGCGTGGCTGACGCGGCCTGGCATCGTCAAGCGGGTCATCATGACCTATCCAAGACTTTTCCAAGGCTATGACCCTTATGATGTTGATTCGAGAGTGTGTTCGTACGGTGTCAACCGACAGACAGTTGTTTTATGTATCATTTCACGAAATGCTGATGCTCATAAGCCCGTATTTGTCCGGTAAGATGGGTGCGTTAAAGTTTATCATGGCAACTATCATAGTAAGCGACCTACATTCAGACCATGTATTCGAAATATTACTTCTATAGTTCTGCCTGTGTACTGAAATCAATAACGTTTCCTGCTGTCCTTCCAGGATGAGTGTACCATCTCTGCCAGTTGACATGTGCAAGGCTGGCACGATGCGGCCTTACCGGTTTGGGCTCTCCCCCGGGCTCGCCGACAATCGACGCGCGACATTCATCACTCACTTCACCAAAAAGGGACATCCGCACTCACATCATCGCCCTGACCCCGAGCCGACCGGCACAACGACAGCATACCCTATCGCCATCTAATAACGCGCATATTCTACCCATCAACTCTGACCTCCTACACCATATTCGCACGCTACTCGCACGCGTCGCCGCACGCGAGGCACCGCAGCCATGCCGTCTCGAAAACGCGCCGCCGAGGAAATGGAGGCTGAGGCGCCTGTTGAAGAGCCCAGTACATTGCAGAAACTGCGCAATATGTGGCAGTTCTCCAACTTGGCCCAGTACATCAGTCTATTTGGTGACGCGGTCAAAATCGACAAGGACTTTGACATCGAGGTACATGGCATTTGCGCCCAGCATCATAGGCCGGCGCGCACATATCTCATAGACATCAGGAGCTGACAACCGTATAGGAATTGGAGTCCGAATGTCTTAAACCACAGCCGTCCGACAAACTTGCACAAATTGGCTTAGCGCTGCTGAAGCACGTATCGTCACACAAAGGCTTGACGTAAGAGTTCACCATTGCGCATTACCTCGAAAGTGCTAACGCGATGACAGACCCGACATCTTTGATGAATACACCCGTCGACAGTATGTCGCGAAAGCGCCCGCTCGAAACCCCTTTGGCGAGGAAGAGGAACCCAACAAATTCCACGACTTCGACGTCTTCACCAAGATACGCGTGTTGCAACAATTATCTGTATGGACGCTCAACAATCCAAACACAATAAGAGAGAAGATGGGAGCGACGGATAGCGAGCAGACGCTCTGGGTAAGCATCGTATGGATTGGTCTAGGGCAATGACTAACATGCCGCAGCGTATGGAGCCCACAGGCTGGGACTCGCAAGAACGATCGCTCTTCGTTCTAGATGACAACCGCATGTACCGAATGACAGATCCACCACCACCTCCAGAACCTACGAAAGCCAAACCCAAAGCAAAGTCGAGGAAGTCAAAAGGATCGAGATCCAGCAAGCGACAGAAGGCATCTACTCCCGAGGCCGAAGAAGCCGTTGATGATGAGCAGGCAACAGAAGAACAACAGTCTCTGGAGACAGACAACGGTCTTGGTGGCAAGAAGTGGGAGTGCATCTGCGTCACCTTGGAAGATTATCAGGAGTACATGAACAGTATCCGGAAGAGTCGCGATCCCAACGAGAAGATACTGTACAAACGACTTCAGGAGGACGTTATGCCCGTCATGGAGGGGTTGGCGGAGGAGCAAGCGAAGAAGCAGGCTCGCAAGTTGAAGGAGTTGGAAAATATGCAAAAGCTTGCCACGGCAAAGCGCTCATCGCGAATCTCGTCGCGACTTGAAAAACAGAAAGAGGTTGAGGAGGCCGAAGCTGCAGAACGTAAGAGACAGGAAGAGCTTACAATGGCCAAGGCGGAGCAAGAGAAGCAGAAGAAGATGGAGGAAGCACAAGATTCTCGCAGGATGACTCGTGAGCAACGGCTGAAGGAGCGTGAGACGGCCAAGATTCTCAAAGAAGAGGAGCTGCGTAGATTGCAAGAGAACGAACAGAAGCTGGCTTCAAACAATGCCAGGCTCTCTGAGCGGCACCTGAAGGCCATGATGAAGAAGCACGAAAGTGATCTCAAAAGGCTTAACGAGGAAGAAGATTGGTTCTTTGACTGCGAAAAGTGCGGTACTTACGGCTCCAACCTAGTGAGTTCAACTGCATGAACATGTTTACTTCCGCTGACTCCAGTAGAACGACAATACGCCACAAATATCGTGTGAGAAGTGCAATGTCTGGCAACACATGAAGTGCCACGGCATCACAGAAGAACAGGCCGATGATTCGAAATTCGTATTTGTTTGCACTGCCTGCAAACGTAAAGAGGGAGAGGCGGACCAGCCGAAGCCTCCATCTCTCAAGTTACGGTTGACATCACAGTCACCATCTTCTCATAATCACGCAGAAGCAAATGGCGACGGACCCTCTATGCCAGCGCACCGATTTGACGGAGTACAACTACCAGCACCACAAGCTTTCCAGCCGCCTATGCATTCTGCACAGCCCTGGGTTGACGGCCCAAGTCTATCTCCACGGGGTCAAGCTCTGGGCCCGCCTGGCATACAAAGATCAGAAGCTGCCTATGGATCGCCGACAAAAGGCGCGAATGGTAGCATGTCATCACCGATACGAGCTCACTTCTCATCCCCTGGGCACAGAACTGGAAACGGTCATCCAACATCGTCACCTCCACCTTACAACCTCGAACGAATACCAAGCAGCCCGACCAAAGGCTTCCACATGCCACAACCACAGCAGAACGGCAGCTCTTTTGGAGGCCCGAATCCATTCAACTCCAACCCCTTCGGACCGCCACAACCGGAAGCACCGTATGTGCGAAGCTTCAGCCGTCCAGCGTCAGCAGCGGGCCCAGGCGGCTCGCCAGTAAAGCACTCTCCAGCAGCCTCCCCCCGGCCAGCCAACGGCCTACCACCCAGTTTCAACTTCAACAGCCCCCACTCTTCTTTCCCACCCAGCTCCGCCAACCGCCCATCCTTCTCCCCAACCAAACACAGTTCGCCCGCGCCCCTCCGAGCAAACATGTCATCACCGGCTCCGGCACCAATGCGCATAGCTCCGTCTCCTTCGTCCCAAATGCCCGCCCAGATGCTCCCAGACCCCATCCCAGCGCCACTGAAACACGACGGCATGCGACCAGTATCGAGTCATCAAATGTCCGAGACGCCCGTCTTCCCGCCTATCAAGAGCTTAGAGCCCCTTTCTAGCCCAACGATTCTTGATCCGCCTGTTAAGAAGTCAAGTCCGGCACCAGACAGGTTTCTTGATAGAATGAATGGTTTGAATGGGGTTGGGCATGGAAGCAGTCAGTAAGCCACTGATGCACTCCTTTGAGAAGCGAGAAGATCTTGCAATTTTTCTTTTGACAAAAGGCTGGCAGCTTCTAGCAACGGCAGCTATAGTTTCTGGCTCGTTTCCTTCTTTATTTGGCTTGGTTTCGTTTGCAGAGCACCTTGGTATAGTATACTTTGCTATCGTCCTTTTTCCTCTTAGCAACGTCGTGGCGTTTGGGTAAACAGATATAGATTGAGCCAGAGATTTCCCTCGGCCTGGTTCTGGTCTATCTCTTGCATAGTTGGGGGTAATGCGGGGGGCAGGATATGCTGACGGGCGATGTTTCTCCGGCAACGAAACATGGTGCATGCACGGAGTATTGTATTGACATTGATTTTAAGCGTGGTTCTTAGTTTGTTCAAAAGAGTTTGTATTATTAGATATACCACTGAATGGAAAATTGCAATAACGAAGACGTGTATTTTTCTGATTTGTCTGCCAGGCCAGCGTATAAAGAAGCTCCTTATTTTTTTCCCGAAATGGTACCTGGGTAAACTGTGCCCTGAAGGTATCCGCTGTGGTTGCAATAAAAAAAACTTACAGAACACAACATAATGTATCCCCCTGGGGCACACGTCGTATGTTGTGATTGTCTCTAAGGGAAGGATGTCTCTGCCTCGTAGAGGAAGGACCCAACATTTTTATTACACCGCTGAATACACACATCCTGCAATTAAGACACCCTTGACGTTTTGTTCCTGAAGTGGAATAGGAGACGCACTACTCGTGTCCTTCCACCAGGCTTGACTATGGATGCATCCATGCTTCATCATCGTCCTCGTCCTCGTCATCTTTGTCACTATCCTCCTCCTCCTCCTCCTCCTCCTCCTCTTCTTCTTCTTCTTCTTCTTCTTCTTCTTCTTCTCCATTCATCATCCAGTTGCTCACGAGAATTTGCTCTGCCATTGCATCAACAAGCATATATCAATCAGCCTGTCCATCACCATCCATCTCATCTGCCTTCAAGTCCTCAAACTCGCACCCAAGCTCCTCAAAATAACCTTGCATCTGATCATGCGCGAAGTAGTTCACCACTGCACCCCAAGCGAACATGTTGGCAAGCTCTTTCTCCCACACCGGTAGCGGAAGGCTCTTGATATCTCCTTTCCACCTTCTCCTCCAAGCCTGTCTCAGAAGCTGACAACAGTAATGGAAGTACAGGTAACAAGCAGCAGGCCTGGATTGAAGACTACAAGCTGGGAACAGCAGTTTGATTCCGTCGAGTTGACGCGTTGTCAGGTCCTGGCCTTTGGCATCGGTAAGAGCCCAAAGGTCCAAGGTCACTCGACCATCGTCGAAGATGTTGATCTTGTATTCATGTGGATGAGTGGTCATCCACGATGTTATTTCGCCTTGTGACCTGAGATCCTTGGTATCAGGCACGGTGGCCATGGGTACATTGTCGAATAGCTCCTTGATATGGATAGGCAGGAAAAGGCCATTCGCAGAGGAGAACTGATCGTTTTCGGACGAAGATCCGTAGATAGCTGTCATTAACTCCTGACCCAGTTGCCAAGCAAAAATGTGCGAAGCTGTAAAGTGCGATTCATGTTCGCATTTTCCGGTGAAGGTGTTCCAAACGTGCTTCTCATACATGCCTCCCTTGGGATCGCGCAACTCCTGGTCTTTGATGATGTCGCACCTGAAGTTGTAACGTGTGAAGGCATCTTTGACGTTGACGTTTAATGGGAAGCGATCGTAAGGTTGCAGGAAGAGCCTTGGTAAGTTGCCTTCTTGATCGCTTACATCTTCAAGCTCAGCAACACGCTTCTTGTAAATCCTCTTCTTCATGTCCCAACCCCGCAGGGCTTCTAGCAAGGATTGTGCTACGTCTGAGTTTAGAAACTCCGCAGAGGCGTAATTGTCGATATCGTACTCGCTGGAAGCTTTCTCGAACCGAAGTGCAATTAACGACCATCCCGTACTTGCATATTCTACTACTCTTTCCCAGTAATTCGGATCGCAACTTGACTTCGAGTCTCCTTCCTTCTTTATTCCCTTGACACTTTCTCTATTATGCCATATTTCCCAATCGATGTTTGACATCGAACTCATCGTTTTACTGCTTCGCCACTTTCTATCGGAAGAGTCGGGCAGATACGTACTAGACTTGAGGTCCTTGAAGGGAGATGTCGGCTTCTTTGACTTTGAATTATCGGTTGGACCAGAACTGATAAGGAAATAGAAAGCTTGAAGTTGAGCCACAGAAGGCACGCATTTATGTCAAGCTGTGCGCATATGACTCTTCGCGATCACGTTCGTGGTACCGAAAGTACGAACCATGGGAAACCATGGTCAAATGTTCGGAAATATAATCCACTCTCAGTAGGCATACACCCAGTAGTCTCCCGCCATGTTGACAATGTTGAACATCGATCCCGACAGCGACTGATGTCTCCTCCTGGCTGCGGGTTGCCATCTCGAACTTGGAGAAAGAGGGGCAATGTCAGAGCTTGGTGCTGGCAAAGACGCCTTCCGACCCTTCTCTTTTTCTCATCACTTTACTGCTACGAAACCAACAAGCTGTAGACTGAGTTGCTTAACGTTATTATGTTTCTTGCATTGTAACTCCCCAATTATCCGATATGCTACCAGAAAACGCCCAAACAGCGCCTTTCTCCCCATACCCAAATGCCGCAAATGCCAAAATGTTCAGACAGTATGCAAACCTCCCAGCAAAACGGGTTCGGCAAGCAGGTAACCAGTACTTAGGCCTTCAACCTCCTCTCTTCACAGCGCATACAAACAGGATCCTGACTTTCTCCCCTGAGGAAATACCTACCATCTTCAAAGGGCCCAGAGCAACACTAGCACATAAAGTTAGTGAAAAGACATTTCAAGTCGAAAGAAGAGGAGGACTTACCACACAGACAAAACAGCCAACATGCCACTCAGCCCCAAGCGCCTTGACAACAGTATCGGTAACAGGTTTCCTACACCCCTTACACTTGGTGCTATACCGATGCGTATGGCAATTCACACACCAAGCATACCCATCTTTCTCGACAAAGGGAGTCGTGGAATCGAACGGATCACCACACTGAGCGCAGAAGAAATGACCAGCATGCCATTCCGCGCCGCAGGCAACGATAACCTCGCCCTCTATGGGTGTCTTGCAGCTCTTGCAGCGCGGGGAGAAGAGCTCGTGGAAGTCGAGATGGCAGTAGAAGCGTGGAGATTCGTCGGTGCCGTCGTCGTGCTCGAGACGTGCCATGTCATCTGCGGTAGGGTGGGAAGGGAGGTAGGGGATGTCGGCGCCAGAGAGACGGGCGCGGATGCGGTGGACGCGTTCGGCGTGTTTGTTGGAGGGTTCCGGGTAAAAGGCTACGCATTCGAGGTGCTCGCCGCATTGGTAGCAGGCGAAGCATTCGGGATGGAAGCGGGAACCTGATGCTGAAACGATACGACCTGAGATGGGGAGTGCACATTGAGTACAGAGAGCGCCTGTACGGACAGTGGTTGGTGTCCAGTGGGTGCGAGGAGTGGCTGTGCCGTTATAGCTGTGGGACTTGTTTTGAGCGTTCGGCACTGGAAGTGGTCGTGTAGAGGCGGCCGGGCCAAAGCCTTTAGGTGTGTTTACGTTGATCGAAGGCACTGAAGGGCTGACCGATATCGAAGGAGGATTGTTGTTGCGCCCTCGAGTAGAGGCTGGGGCCTCATTGACAGATATGGTTGGTATATCAGGAGTTACATTGATGGATGGTGTAGTTGATCCTCTCCTCAGTGCAGGTGTTTCGCTCACGGAGATGCTTGGGATTGGAGGAGCATTGGTTCTTGACCCACGGCTCGGCGCCGGTGATTCGCTCACAGAGATCGATGGGATTTCGGGTGTCACGGAGACTGAGGGTGTTGTGTAACCTCGTCTCGGAGCTGGAGATTCGCTGACCGATATGCTGGGGACAGGAGGAGTGGTCCCTGTTGGCGGCGCATACGAGCTACGACTAAACGGACTCTTCCTGGCTGAAATTGATGGGGTCTCAGACACGGAAATAGAAGGAATTGGTGGTGCTGGTGTGGTCCTTGAACGCGCAGGAGCTGAGTCAGATACGTTGATAGTAGGTAGAGGAGCAGGGGAAGGACGAGTCGGTATGTTGGCTTTCCTCAGCGAGCTTGTCAGTGGTAGGGGTTTCGCTTGGGCTGGAGGGTCTTCGTAGATGTTGATGGTAGGTTTTCCTTTTAGACTAAATCGCCCAGGCGCAGGAGTGGAAATAGACGAGTTGTTAGCCTCTGGAACCACAGGCGGTCTCGGAGTGGTGCTTCGCTCTGGTACGTCTGGTGCCAGACTGACTTTAGGCTCTGAAGGAACGTTGATCTCTGGAACCGTAGGTGGCCTTGGAGTAGTGTTTCGCTTAGGCACATCTGGCGTAAGACTCATGGTAGGTACAACGGGTTCGGTATCGGCGTGCTTCAGCGGAGGCGGGACAGACTTGGTTGGGTTCAGAGGCCGTGGTGTTAGATCAGGCGTAGTTGATATCTCCTCTTTCATCTCGATTACATTCCAGTCTTTCTTGAAGGAAACGATTGGTCGCCCTGGAGCATCTGAGACAGCCGTAGGAGTGGGCAGCTTTGCACTGCGGTCCTTTAGACGAAACCCAGTGGCAGCACGGAGCTCGTCGCTTCTTATCTCCTTGCCGTCCTTCATCTTCACTTCCGGTTCATTCTCCGCATCCGCCTTGACATCCTCTGCTGGCTTTGGCTCCGCCGAGTTTAGTGTGTACGCCGCATTCCTAGATTGAGTCGGAGGGTTCTTCTGTATCTCGTAGCGATCGAAGCGTTTGGATGCCATGGTAGGGTCCGTGTTGGACCTCACCATGGGGTTCCCCTTGATGGATTGGAAACGCATGAAGGGATTGCGCCGTATGCCCAATGGTAGCTTTTCGGATTTGGATGGTTCGGCAGCGGCGGGCGTAGGTGCAGGAGCAGACGGTGCTTCCTCTTCGGGTTCTTCGTAGATCTGGTCCTTGGGGTTGGAGAAGAGACTCCCGCTGATCGTTCGGCGCTGTCCGCTGCTCCTTCGTCGTCCTCTAAAGTCTGGGAGGTCTGAAATGGCTTTCTTTAGTGCTGTTGACTCGTCCTGGTTGCCCTTTATGTCAAAGCTGCTCTTGGTAGGCGACGTACTGAAGCCTGCATTCCCAGCGACTGATGTATCGGTATGGCTTCCGGCGCCGTTGCTCTGTAAGCTGCTACTCCTGCTCCCTGACGCGGCACTTCCCACCGAATGTCGCTTCCGCAGTTTAGAATTGGCCCGCTGCAGATCCTGATCCTTCGGTTCGACGCTCCGACTCCTCTGCGCGCTGTTCTTCCTGGCCAGACCCGGATAAGCATACGGTTTGGTCGGACTGGCGCCAGCCGCATGGGGATTGCAATGCTTCCAGACCAGTTCCACAGCTTCGTCTCGTGCCGCCTCGAATATCTTGCCCTCTTCCTGCGCGAGTTCCAGGTCCTCCATGGCAACGCGAATAGCTCGTGCCTCACCCTGCTCCGCCTGACGCTGTTCCCTCTCGCGGTATGGCACGCTTGGTGTTCGTGATGGCGACGACGACCTCGACGTGTCCCGCCCGCGTGGTGGCTGTACCAGCGGCCTTCCAACATTGGCTACGACTTCATCTATGCTCATCTTCGATGTTGTTCGGCTGTGCGACTTGGGTTCGTGCGAGGACGAGGGGCGTGCATCGGCGTCGACAACGGGATCTGTGAAGGTGCGTTGTAATGAAGATACGTTGGACGAGTCGGACATTCGGTTGTTGGATCTGCTCGACCACGTATTGAAATGTGCGGGAGCAGGTCGAGCTCCGGTAGGGCGTGCGGGGCGGTTTGTACGAAGATCTTGGAGATAGCTCTCTACATGCCAATGGTCAGTATGGCAGTTGGAGATGCATGTCGATGCTTCCTACTCATTTGGGACGGCGAATAGTAGGCACCAGGCCCTGGCGACGAAGCACCTTCCCTTTCCTTGGACGTGAACATTGGGAATGCACGCTGGCCTCGGTGTTTACTGCTCTGTTTGTACTTGTCGAAAGTATTGGCGCGCCGATTGAGAGAGCTAATTCCTAGCTTGGGAAACAAGGATAGGGAACGATATGTGAAGAATAGAGGATTAATTGTACGACACCAAGCTGCGAAAAAGCGGTGGTGATGTGGTTGAGCTGCTGCTGGTAGCTTCTCTATTCGCTCGTTGCCCGGCAACTGCGACGTGTGACGCTGGCTGACCGCTCCCACCCCATCATCCCTGCAGCCGCATTATCCCCGGAGACCCTGACGATCGAATACAGGGCCAAGTATCGAGATCATTATTTTGGGCGCAAAAAAACAATGAGTTCGTGCTCGATGAACAGTCTCGTCAATGCGTTTGTAATTTTCGATCCGAAGTTGCTCCGTCGATATACGTGTCCGGCCCCACGCACGGATCCGGGGAAAGATCAAAAGTACCCAGGATGATACCTGGGTATGCCAGTTCAAGTAGTGTAGATAATAATGTACAATTTCCGGTTCTGGAAGCCTTTCTAAAATGACTTCATGTCGTCCAAAACCGTCGAGGCGACGTACTAACAAGACATGCGAAGTCAGTGTATGCGCGACCGAAGAGTCAAGTCCAACCATGCCACCAACACCTAGTCCAGATCCAATCAAAGCGAAAGTGGGTATCCTGCTATTTCAATACATTCATTTCCTGAATGTCAAATCTTATCATGTTCCAGTCGCATTCCTCGAGCGTCTGTCCTAGGACTAAGAGACTCCCATCCCATCGTGACACTTTCCAACATCGAATCCCACGATGCGTCTGCCATCGGTGTAAGTCCTGTCCCAGCGTTCAGCGCCGCGTATTCCCATTCGTTGCCCATCACGAAACCGTCGTTGTAACTTTCATTACCCATGCTCCCGGATGCGCCAAAGTTATTAGCAGGATACGTTTCGCTGGTAGCCACAAAGCCTGGGAAGCCGGTGCCAGATCCCATCGTCGGCCTTGCCATCTTCGGGGACGCTCGATATGGAATGTTGTGCTCGATTGGTTGACCTGGAGAGTAAGAAGATTGTGATGTCGAACCGCCTCGTGATTGTGTGCTTATTGTTGCCGGGCTGGGCTGATCGACACCTCTATCGCCTCCAGAGAGGTCCATCTCGTTCCCATCATGGAACGCGAAACCGGCAGGAGTAAAGTCTTGAGTGGCAGCAAATCCTCCGTTTGAATCAAACTGAGAAGGCAAAAAGGCCGCGTTCTGGGTATTCATGTCGATACTGTTGATATTGTGAAGGTGAAACGGCGGGGCAGGTATATTGTTCGAGTACTGCGTATTCGATGTTGATGCTGGGATGGGTGGGACACCGTTTCCAAATGTATTGGTGGACGCGGTTCGATTCTGCGAATTGTTTATGTTGATCAACGGACTACAGTTGATTTGCGGATCAGAATGGATCGAAATGACGGTAGACTATGGGTTGGGGATTAGCAACTTACTTGGTAGGAGTGTGAGTTGGAATGTGGAATTGATTCCCAACCCTTTCGCTCAAGCTCTGAAGACTCTTTGGACTTTGACTTACTTTGCCCGTAGACTGTGCTGATGGCTGGTTACGCATGCCTTGCAGGCCCGCACCTTCCAAGTCGAGATCTAGCTGCACTAAGAACGACTCTGTGAGTGGGTTCTTCCGACGAAGGGCTTCCATAGCTTGCAAGAGAAATTGCAGCGAGGAGGTCATTTGCTGATCATTCGGCCGGGTCTTGAGGTACTGGACAAACACTCTTGCTGCCACGTAAATACAGAAGGAAATAAAGGGATTCATCTGCTCAGGTCAGTGGACGTCAACCACCCGTTGTGACCAAGACTAGACTTACCGTACCAAGGTCCATATGGCTGACCATGCGCATTATGGAAGCAATTTCTGCTGCTGCTGTTACGCATCGGATCTTACTTTCATTGCTGACGCTTGCTGGTAGCCGGTACTTGTCTGCCTTGAAGATGGCAGCTTGATGGAGACATATTGCCGAAGTATGGATGCACATATTTGCGAATGTGACGTTGGGATCCATTATACCGGATGGTAGACGGAGATGATCCGGTAGACCCAGTGACGTTTGAAGAAGTATACGCTCAATGTGTCGGTGTCGGTTCCAGAAACCACCGTTGATATCGTCGTCGTTGTCATCTGGCAGAGGCCGATGTAAGTGAAGTAAATTGCGGCCAAACATCGCAGCTGTGAGGACGATACCGCCGAGTGCCTGGAGGTTTGCTATGCCATTAGGATTCAGAACCTCTTCCAGTGTCCCTGTTGACATCGGTCTACTCTTCTCGAATGCCTCGTCGCTTGCTGGTAGGTTTGTCATGATCTAAATCAGCGTCAGCCTTGGCAGAGAGGTAATAAGGAGAAGTCTGTCCTTACGTCTTTCTCATCATAGGTCATTGGCCAACCAGTTCCAATACTTGCATATCGGTCAACGCAAAAGGTCAGCCAAAAGGTTCTCCGGCGTTCCTCACGCTCGGTCCAGTCCTTGGGTGGAGCTAGGCATTGCTTCACATCTAGTCCGACACCATCCAGGCGATGTAGCTGCATCATCTGAGCTAGTCTTGAGCCTCTCCCGGATGACAGCCAGGCCCTTGGGAAGTACATCTGTCTGAACTCATATGTAGCCATCAAAACCCACGTCTGACAATGTGCAAGGGTAATGGTCGACTCTCCGTGGCCCTTCATCTCATCCATTTGCGCATATTTCCTGGCACGTTGGTAGAAGTGTTCTTGTAGCGCTTCGTATTTGTCGGTGATGGATGCAGCGAGGGTCCACATGATGTATCGCAGGCAAACTGGCGGCCGCATATGAGGAGCCAGGTTTAGAGCGGCGAGGAATCGTGGTCTATGTATGATGGGCATTGTGAGATGGATCTTGGAGAAGTATATTTGATACCTGGCAAAGTGTTAGTAAAATCACCATATTACAGGTTGAAATACCATCGTACAGGTCGTCCATAATTTCTTGGGGCGGTAGAGGCTCCTCGAGCCCAAGCCCTATCATCTCCCATGAGGTCTCGGTCTCCACATCGTTTCCTGTCGCGCCGACATTTTGAAATGGGCCTACGCCGGGAACTCTGGATGCACTGATTCCTACTGGGGCACTGCCTGTTGCGTTGGGAACGTCTCTAGAAATCGGCAGCGCTTGGTTTATGGTGTTTGCGACGTATGCGGAAGCGGAATTCTGGCGCGGGGCTTCTTTGCTCGAGTCGGCCGTGTCTTGGGTCTTCAGGAGGGTCTCGACCTGCTCTGTAGCCCATAAATCAGTACAAGTGACGAGCAGAAGTATGCGCCCACTTACGCAGTCGTTGTTCGAGCAGCTTCACGTAGCCACGCTTGGGTCCACTTTTCTTGCGGACTTCGTCGTAGGCGCAATCGTGAGATAGTCGCTTGCAAGTGGAACATGTCGGCCGGGCGCCGTCGCAACGCAACTTCCTCTTCCTGCACAGAACACAAGCGATCCTTTTGACTTTATTTGACTGGTCCTGCTGTGTTTCCTGGTTGTTGGTAGAATTCGTCTCTTGCGCTTGTTGGGAGAGATCATTGAAGAAACTCTCGTCTGGCGATTCAGACCCATTAGAAGCCATGTTAGCGATTACTGAGATCTTTGAAAGTCGAGGAGGGATCGTAGATCCACGTTGGACCAGAGAGACCGCCCCCGCGTAAGCACGGTTCAAAGGGATTGGGGGCCTTCCAGCTAGCCGTTTGGATTGGGAGATTTGGCTCAACCCTACGCCGGCGGTACAACGGGCGCTTATGTTGGGGTATCGTTGTCGGTCAAGACAATCTTGAACATGCGTGGGTAAGCAGCGACGGTTGGTGCCAGCACTAGGGGCGCGATATGCCTCCAAGGTGGATGCAAGAGTAGGTGGTCAGAAGTGTATGGGCTAGTGGGCATAGAACAATTCATGGCTGAGCTTCGCACGTCTGTGTGGTCTCATCTGCAAGGTCGTCCGCGCAATGCGTGCTGCCTTAAGCGTGCTGCAAGACGTCGAGCATCTGGACTAATTATGGCGGATCTCCCGAGCTCTCTAGCTAGGATCAACCACAAGGTTCCCTTACCTGTGCTTTGGCAGCTAGATATGATTACTTCCATATACAGGTAGCTTTACGAATTTTGACAGCTGTTCAGTAACCTGAATCCTCTTTGCCTAGATATGTGCCGTCCAATGCATGTGGTTGCCGTGTGTCTGCAGCCCTGAACATGCAGCATCGCCAAAGCGGCAATGTGGGGCAGTAAGTAATCCAGCCCAAGATGGGTCAGAATGCGACCGATCTTCGTGCGCCGTCTTGTGTCATCAACCCAAACATCTGGTAGTCAGCTTGAAACCAGATATCGGTCTGTCAGCGGCTGCATCGGTAGTAATCAGAAAACCGAAGTACTTGACAGATATGCGCAAAGGTATGATTAGTCAAAATTAATGAACGATGGCGCCTTTTCCTCGTTTTTCGTCCCAGTGAAGCTGACACAGTAGATCAGGTTCGCCCAGACCATGGTCAGCCAAGTGATCTATGCAGGCTGGAGAAGGCGTGGTCGTGAGATTGCAGAAGAGCCGCAACGTGCAAAGTTCCGACCTCCGAGCATGGACGCTGCTGAATACAGGTCAGCGTCGATACGGCCGAGAAAACTACCGAATCACGCTGCCAAGTCAAAGTCCCTACTTGCATGAAAGAGCGCAGTTCGAGAACATGTCAAATCGCCTGGGCAGTAAATGCATGTTTGATAGTCGGTATGCGACATGCGACTACAAGATATAGTACAGCTCCATCTTGAGCGTATAGTACACCGGCTGCTACCCTACTTTGACCTCCGCTTTCCTTGGTTACGTGGTCGATCTTGAACAAGGAAAGTGTGCTTGTTCCTCTTATGCCTTGTCTTGTAACCTCCCTTTGCTGGAGTGCCCCATGGACTGACGGGGTGCACGTTACCCTTTGATTTACCACGACCACCACCGTGAGGATGATCAGCTGCGAGATGTTAGAAGACTGCAAGTTGGAGCTAGACAGATGTAAGGACTGACCTGCATTCATGGCGAGACCACGGACCTCCGGTCGCCTTCCTAGCCACCGTGAACGACCGGCTTTTCCGAGTGATGTGAAATGTGATTGAGGATTGCTGGCAACGCCAATGGTGCAGCATGCATCTGCGCTGACTTTACGGATTTCGCCGCTCATCAATCGAATGATAACGTGCTTGATCTCTGTGCTGCTGCCCTTGTCCACCTCTTCCTTGTTCACAATAATGGCGTATGTGCCTGCACTACGGCAGAAGACACCCCCACCTTGTGTCTTGGTGCCCACGTTGTACACTTGAGAACCGAGAGGAACCATGTGGATGGGAAGGCAGTTTCCTCGTGCCGCCGTCTTCGCGGCCAGCATACCGGGGTCGATACCACCACCCATGCTTGCAATCAGCTCCTTGGGAATACCGCTCCTGTAGCTCTCCACCTCATCCCCCGCCCTCATGCCATCTGCAGCGATGATGTACGACTTCTCTCCGGTTGCCACGCGGGTGATGAGGGCCAGATGTGAGCTCCGGTTGGGGTCGTATTCTATCCGGTCCACGACATGCTTGCCAGGCAGATAGCGCTTGTAGTCGACGATGCGTATCCTCCTCTTGTGTCCGCCACCTCTATGCCTCACCGTGACTCGTCCTGTGTTGTTCCTTCCTCCCAGATGCTGCCCCTTGCGGGCAATGGTGAGCTTGAGGTGCGGGCGTCCCTTCCATAAGTGGTCGTTGACGGGTCGTTTTAGATGCCGCAGACCGGGAGTGCGGGGCTTGTATGTGCGTAGAGGGATGAATTTCTCCTTTCGTGTTCCTTCCTGTTTCAATACGCCGGCGTCGGCAGCCACGGTAGGCTGTATCGATGGGGGAGGTTTAACGTCGATGGCCTGGACTTGTGCGTAGGTGCGGGCAGACAGCAGCGCCCTGCCCAGTCGCGAGGGCTGGAAACGACATATCCGCGGCTGCAGCATTCTCGTCTGGTGCAACTGGGGACACTAGATGCTTCACGCTGTTGCAATGGACGCCTGCTGGATGGCGTGCAGCTGCTGGACATGTCACGAATAATTCTCAAACCCGCCGCAATTGGCTAGGCCGGCCCGGGGTGGGTCTTGCTCGCCGGGCGCGATGTCCCAGCAACAACGTGTGTCTGCTTCCCTCGCCCATCACAACACGCCATCTCGACCATCGCTCTCTCCTTTGCGCTGCACCTTCCAGAATCCCATCCTCGCCATCTGCTTCTCGCCAGCGAATCGCCTCATCTTACAACACGGGCAAACTTACGCGTTGGGACCTGGCGTCATCTCTGGTAAGTTCACATACGCGCCTGTGGGGCGTGCACTGTTACGCTCTGCCAGCCTCGAATGCGATTTTGGCGCGTGGGACGTGGAAGCCAAGCTAGCCTGCCCTCGCTCAAAACACACAACATACCCTTCCTACTTCCCACAACACACCTTGGTGCCCACCTTTCCTTCGCCCATCCCCCCCATCCACCACCTCCCGTGTACAATTGTAGCTGGACCTCTACCCCGTCCACTCAATTCCCACGCATCTCGCGCTCCAAGGGTTCGTCTCCATCTCGCCCGTCACGTCACTGTCGCTGCCGCACCCCAGAGAGCGTGGTAGAGCAGCCAGCATTCGCGAGCATCGGCCGTGGTTCTGCCTGACAGATTTGTGCATGCACACCGCGGCTCTTGATGCTCCCGTCTTGTCAGCCTAGACACGCGCTTTTTCAAGCTTCATGGAGCTCTGCTGACACCTCAAAACAGTGTATCAAAACAAGTCCTACATACGCCATTACATACTTCAGATATACTCGAGCACCTGGATACCTCTCTAGCCTTGATTAGCATATATAATATTGCTTGCAATGCCTCCCGCTGTACGTTCTCGCCCTTTCACCTGTTGTCGTCCCATCTCTCCGATTCACCACAGCGACACGTCCGGCACCTTGCATTATACTAACGCGTGCAACAGGCTCGAACCCTCAGGCAGCGCGCCGTCACTAACGAGAATGATGAGAACGCCGCCACGACACGCTTGACGCGTGCAAAGGCCGCAAACCTCGGCGCCAATGAGTCTGCTGCCGACGTTCCCAAGAAGACTCTCCAGACGAAGAAGTCAACTGCCACCCTCGGCGCCAACGGTGCCGCGACACGGAAGCGCGCCGCCCTCGGTGATGTCAGCAATGTCACCAAGACGGACGCCGTTGGTGCTGGCGCGAAGGACGGAAAGAAGCCACTGGCCACCAAGGGCGCAGTCTCAAAAGCAGCACAACCCACCGGCATCAAGAAGTCATCGCGGGCCAACTCGACACGTTCCATCTTGGAACCCAAGGACAAGAACATCACCTCATCCGACGTGAAGAAACGCCAAGCTAGCGGTAACGGTATCGCCGGTCAGCCCGCCAAGAAGCGCATGCAAGTCAAGCCAGTGAAGGAGGAGAAGGAGGAAGACATCGAGGAGGTTGATGAAGAAGAAGAGGACGAGGCTGAGAACGTCAAGCCAGAGGAGAACGTCACTGAGGACACCAAGCCAGTCAATGGCACAAAGAAGGAGGTTGAGGCACCCATCACAGAGGTCTTCTATGACGGCCCGGATCTAGACAAGGAGGATGTCGATGACCCATTAATGGTCTCGGAGTATGTCGTCGAGATCTTCGAGTACTTGAAGGAGCTGGAGATTGCGACCATGGCCAACCCAGACTACATGGAGAGCCAGACTGAGCTTGAGTGGAAGATGCGCGGTATCCTCGTCGACTGGTTACTTGAAGTTCACACTCGCTTCCGCCTCCTTCCAGAGACCCTCTTCCTCGCTGTCAACATCATTGACCGCTTCCTCTCTGCCAAGATTGTCCAGCTGGACCGTCTCCAGTTGGTCGGTGTCACTGCCATGTTCATCGCCTCCAAGTACGAGGAGGTCCTCTCGCCCCACGTCCAGAACTTCCGTCACGTCGCCGACGATGGCTTCACCGAGGAGGAAATCCTTAGCGCTGAGCGCTTCGTCCTCGCTGCTCTCAACTACGATCTCAGCTACCCCAACCCCATGAACTTCCTTCGCCGGATATCAAAGGCCGACAACTACGACATCCAGACCCGTACACTGGGCAAGTACCTCCTCGAGATTGGCTGCCTAGACCACCGCTTCCTCGCCCACCCCCCAAGCCAGGTCGCCGCTGCTGCCATGTACCTTGCTCGTCTCGTCCTCGAGCGTGGCCCTTGGGTAAGTCATCATGACCTTCACACTAGCGACTTTGTACTAACATTCACAGGACAACACCCTCACACACTACGCCGGCTACTCCGAGGAGGAGATTCAGCCTGTCCTGCAGCTGATGATCGACTACCTCTCTGGACCTGTCGTCCACGAGGCCTTTTTCAAGAAGTATGCTAGCAAGAAGTTCTTGAAGGGTAAGTCAGCACATACTCTACTCTTTCATATCCCAACTAACATTGACCAGCATCTATTGTTCTCCGCAAGTGGGCCAAGGACTACGTTGCTGCCTATGGTAACGCGCTCCAAGAAGAAGAAGAGGCCGCCGTTGTTCCGTCCAAGAACAAGAGCCAGCGCTAAGACTGTTGGTGTTCTCTAGGCACTCCCGGTCTTTGGCTTAGGAGTCGCAAAGCTATTCATTTCCGCCATGCTCGAACGAGCAGCGGTTGACGAAGTTCGGCTCCGACCGGGAGCAAAAATTTACGATTGCATCCAAGCCAACCCATTCATGTTTACATCTTGGCTAATACCATCTTCCGGTCGGCGTTAATACATGGGATGCAAGTTGATTGCACACTTCTTTTATGGTTTCTTGTCTTGTTTTGGTATATGGAGTCGCAGGCGTTCGTCCCCCATGCACGGAGGCGCAATCAAAGGGTGCTTGCCTTTTCACATCACTCTTAACTTCATTTCTCTGTAGCGGCTCTGGATACTCGCTCATAGCATTAGCGATTGATATACCATGAATGGTGTGATATGGGAGAGGCTATTCCTTCGTGGATCTGTATGTGGTGTCGTGTGGGAATATGGGCCATTGGGATAGCAGAATGTGAGGTAGCTCTCAATGTATGAGTAGTCTGAATGCGCACTGTTTCGCGTCAAATGAAGCAGAAATTCCATAAACGTCTTCCAGAACTTCAAGCAATCATCAATGAGCAAGTCTCTTTTGTCTGACGTGACGTTGTATGATGATGCCATACTGTTAGCCATCCTCCCAGCCATCTGATGTGAGACCCACACCAAAACACGAGCGCATCGCGTGCGCGTCCAGAGCCCGAAACCCACACGATACGTCACGGCCGTGTTCTTTCGAGAACGCCACCTTCCTTGATTTTCGCGTCCCGCGTCCTGACACCAACACGCCACGTTCCCGCTTCACGATCGCGATGCAGACGTGCTTGGCCGCATGTCGCGTTCCCTGCGATCAACGTACCTCGGCTGTTCACGTCAGTATCGACGCTAACCTTGATTCGGGGTCGAGATCAAGTGCTGAATGCACTGCGACCACAGCTTCGGCCGTTGATCAAACCATCGATACGGGGAAACCTTGGTAATCTTTCATCGCTTTCTACTTTTTTTGTTATCATTTTTATTCTCAGTCGGTTTGAATTGAGCACGAAAACGTGATTCGCGACGCTATATCCACTCATACGTACCCATCTGCGACACATACACGCAATACAAGACAACAAACACCCTCGAAGAACAATTCGCAGCACTATCAACAGCCAATCATGCAAGAAACAGACCTCCACTACCCACCCGAAACCTGTCCCTTTTGTACCATTGCAGCCGCCTTTCCCTTTCCAGTTTCCTCCTCTAATAGTCCTACGCTGTGGACAAGTAGTAAGGCCCAAGAATCGTCAACAGATTGTGTACCAAAAGAGGAGGAGAGCGATCCCGAAAAAACCAACCCGAGCAGTTTCGTCGTACTGAGGAGTAGGGATGTTGTTGCTTTCTTGGACATTTTGCCTATGACTGGTGGTAAGTTTTATCATCTCTTGCCTCTGATAGGATAGAATAAAGACGGAATAAGAACATTGTGACAACGAATGGGATGAGGCAGGGGTTTGATCCAAACGATAAGTTTGGAAGCTTGAGGGATTCCAGGGGAGACTATGATGGAGTTTGAGTAGATGAACAATGGCTAACGTGTAGGATTGATTCAGGACATTTACTCGTCACTACCCGACAACACAAAGTCAAAGTCGCAGATATGGAAGCTGTCGAGAGTAGGGAGATTGGTAAGTTGACGAATCAACATTATTTGTTGACAAGATAGATGTGCTAATCGTGTTAACTTAGGCTTCTGGTTACCGATACTAGCGAGGACGGTGGCAAGAGTAACAGGCGTAACGGATTACAACATTGTGCAGAATAATGGTATGTTTCTTGTTGTTGGTCTTTCTTTCTTCGATTCATCGTATCCTAACAAATACTTACAGGAGCACGTGCTGCACAAGTGGTACCACATGTACATTTCCACATTATACCACGCCCGAAGACAATGCCTGAGATCAAGAACAAGAGCTGGACAATGTTTGGGCGGGGTCAAAGAGATGATTTGGATGACGAGGAGGGCGCTAAGATGGCTGGGGAGATGAGAAGGGTGTTGAGGGAGGAGTTGGAGAAGATGAACACGTCAAGTGCGAAGTTATGAGAGGGTTGGGTTGCAAATCATTGTAATTCTGGATTTTATCCTGTTCACTGTAGTCACAAAGGTCGCTGAGCTCATCGCTACATTCAGTATTATTAACATTAAAGAAACAATCCAAAGGACGCTGGGTATCATTGCTCTTTAGCTGTCCATCCATTCCCTCGATGGGCAGCAATGAATATTGCCCGCCCAAAACATTTGCGTGTTCCTGGTCTCATATCTCATTCTCATTTGACACAAAAGTTTACTGGCCCTTCTTCGCTTTCGTCTCATCCGCCGGGATAAACCTCTTCTTGACAGCCTTTACCATCTGCGAGAACCAGTAAAAGTTGAGCATACTCAAGGCTGTGTTACCAACCAAGTATACGCAGACCAACCACATGGGCAGCTCACCAATCGCCAAACCTCCGGGTCCCTCGAGACCCATACTACTGTTTGCGGTTCCATCGCTCTTCTGGGCTTCGAGGAGAGAGCTCATGAGTTCGGGCTTTGGCATCGTGAGCGCCTTGTAAATGTCCGAGTAGATCATGACAGATTGGTATGATCCCCACACAATACGACAGCAGAAGAACATGACGAGGAGGGCGATGCCGTTGTAGAGCTGGAGCTTTGAGCCGGTCATTCCGAGCTTGTCGCAAAACCAGTGGATATTGAGGAAAGGCGTAGAGAGTTCGTAGAGGACGAAGGAGAGGCCGTAGTAGTTCCCAAAGGGTTTCTAGAAGATGGTCAGTATATGCGACAACATGGGTACACTGATAACATACGAAGCCAATACAGGTGACTGCCAAAGCACCGATCGCATGGATCAACGAGCTCATTCCAGCAATGTGGATGTACTGCGCAGAGACTTGGAGGTCCCACAGGAAGTACCCAGCAGCAAAGCCCTGGACCATACCGCTCGCTGGTGTATAACCCCATAGTCTACCCCTCCAGTCCATCTCGTGTCTCTGTTCATCCTTGAAGATGACCCATAACGCAGCGGCGCATATGAAGAGAGCCTGGATCATGGAGACCCAGTGGATGTCCCAGTTGAGTCGCGTGCGCTTGTTGAAGCCATTATATGTCTTGGGGCAGATGAGCTGCGAAATGGTGGGAGAAAGGACATGGAGGATGAAATGGTATCCTAGGAAGCCAAGGAGGATCTCGTGGACGTGGTACGGAAGCGTCGTCAGGCTCAGCTTGTCAGCGAATGACTTGCTAGCCTGCACGAGCAGAGAGGGCGGAGGAAGGGGGTCCCGCATATCGGGTCTGGTTAGGATATCGACTATAGACATGGTATTAGTTTGGCTGTGCGCAGTAGTAGCAAGAATAGGGATAGAGAGGATTACTGGAATCGTGGGGCTACATGTTCTGCCTATATATACTCATCTGTGGGGCGCAGTGATCCGAGGAAGTTTCCTCTTGTGTAGGGAGTGTCTCGTGTGTCCTACACTGCATGCTTCGGGTGGGCGTTTTGCCTGATCCCTGAGTCGTTAGATGCGGGGCTGGCGGACCTGAACATCGAAGCTTGTAAGCTACCCTGAACGCGCTAGGCAGGAATTCGCCGGCGTCCTGCATGCACCACTCTGCGCCGCTATCGATCCTCCGTTGTCGTCATCCTGCTCCTCCACCACCGACCTTGTACCTGCCACAACGGCCGTAACAATACTTCTCTCGACACAGAGTCCCTATACATCTCGCCCAGCGCTGTGTAGGTCCATCCGCGCCCTCCGAAATAGCATGGCGGCGTCAGAGGGCCTGCCCTTCAGAAAGACTAACGAAACATGGCGTCTTCAACAGCAACAGCAACAGCGACTACCAAAGCTGCTGTCATCGCTCCCAGAGCCCTGAAAGCTCTCCAGGCAACTGCCCTTGTTGTCACCGGCACCGGAACATCATCGTCGCCGTAGCGCGTTCTGCATTTGTCCCGCAGCACACCTTACCGCCCAACTTTTCTGCCGCCGACATCTCGAGCTCCACAACAACAAGTTTACATCACGCGCTACCCCGGAGCCTACCTCCGTCGTCATACGTCTTGAATAAGCCGAGAAATTGCCGCTTGCTGGATACAAAGCTTCCTGTCGCGATCCTTTAGTCTACGATGAGCGAGCTCGACGACTTCATGGAGCAGACGGGAGGCCGTCCGTCTGCTTCGGACACTCCGCCTGCTGCTGACCCTTCCTTGACCGAAAACAGCAAGAAGCGCAAAAATGCGAAGGAGCCTGAGGTAAGCAGCTTCTTCCAAGCTCAGGGACCACTCGCTGACATGAAAGCGCAGGCCAACAAGAAGCCCAAAGTCATGGAGAACAAGGCTATCTGGATTTCCAACCTGCCTCTCGATGCCACTAAGAAGGAGCTCGAAGACGAGTGCTCGAGGTACGGCATCATCGACAAGGGCGCTAACGGCGAGCCGCGCATCTACATGTACGAGACCGATGGCGTCTTCAACGGCACCGCCATGGTCGTATACTTCAAGAAGGAGGCAATCGCCAATGCCATCAGGCTGATGGACGATTTCCCTCTTCGCCCCGGCGATAATTCAAACGGTAACATCCACGTCGAGGCAGCCAAGATCGAGCACAAGAAAGAGAGGGATGGTGAGAAGATTGCATCCAAGCTTACACGCAAGGACAGGAAGGCGTCTGAGCGTAATCGTGCTGAACTGAACCAGTAAGTCGGCAAGTCTGCAGACTGTTGCATCGTCACTAACGACCCTATCGGAAGCTCAACGAGTGGTCTGATAACGAGGATTACGTCGCCGAGACCTTGGCGCCCAAAAAGAACAAGTGGGCTAAGGTCGTCATTATCAAGAATATCTTCGACCTGGAGCAGCTCGAGGAAGACGCGAAAGCATACCTGGAAATTAAAGAGGACATGCGCGAGGCAGCCGAGGAGTACGGCGAAGTCACCAACTGCACCTTGTACGACAGGGAGCCCGAGGGCATCGTCACGGTCCGCTTTCGCGAGTTCGAGCCTGCGGAGAATTTTGTGGCCGCCTTCCAGGGCAGGAGATACAATCATCGTGGCCTTCAACTTTCGCTCGCAGAAGACAAGCCCAAGTTCAAGAAGTCTGGCCGTGCCAACACGCCTGACAGTGATGACGAGGCGCCGGCGCCGGCGGCCAAAACCAAGGCCTAGATACCTGTCACTTGGAGTGGTGCATACCCTCCGGATAGGTTCGCACACGGATAGGACATTGATGCAAAGCATACCATTTATACAGAGAGCTATTTACTTCATTACTTCATCACTTATATAGCTACAAACAGCTCATATGCTTGAGCTGGGAAAGATACCCTAATGTACTACACATGAATACAAGCCGAATGGCTTTCGACTGTGACTGGACAGTTCATCAACCTAGAATTTACCATTCTGGTCAATCCACAGTGATGTTGAACGTGGCAGCACTGTCTTGCTGCTCTGTATAAACAAGTGACACATCTAGACTGTGCATCCTAGATACACGACGTCAGAAGACTTATCAAAGGTAGCTAGGTGCGCAGGAAGAGTTTTGCAAATCTGTGACATTTCCACATCTATCCCATTATCAAACTACATTATCGAAAAGGCGACCCGTGAACATGACCCTATACACATGCGAAAGGCTCCCAAATATTGAACCTCCCGTGTCTCTGATGAAGAAAGCGATGAATCGATCTTGCGACCCATCTGGTATCAATGACAATTATGAAAAAAAAAGAAGAGAAAACGCCATAATGCTCCTGTCATCCAACTTCTTTCCACTCCAAGCATCAACATTGCTCATCTACAAGACGAGTGCGGCGGCAGCGGCAGCGAGCAGAGCACCAGCGCCACCGGCGACCTTGGCGGCGCCGGCGGTGAACTCAGGTGGGCTTGATGCGGATGCTGAGCTGGGGGCAATGGGCTGACCGGCAGTTGGCGAGGTAGCGACGGTGGTGGTGTTATAGAGGGGCATGCCTGAGAGCTGGGCGAAGCCAGAGGTGGCATTGGTAGGTGGCATGACAGGGTAGCCTGTAGACAGGGGTGGAGCGGCGTGGCCTGAGGACAAAGAAGGAGCAGCATAGTCTGAGGACACAGAAGGAGCAGCGTAGCCTGAGGACGCGGGTGCAGTGCCGTAGCCTGAAGATGCGGGCGCACTGGAAGATACAGGCGCAGCGCCGTAACCGTCGCCAGCTGAGACCATGGTGAAGTTGGCGCAGCCGATACGAGTCTTGTTGCTAAGGTGAACAACGAAGGACAAGGCGCCGAACTGTGATATATTAGCAAATTGCTCTTCCGTTACAGTATACGATCAAGACTTACGAAAGCAGGGTCTGAAGGCAGAGTAGCAGAGTACAAGTCGGTGTACTCGGTCGAGAAAGTCTGCTCAGTGATGTTTCCGAACTTGCCGCTCAAGTCACCAGTCTGGCATGTCTCGGGCTTGGTGGCATCGCAAATGGGGACCTCGCCGCGCATGTACGGATCCAGGTGAGCACCAGTACCAGTGCAGTTACCATCAGCGGGGACTGGCTTGGCGTGGAGGTGGTACATGAAGGGACCGCCAGTCTCGGGGAGGCCAGCAAAGGAGACGGAAAACTTGACGCCCTTGCCATCCGCACCGGTAGTACCCCCGATGGAACCAGTGAGGGTGCTGCCTTCCTTGGGAGGAAGAGTACCGACGTACTTAGCGCCCATAGGGTTACCGGTCACTACGGGAGCAGGAATGACAGTCGAGGACTGGGCGGCGACAGCGGTGGCCGCGGCCAAAACGGAGATGACGGAGACAAGCATTTTGATTGTGGTGGTTGTCGTTGGATTTTGTATAAAGAACGGAGTTGGAACTCGACTGTGAGAATTGTTTAGCGAGTGTAGGTGTGAGAGCAAGGTGAGAAGTAACGTAGAAAAGCGGGTGTTCTGGAGAAATGAAGTGGGAATGCCAAGTGTGTTTATATGAGGAGCGGCGCAATTGAGGTGGAAGAGGGGAAAGCGCGATATGAACCTTGTGACGGGTAACACAAACGGAAACTTGCACACAGTGCAAACGACGTCACGGGGTAGGAATGGAAGGGAAGCTTGAGGGGACTACATACCGATATTATAGCGAATGCTGGCACGCAAAGTGGAGAGAGACTGTTGTATGCAGACGATAAACTGTAGGAAAAACCAGCGAAGGGGTATCTTGCAAAAGGATGATTCCTCAGGACATGCGGCGGCTGGCAAACACTATATAACTTTCCTGCTGGGTAGAGGCGCAGTCAGGCACCGGTGGTTGGGGCGTCACACAGCGAAAGCCATCACAAATCCATCAACTCACCTTCCCAAAGACCACGGCCAGAAGAAGATCCACCCTGCGCGCCGTCACTTCCATTGTAACCCACTATGAACCCTCTTCTGCCAATTCATGCCCGGCTGATTGGTTCCTGAGAACAAAGGCAAGTGTGTGATATTGGTTGAAACGATGTGTTGTTTGCCGTAAATGCGCTAGAGGATGCACGCCCGCTTCGCCGTTTCGAAACACCAAGCCGCATGGGCGCTTTGCCGGCCAATCATTGTGGGGGCGGGCCTTGTTCCTGAGGCCAGGGCTGAGCCTGATGTGGAGTTTGTAAGACTTGGCCCCAGCCAGCTCAGTTTTCGGCATGCGCCAACACCGAGGCGCAGTGTTAAGGAGGCGGGTAAGAGTCACACTTCGATGGCGACCAAAACTGCAAACAGTTCAAAGTGTTTTTGTCCTGTAGTCGCTTGTTGATGCAGATGGTCTGAGGAAAGGGTCTCGGCTGTCGCATAATGTCCCTTCTGCCGCCAATGTACCAAGCTTCGACTACTGCGGCGCTAGTGGGGCCTAACAGTCTTGGTACAGATCCAAATTTACCTCATACAGTGACATGGCGCTTGGGTGTTGCACCTTTCCCGCTAGCCGGGCCCTAGGGAAACAAACATTCCACACAAAACTCTCGCTGTTGCGCTTAATTGACACAAATAGCCCAAACATGCGTTCCTGAGGCGGGTGTAGCAGAACTTTTATTCTGTGTTTTACTGAGGCGTTCTGAGGCACGCATTCGAGGAGTCCCGGTTGAGAAAGTTCTACGACACGGCAAAGACGGGTGTGAGATGAGATGACGGATGAGGAGGGAGAATCAGAGGAAATTGACAGAAGCGGGTGAATTGAGAAACGACAGGGTTGCGCATCTAACTGATGCAGAGTTATATGGAAACATCGAAATTACAGCTCGATCATTACCCCTCACACATTGCGCAGGACTCTCAGGAGCCGTCTCTTCTGCCACGCCGCATCCATACGGGTCAGCATCTGTCCTGTAGAAGTCGATATGTTCCACATGTAGCGGTGGATCGAACATGTCGCTGTGTCGGTAGATCCGCCTCAACGTGTCTCATTTCTGACCTTATAGCTGATCCTAGCGCGACACCAGCCGACAACATGTGCCGCACCGGCATCTACCAGATCCTGCCCGACGGCCTGAACATCTTTGTATGCGTCTGGAGCTTCTTCAAAAACAAGGTCCTTCTCGTCACAGATGACCCACGTGCCTTCAGTGTCCGTCGATCGTGGCTCCAGAATATTTTGGCCTTTGTACTTCTGAGCCAAGGTTGACAGCGCTTTTGCCCGAGACATGGCGCGTCCTGCACCGTGGGCGAGCGAAAGTCCGTTCTTTAGACCCCATGAGTTGGAGGCTGAGAACGTAGGTTGGAGAATGAGCGTCGGTGTGCCTCGGGATCCGGGAAGTGGAACAAGGCTGAGCGGTAATTGAGTCTTCGGGTTGTACGTCGGTGCTGCACCTTTCCTGTGAACATATACGTACCCTTGAGTAGTATCGTTCAAACTCCATGCATATCTCCCAGTTGGACAAGGTGCGGATGGAGGCCATGCCACCCGCTCAACGTTGTTGTGCCAGATGTCGACCACCTTGCGTCTCTTCAGTGCCGCTTTGGCAACTGGAATCATCTTGATGCCTTCTTCGCCGAGATTGCCTGCGTCTGATCTGCCCAGATTCCAGTCTTCGTTGCCAGGTTCAAGACATGCAAAGAAACGCAACGCGATTAGATCCCTGTTTGCTTTCGCCCACTCGCAGGCCTTGTCGTGTTCTTTCATGTATTCGGTTGCATCCGAACTACCCTCTTCAAAGCTGGTGCGCATCTCTGTTGTATACTTCTTGAGGATACTGCCTCCTAATCCTCGAGAGCCTGAGTGGACTAGGAGAACGACATCGTCTTGGTGGAGACTGTTGTCTATGTTGGCAAGTGATGATTCTTCAACCACCTGGATCTCGGCAAAATGGTTTCCAGCTCCTATGGTACCCAACGCAACGTCCCATTGCTGACCTACAGAATAGCTGCGTTCTTGCTCGTCCATTAGCCATGTTTCTCGGTACGCTTGAGTCTGCCATATTCCCTCTAGCCCTCGAAGCTTTTCAGCAACCTTCTTGCCCTTGTCCCCATCGACTTGGCTTCGAGGCAGTGTAGTCTTGTACCAGGCCATACCACACCCAATATCGCCTCCGATCAGAGGAGGATGAATCCATCTCTTCGAAGCGAAGACTGCACCAATGGGAAATTTAGTGCCGGGATGCAAATCAGGTTGACCAACAGCATGTACAATTCCGGGGAGCGTATGTGCAGTGGTCGTGAGCTGGGTCACAGAAAGCGACCCAACGGGCGCTTTGGATGCTAGGACTTCAACTGGACATTGTGGGTTTGCGTCTGCTGTTATAGAGAGTCAGTGGTTGAGAATAACGCCGAGACGTGGTAAGTGCAGATATTAAGCGCAAACTTGCTCAAACCTTATGCTACTTACCATTTACATCCGATTCTTTCTTAGCACCAACATATTCCTCTCCTGTTGAGATGAGCAGCAAGATATCATTTTCGATATGGGTTTTCCAGTCTGCTTCAGTCAACAGCTCTTGTCCAGTATGCCCAACAAAGATGCGGGTAGGCTTCTTTAGGCGCAGCTTTGATTGAGCATTCTTGAAGATAAGTGCTCGGATAGATGAAGAAGCTACAGGATCAGTGGATGCAGAAGCGGGTATAATCACTGGAGCCTTTTGTGTTTGTTGCGCATTCGAGGCGACAGTCACTCGTATGGCAGGCATCTTTGCACTGTAGTGGGTTCAGATTTCGATGGGACAATGCGAGACTGGATAGGGTTTAAAAGTAGTTTGCTAATCAGGAAGGAAGGAATGATAAATATCTGCAGTCGCAGAGCTGCGGATTTATTGTGCAGTTGATTCATAGTAGAGGTTGAGCTAGCGTGACGCTGCTCCAGATGTCACTTCGACTCATTCTGGACTACGAAGCATAGCCACAACGCCTTTTACCACAACAAAGCAGTGGTTTGATCGATCACGTACTCACCAAAAAGTATTGTTGAATTAACCTGTTCATGTTCCGTCGCCCTTGTAGCTGCCCAGGTGGAATGAGTGTTTCACGTGATTGAGCAAGCTTGAGATCCGAGCCATGGCTATAGCTATGATATTAAACACATGTCCAAAGTTTTATAAGCGGTGTGAGGTCCAAAGCAAGGCCAAAGTAAAAAGGAAGAGATCATCAGGGCCCACATACCCGCGTCGCGGGCCTGGGTGAGAGAACGTGCAACTTGCATGACGTATTACAGTCCGATTGGATGGTTAGACCGCGTTGCCGTTACAACGCACCTAGCTTGGCACATAGCACAGCCGCACCGACTTTGATGCCCACGACACCTTGACACTTGACAGCCCATAGCAGTGAACCACCTTTTGCGTCTTGTATCTATCAAGTGTAAGCTAGCAATTGGCGCATATCGGGCCCATACTCATACACGTACAGTTGCTAGCCGCCCCTATATCGATAGCCGTCCCAACAACCAACCCGGTCCCGTACAACATCACAACTCTCCGGCGCAAGCCGCATACCCTCGTTCACGACCGACCAAGACGTCCATATTCCGACAATGCGCACATTCTTCGCTCCGCTATTGCTTGCGCCGCTCGCAGCGCTTGCCGCACCGGATGTCTTCGCCGACTTCGAACCCGCCGTTGCGCCATTAGAGAACCCCGTATACGAGGCAATGGAGACATCTCCCGCGGACAGCGGCGTCGACCTTCTTAAGAGACAGAACAATGCATGCGCAAACCAATACTACAACTGCGCTGGTCTCGGCGCACCAGGACTTTGCTGTCCACGAACAGCCGTCTGCTCAGCCGACCAGGCGGGACACGTAGCATGCTGTCCCCAGGGCGTAGCATGCACAGGAGCAATTGGCGCCATTGCAACCGGCGCAAACCCTTCGGCCACGTCGACCGTCTCGTTCGTAATCGCATCCACAACAGGCGACAGCCCATTCGTGCAGGAAACAAATGGCGCAAACCACGGAAGCACGGTACAGAACCAATTCTACCCTTTCCCGTACATACCGACGACTTACTCGAACGCAGCTGCCTGCTCGTCCGCTTATACAAGCTGCCAAAGTGATGCTGCAAGCTGTACGACTGCTCTAGCCAACGGCGCCGCGGGCGTCACTATATCGGCACCAAACGGCGGCGGCGCGACGATTACGGCGATTCCGAGTGTGGGTCTCCAGTCTGCTCAGAGCATCTGCTCGAGCTTGAGCAGTCTCGGATGTTCGCAGCTTACTGTTGAGGCCTGTGCGGCTTTTGATGGTCAAGGAAACGCAGCAAAGAGAGCCCGCTGCGCCGACTACCTGATGACAGCAGGTATTGCAGTCGGCATAGCGGGACAGCTTCTGAGATGAGGAAGAGATGTATCTGGGTCTTCGTTTCATTGTGGATAATATGGCGGATGTTTACGTTAATGAGACGAAAATACGATTTGTGCGTTGGCACAGCTTTGCTTTATGGCTTTCTGCCATTACATGGCGTTCACAAGGAGTAAAAAGAGTATGGCATGCGGCAGATACGTATGTTTGCCTGCATCTGTATATGCCTTCAATGAGATTATTCAACTTTTCCATATTACATCGTCCCATCCTCTTCTGTTCCTGTCTTTACACTTTGAGATTCAGGCTCGGCTTACAGGCGACTGCCTTCTACATCGTCTCTACTTTAGTATCGGGCATCATGAGTTGACGCTGTCGCCTACAAACTGCGGTGAAGGTGAAGTGATCTGCTGGTCTTTGAACGTAGAGAAACGTTATTCGGTTCCCATGGTCTTGTCCACGACGCTAGGGATTCTATGTTTCTGATCGATCCAGATGAGCGAGAGAATTCGGAGCAACATCTGGCAAGGTGAGATAACGAGGAGCTCTAATGTAGGTGAAGAAAAGCTGCTAGTGATAAGAGAACGTATCCGGGGATATATATATATGAGCCTGGAGCTTACCAAATGATTATACAAAGACGTGTATCCAGTGAGAAAGAGCAGTGGTGCCAGGACAACGAGATCCAACACATAAAAACATACTCACTCCCAAAGGACAATATATCCTCATCCAACACTCTCAACCCCATCTTCTTACCACACATATCCCAAACTCGAACCAAAAAAGAAGATATCTTGAACGCGGCTAGACTCGAACTAGCATCTTTCACATTACTCACGATGTGGCCAAGGGCCAGCAACGTCCTGCCGGCGGTCTTCTTCAGCCCAACACATGCAGGCACTACGCGGTAGAGGAGTTTATGGCGTGAACGTCTTGACCATTGGACTACGCGTTCTAGTTTGGTTTGATTTGATTGATAGTAAAACGGTGAGTTGGAAGGCTTGTATGGAGGGATGTGAAATGAAACCGGAGTACGATACGATAGAGAGCACAGAGATGGTGTGGAGAAGTGTTGAATAAGACGAGACATATCACATTACGATATATGAGCGAGAGCGAAAGAATGTAGAGTATTAGAAATATTTACATTTCTTGATTCGTAAAGTGAGTGTCGTCGTCATGATAAAGCATAACTTTCAATGGCTTCCATAAAGGCAAGCCGGGTATCAAGATCATATGAAGTAAAGGCCCATTACACCCACCTCTATCCTCAAGGTATGCCACCGTTGTGTCGTAAAGAGCGTAAAAAGTCCAAAATGCACTGCTTGCCATCCATCACCTCAAGATACTACGTGATCATACACGATCATGCGGCTCAACCGTTCTCGTAGCAACAGCATCAATCGCGTCAAAACTGCTCCTCGGGCTCGAATCCCCAATATCCTTACCAAACTCCTTCTGCCTGAGTTCCCAGCTCCCAACCCTCTCATGCCCTCTCTTGTGATCTCCTCCAAAGCTAACGATACCCGCAGTAGCAGTGGCAGGCAGCGCCCCGTTCCTCGACAGACTGACATCGGGGTCTGACGCCAACTTTGCTGAGCCTTTGAAGCCGCCAAGATCGGATTTTTGGTTGTTGCCTAGGCGTTGCTCGACGCGGTGGAAACGGATGCCAGCGAGTAACATGGCAATTGCGAAAAGTAAACCCGCGACGACGAGGGACACCACTGCGCCGATGACACCTCCGACGACAGGGGAGATGGCATGTTTCTTCTGGCGCTCTTGTGGTGCGGGGACTACGAGTGTAACACCGCTTCCATCTGCGCCCAAGCAGAAAAGACTCGGACTGCTGCAGCTGGTACACCACTCACTCAGTCCTTGCATACCGATACTGCTGAATATAGTGTGAAATTCCCCAAATGGCATATCTGTCATGGATTTTCCACTGTTAAACATGGAGTAAGATCGGAGCGGCTCGGTTTCAGCATCTGTTCCGTTGTGGAAGTAGAAGCGTACCCAGAGGTCGTTCGGGTCACTTGGCATCTCCGCACTATCGCCTGTGCTGAAGAGCTCAAAGATCATGGCTGAGCCGTAGGGGGGAATGGATTTGAAGTCTGATGATTGGGAGTCGAGCATCATGAGTGACATGAGGCTTATCATGGCGTCCTGTTCGCCGAAGAAGAAAGTAAGCGGACTGGGCTTATTGGCCTGACCAGCGCTATTGACCAAGCTATCGCTGTTCGTCTTTTCTGGGAGGAGCTGATCGAATGAATGAAGGATCGAGCCTGCAAGGGTTTTGCCGCCGATAGCTCGGTTATCGGAGTCTGTGGTAGATGCGGTTGTGTTACCGTAGAGATACCAAGCTACTTCGTTGGCGTCGTATCGCAGCTTGTCGTATACACCCGTGTAATCAGAGTCGTTTGCCAAGGTTCTGTAGATGCTGGAGTTGTGCGAGTATTGGTATGATAAGTAATCTGCTAGTTCAAGTGCGAAGGTGTATTCCCTGTGTCAATGTTACTATCCAGTTCATGTTGTATTTCTCGGTAATGTCTGGAAACCTTGGAGAACGTAAAAGCCCTCAAAGCATTTTGCTTGCATTATACTTACAGTTCATCTTGCTCTGCGTAGCCTTCAAACCAATCCAGATCCAGCTTTTTGTACAGATCCTCATTGGCCGCTAGTGTCGCCTTAAACTCCGAGGTAGTGAAATACTTCAGTCCGTCTGACTGTCCTTTGGGGCAGGATTGGGCTCCAGATACGAGTCTCGAATACGGGTCGTTGGGGCTAGCAGCGTGTATGCTAGCGTACTGATACCCGTTTAGTGGGTAATCGATAGAAGTGCCGTCTGCAAGCACTCCCGTTGCGTTGTTCATGTCATGTGGTGGGTAGAGCCCTTGCATGAAAGCTTGGGCAGACGATACGAGGTATGGCGTATCCAGCGTTTGAACCCATATCTGATCGTTATCCAGAGTGTCCTTTGACAGTCCCGCAATAGACGCGGTACCAGCAACGTATTTTTTTCTGAGCTGTTGTCCAAGCGCATGCATTTGGTTTGCGCCGACAGTGGTAAGAGTTTGGGTATCATTGCGTAGACGAGGTGTTCTCTCTCCTGTTCGAACGAAAGCGAAAGCAGCATGTGTATGTTCCGAATTCGAACTCTGAGCGCCAACAAGCCAGGCAGAAGCCGCTGCGGCGACGATGGTGCGTGTGAACATTGCAAAAGTTTGCTAGTGTGGTACCTCAACACCAAGACGGTGACGATGTTGCTTGCTGGTGAGACAGAATACCAGCGACAAGGCTGAACCCACTGAATCCCGGGATCACATCTCTACTTATTCCTTGTGGCAGCTCGCATACAAACTAGATACCCATGCTTATTTTCAAGGCAGCAAGCAAGGCACCTCACCCGCCAGTACAAAGAAGCGAACAGTCCGCGGCCCCCAATAACGATAGCGGCAGAACGCCTGACGAGAAAGTGGCGCGGACAAACTCACAACCCAATACGCGCCGCATGTACGGAAGGGATATGACGAAAATTGCAGCCTTGTTGACTACTACGGCATGTCTATGTCTGCCTTGAGCCAAAGATTGCAAGCGGATGGACATCCGTAGAAAGGCATCATCGATGCGCGAACCAAGATGTTGCAGTTCCTTGGTTGCACAGCATCCGATTCTGCCGGACTCAGCGGCACCGTGGTGGATACCAAGACAAGAACTTTTGGCGCATCGAACGACGCCAAAATCAACGAGGTGGCTGGGAGCTGACAGCGGGAGCCCAGGCCCTATCGTGACTCTGTCCTTACACACGAGTGTGTTGGCCGCTATACTGCACAGAGTTAGCCTGTGATTCCTACTAACGCTTCTCGTGGTCGTCACCGGTAAACCGGTGAGCGGGACACGGCACGCTCAGGTACAGTGAAGAGCATGGGATTCTTCCACGGTGTTTCTGTGGGTCGACGGAAGAATAGCGAGACGGCTACCTGCATCCAAGCCTTCATTCGTACGAGTGCATGAGTTACCATCTACTGTGGGTGACCTTATGTTCCAGAACTCACTTTTCTGAGATAGGTGTTGGCTGAGAACCGAAGCGGATCGCGGCACAGTATTTTGCTTGTTCAAACAAAACGTAGTTGAGGCTAAAGATGGATCACGACGCTACATTTAGGCCGCCCACAGGGCTGGAAAAGTCGCTGCCGGCGCATCCGTATCAAGTTATGAAATATTGCACGTGGGATGTGAATTGCTTGTTCGTTTGACATTAAATAATATATGTCCGCCAACAGCGGGCGGGTATTGCTACAGTGGCCCTACGATGCTGTGGTAGGCCTTCGTCTACCACGCTCAAAACGCCAGTTTGGATCCGCCATCAAGCGACTAGAACCGGATATACCCTTGCCTTTTCCAACCATGACTCTACAAGGTGACCTCAACACGGCCCTCGGCACCCGGCGCGCCACCAGCCTGCAGCGAGGGCAGGAGGTAGGTGATGTCGTCCCAGGGATGCCTGTAAAGACCAGTACGCAGCCTCTTCTGGTCAAGGAAATGGGCAATCAGACCGATACTTCGGCCAAGGACGAAGAGACCGTTAAGGACACCCATCTTCAGGTAGTCCTCAGCCTCCTCTTGGGTGAAGGCACCACCGTTGCGAACAAGGTCGACGAAGCAGACAGCGATGCAGCCGTCAACGTTGAGAATCAAGTTGTCCTTCTTAGATGTTGTGACCGACTCAACAGCGAGCGCGTAGTCGAGCAGCTTGGTGCTGGGGAAGTTCTTCTTGACGTACTCCTTGACAAGCTCAACACGAAGATCGGGGTTGTTACGTGACTTGATCCTGTGACCAATACCAGGGACTGGAAAATGTTAGCTGCTGCGCAAATAAATCCTCTCCTCTAGGCAACTTACTGAGCTTGTTCTCCTTCCTCATGGTGTCAACGAAGTCACGAGGGCTGAGGCCCTTGTCAAAGGCCTTGCTGAACTCCTCGGCGGCACCGTCGAGCGCACCACCGAAACGCGAACCAATGGTCAAAAGACCAGAGACCAACGCACTAATGAGATCCTTACCAGCACGGGTAGTGATGATGGTGTTCATGGCACCAGACACAGCTGGACCGTGATCGGCAGTCAACATGAGGACCATCTCGAGGAAACGGCTGGCGTAGTTGGGCAGGCGGCGACGGAACCACAGCAATGACATGACACCACCGATACCGATCTCCTCCCTGAAGACATCAGAGATGGGCATACCGGCGTACAGAAGCTCTTGGCCACGGTCGTCAGAGATGGTGGAAATGAAAGCAGCAGGCTTTCGGATGAGACCGAGCTCTTGTGCCCATGAGTAGTCAATGGGGATCTTGGGCACAACAGGCTCAGGCTTGGGCTTAATGGTGCCATCCTTGACGAGCTTCTGGTAGACCTGAGCAAGAGTGCCAGGCATCTCCTCGAAGGTCTCTGGCACGTAGATGCCAGCTTCCCTCATGGTCTTGTTCTTGGTCGCCGCAGTCTCGAGCTGAGAGTTGGCGAAAGAACCAGCGTGACCGAATTGAACCTCGGTCTTGAGCATACCGGCAACGGTACCGATGGCCCACGCAACAATGGGCTTGGTGACTTGGCCAGATTTGACAGCCTCAATGACGCGGTATTCCTCAACACCACCAACCTCACCGAGCAGCACAATGATCCTGCAGTCGGGGTCGGCCTGGTATCGGAGAACGTGGTCGATGAAAGTGGTACCCGGGTACCTGTCACCACCAATGGCAACACCCTCGAGCACACCATCGGTAGTGTTTGCGATGATGTTGTTCAGCTCGTTGGACATACCACCGGACTTGGAGACGTAGGAGACGGAACCAGGGCGGTAGAGCTTGGAAGCAACGATGTTGTCCATCATACCACCAGTGTTACCGATCTTGAACGCACCGGGCCTGATGCCTCCGACGGTAGCGGGGCCGATGATGGTGATGCCCTTCTTCTGGGCAACGTGGAGGATCTCACGGGCACGTCGCTCAGGTACACCCTCAGCGATGATGGCAATGCACTTGATCTGTGGGAACTCCATCAGCTCCATGGTGGACTGGTAGACTGAACGCGATGAGGCAAAGTTGACAACGGTGTCAACATCGCTGTGCTTGGCAACGGCCTTCTCTACGTTCTGGTAGACGGGCAGCAGAGTCTCGCTGGTTCCCCAGTACCTGCGTATTGTCAGTCGAGCGCTCGTAGGGGGTAATGGATTTGCGGGCCACAAACATTTTGCTGACGAATTGACCGCCGAATGTGTAGATGATACCGGCGACGGAGGGCTGCTTGCGCTTGCAGATGAAGTCGAAGTCGAGCATACCCTGGACGGCACGGGGCTGCAGTCCGCTGTTCACTTGTGTTAGAGCCGTGCTCTCCTTGTTTGGTAGGCGTGGGGTTCTCTTACTAGACGAAGCATCGTGTCTTGGGGTGGAACAGTGTGTGGGCAGCCGGTGGTGACATTGGTCGGCTGGGGGCAGCGAAACGACGGATGTTGTCGTTGGCGGAGAGGCCCTCGCCGTTGGAGGTGGGCGCTGCGGAAGGCATGGTGGCCGTGTGTGTGCGTCAGTTGTCTATCTGAGGCTTCAATTTATTCTGGAGAGCAAGAATTGTCAGTCTGGTTCATAAATTGCCCGACGTCGGTGTTGGGCAGAGGAGATATGGTTGGCTGACGTGAGGGTTCGGTCTGCGGTGGGAAAAAATGCTTCGGAGCTGTTGGGGCAGGCACGCGAGAGCGGGCAAGGTGGGATGGAGCTCAACAACGTCGTCCCTTCCGGGGCTCGGGGACTACTCACCTTATGGATGCAATGCCGTGTCGAGGGCAAAGCAGAGATGCTTGGATGGATGAGGAGAAGGTTGCGAGGAGGGAGATGCGATTCTTGCCGAAGATTGGGCCCTTACTTTTGGCGGTGTTGAGCTGGAGATTGATGTCCCCTGCACGAACTAGATCCGTGTGGCGCTAACCCCAAGTCCCGAGCGGTGAACGGGGACCCGAATGTCTTGCACCGCCAGTTCGCACCTCGGAATGGGGATAATGGTAATAGATGAAGCCTCAATGCGCCTAGCAGACACACTTTGGAACTCGCTATCGCGGAATATCCGTCGGGGTGCGTCTCTTCGGCTTGATCATGTCTCGTCGTGGGTCGTGTAGGCCATCCGCAGCTCATGTACCCCTGGTGGGGTGGCCTCGATGTGATAGGCCCGTCGTGCGCCGAGTGCCTTAGCCCTGCATCTGCTGCCCGCCCTCATTGCTCAACACGCAGAAAAAACATCAGACCGCTTTCTCAAGCTCCTTTCCAAGCCGACTGACAACTCAAGTCTTGCCAACAATTCCTCTTAATCCTCCTGTAGACCGTGTGTCAAGCCTCAACAAATACAGGTACGTCTCACCACCCCGGCCTGCCATTTTGCATCTTCTTGTGCCGGCCCCCTCACCACCTTCTCCGAACATCTTCGTCTCCGGACATCGCATAAGGCCCCGTAACCATTGCCGAGACTGTCGTCGGGATTGATCCTGCGAGTTTCTTGAATCTTTTTGCTGCTCATTGCTGCTCATTGCTTCCACGCGAGCCGCTCTTCTCGACATTGCAATACTCATCCTTCGCAGTTTGACCAAACACCACAATGTCAGCCAAGTCCATCCTCGAGGCCGACGGCAAGGCCATCCTCAACTACCACCTCACCCGCGCTCCCGTTATCAAGCCCACTCCTCTTCCCCCTTCGGCCACACACAACCCCCCTTCCAAGCTCGCGTCGCTGCACTTCGCTGCCGATGAGGACATCAAGGGTGTGCTCGACCAAGCCGAGGCCACATACCCATGGCTACTGACTCCCGGATCCAAGTTCGTCGCAAAGCCAGACCAGCTGATCAAGAGGCGAGGCAAGAGCGGTCTGCTCGCGCTGAACAAGACCTGGGCTGAGGCGAGGGAGTGGATCGAGGCGAGGGCAGGAAAGGAGCAGCGCGTCGAGACTGTCGATGGTGTACTGAGGCAGTTCTTGGTTGAGCCCTTCGTTCCCCATCCCCAGGACACCGAGTACTACATCAACATCAACTCCGTGCGAGAGGTACGTTCATTTCCACCTTTTTCTACAATCTCTTCCTCATGTCGTTTCGGGCGAGCGCGTGGTCTGGCGCATGCGAAAGCGTGCAAAAGACATTTTCGTGTGCTTTGAGCGGAAAGCTGCAGCTCAAGTGCGGGCGGAGCGGGAGGCTGGCTCAAACTCGCGGGCGCACTTCCTGGTTTTGTTTGAAGGCCGGCCGGACGAAGGGAGCCATGGCCGACCCACTTCTGCAAAGCACCTACTCTTCTGCGATACGCACGTCCACTTTCACATGCCAATGTGGCTGCCTTTTTTGCGCTTTGCGCCGCTACATATGCATCGTCAATTTCCGGGCCCATGGTGTTGCGGCTCTTCTAGCCATCGGCTACTGCGCGATCTTGCCAATCGTTTGTCGATCTCACCGCTAACTTTGCCGCTTAGGGTGACTGGATCCTCTTCACCCACGAGGGTGGTGTCGATGTCGGTGATGTCGATGAGAAGGCTGAGAAGCTTCTCATTCCTGTTGACCTTAAGGAGTACCCCTCAAACGAGGAGATCGCCGCTACTCTCTTGAAGAAGGTTCCCGAGGGTGTACACAACGTCCTCGTCGACTTCATCTCAAGATTATACGCCGTCTACGTTGACTGCCAGTTCACGTGAGTTGCTTCCATACACCATCATCTTGCCAATACTGATGTAGCTACAGTTACCTTGAGATCAACCCTCTTGTCGTCATTCCCAACGAGGATAAGACTTCTGCTGAGGTTCACTTCCTGGATCTTGCTGCCAAGCTTGACCAAACTGCTGAGTTTGAGTGTGGTGCTAAGTGGGCGATCGCCCGCAGTGCGTCAGCTCTCGGCATACCAGCTGCTCCCCAGAAGGATGCTAAGCAGACCATCGACGTCGGCCCACCGATGGAGTTCCCCGCTCCCTTCGGTCGTGAGATGAGCAAGGAGGAGGCGTACATTGCCGAGATGGACGCTAAGACTGGTGCTTCCCTCAAACTGACCATCCTCAACGCCACTGGCCGTGTCTGGACACTGGTCGCTGGTGGTGGTGCTTCCGTCGTCTACGCCGACGCTATCGCCTCTGCTGGCTTTGCTGGTGAGCTCGCCAACTACGGTGAGTACTCCGGTGCTCCCACCGAGACTCAGACCTTCCACTACGCCCGTACCGTTCTCGACCTCATGCTCCGCGCTCCTCAACACCCAGAGGGCAAGGTTCTCTTCATCGGTGGAGGTATTGCCAACTTCACCAACGTCGCCTCAACTTTCAAGGGTGTCATCCGCGCCCTGAGGGAAGTCGCACCCCTCCTCATCGAGCACAACGTCCAGATCTGGATCCGTCGTGCCGGTCCTAACTACCAGGAGGGTCTCAAGAACATCAAGGGTGTTGGCCAGGAGCTTGGCCTCAACATGCACGTCTACGGCCCAGAGATGCACGTCTCAGGTATCGTGCCGCTGGCTCTTATCCCTGGCAAGACTAGCGACGTTAAGGAGTTCTCTGGTTAAGCGTGTGCTTTGTATATTAGGGTCGCGGGTGTAGATTGGGACTGCTTACGGCTCATGGCTAGACAAAGAGTTCAACGTTGGGAGCTATGCATGGAATGAGTGTTCGACGAAACCATTACCTCGCCTGCCTTGCTTACGCATATGGCTAGCGATGAAGGAATATAACATTTAATACTTCCATCTGATCGTGTTGCTGTTGTGCTTGGCGCGTGTTGGAGTGAGGTGAAGTGAAGCTTTTTTTGTGTTGTTGTTGGTGCACTGTGTCGCTCTTTCCTTTGCGGAAAGCACGACCAGCGACCTCACCTTCACCCACTGTGCGTCCGTCCCCTTTCTAGAGGGCCAGCGTCATCCACAGGTAGATCATTCTTTACTATTTACAGATCACTCACTCGATGTTGTACCCCCCATATAATGCTCGCAATTTCCGGCTCGTCCATCACAGAACAAGAACCCTCCAAGCAAAACCAGCCGAGAAACATAGAGTCCCGCATGTCTAGGATGACTATTCTCCAGACGATGCAGACTAGTTGCTTCCGCGAAGCAATAGCAAATTCAGAGGCCTCTGATATGTACTTTTGTACAAAAGTCTCAGGGACGTGGGTTCGAGCATCAGTTCTTACTCGTGTTCCTGACATAAGGACATGACACTACGGCTTGGTTATACATCGAGTGTTGTGTTCCTTGATCTTCGTACTACAACCTTCGGCAGAAAGGGTGGTTAGAAGATATTCCTTGAAGCGTGGGTTTGGTATATACCGAGCTTGCAATTCGAGAGCTTGAGACTGCATCCTTCGGTAGAAAGGGCAGTTGAGAGAATGCATGTTGTCTTGTGGTGTGGAGCTAATGGGTTGGTTGTTCTATCTTTTTTTTTTCCTACTTTTTATTGTTACAGTCGAGTAAGTGTTAATGCTAAGGCAGGAAAACATAAGGCTGTGGAGTAACTCTACGCAATATCCTCAGCCCAGCTGTAATCTATAGCCGGACACCTTACACCTGCTATATGCAGCTATATATAGTAATGAAACTCTCTTCCTAATTAACATCATTGCTGTAGATCTCAATATACTTTATGGTATAAGCATGGTATATGTATATATGTATATATGTATGTGAATATAGTCCTATTGTTCCCATGCCGGAGTAAGATGAACCAGCACGTGTACTCCGATGACACCTCATCCAACTATATCATCCGCATCCACTCGTCCATGGCATCAAAAAGCGCACCTAATCTAACACCATCCTCATCCTCTCCCGCAGTTAACACCTTGACCACACTCCTCTTCCGGCCATGCCTCAACGTGAGTTCTCTCAATGGCGGCATAGAAACCAACATATCCCTCCACGACCCCTCCTTGCACCCCATAACCCTCGTACTCTTAATCCAAACATTAAAGTCCATGACCACCGGATGAAAAACAATCTCCTGACTCGTCCGTATAAGCCCCAAACACCGCCTCATCAAACTAATCTCATTGCGCACGCCGACGGAAAAGCGCGTTCCAGAAGGTTGGAAGCCATCCTCTATACTCTGCGGCGTGACATCGAGTTCAAAGTCAAAAGTGGTAGGAACCATGCTATAGATTTGTAACCCACGGGATGGTTTCAAGTAGAGCATTTCTGCCAACAAGGGGGAGTCGCCGGGGATGAGTTGCCGCCACACGTTGCAGGCGCGCTGGGCACGGAGCAGGTCCCAGAAATCGAGGTGGATGAATATGTGCTGGAGGACTTCGGCGGGGAGGTCCGTTATGGCCTTTCCTTGTCCGTTGCCGTGGGGTGGGGATGTTGTGGTGGTGAACATTTGGCGGACGCGGTCTGCGTAGTTGCCTATGCTACTTCGGCGGCTGTCTCGCGAGAGTTCAGAGTCCCAGGAGCGCATTGATGAGGCGTCTACGTCTATGGGGAGTGCTGTGATGGAGGGGTTGCGGATGGAGTGGCCTGAGGCGCTTTGTTTGCGCCGGTTTGTTGTGTCTTTGAGCATGTCGGAGAAGCGGGTAAAGGCCGAGAAATGGGATTGGTGCTGAAGATCCATCATGGTTTCTGTCTGCTTGGTCGTTGAGACGTTTGGTTGAGTTGCTGTTTGGGGTTCGATTTGGCTTCCTTTCAGTGTTGCCCTGAGCGCTCCTGATACGAGATATAATTAGACTTCAGCCCTGCGATGACGATGCGGGGTGATATCGTGCAACGTGGGTCCGGTGCAGATTTATATGTCTTGAGCCTCAGCCACGATCTACCGATACAGATCTCTCTTGTCGTATGGAAGCGGTGTAACTGGCAGCATCGATCGAGAAAACAGGAAGCAACGATGTGGAAGCCGCAGCTGACATGTCATTTCCACTAGCCTATTGTGGCTTACATGACACGGGAAACACATGGGGAGGCCGGCAAAAAGCAACTAAGACATATGCCACATGGGAGGATCGGCGTTGTTTGCTTGATGGCTTGCAAAGCGTATCAGGGAAAGTGAGGTTGACAGTCTGCTCTTCTGATACGCTACAAGGATATTGTTCCACTATTCTGCCGATGTTGTCCATCAAACATACACCATGGTTCCATCCGCGTATAAGACTACGTAGTAAAGAAGATTGCGATTGTTTCAAGATGGTATGTTATGTTGTATTGATCTACGGTTACATGGCTTCACAAGCCAAAATTTGTTGTTCTTGGACAGGCTGTCTATCAACACAATGCCAGAGCACTGCACTACATATGGGAGCGGCGCAAAGCACGCTCGTCTTGAGACAACTATTGTGCCAAATCTTCCAACAATCCTCTGGGATCCCTCTTGGCTTACTTGTGGACAAGGTAAGCCTGGCCGGACGCGAAGTCTCGAAAAGTGCCCGCCGAGCCCTTGATTAAAGGTCATTGCATGTTACCCATGCATCATAGTCTCTTCAGCCAACCTCAATCGCAGCCAATGCGCCGATGACTTCTTCTGCAACACCTCCGTTTTCTACCACCATCTTTGTTACCTGCGATATTAGTCCCCTCTTCATGCCGCCCCGGGGTGGTGTCCAAACGCCTGAAGTCGCCAGTAATTCTCGTTGAGTGAGCGCATCAGCACTGGAGGTAGGAGCAGTGCCGCCAGTCGCTGAGTTCATCGAGTTGGGTACGCCTGGTGGGGTGAGATGAGACGGGGGATCGATGGTCCGTATCGAGACGATGCGTGCGCCAGTGGACGACGTTGTCGAGTTGGTGCATGCGATTGCGAGCACTGCGTCTGCTACTGCAAGCTCCTCCTTGGCGGGATCAAAGATGATGTTTGATCCCACTGCCATGGCGAGTATGATGACTGGTGGCTTCCCTAGCTGGGGAGCAGTCTTGTTGGTACCGGCCTGCTTGGGGTATAGAGGTACAGCGGCATCCCAGTCATCGTCGAACAGTGGGTCTTCGTCTTTTTCAGACTTCAGGGCTGGTAGGAGCGTAGTGAGCAGGGCGAGATGGGTGGTCATGGAAAGCAGGGCGAGCGGGTACGAGAGCGGGGGTGACAGTAGCAGGATCTAGCAGTGTTAACAAAATGTCCGTAGGGGACGTGTCACAGCTTCTTACATCGACGTAGAGCTTCCAATGGAAGCGTCTGTTGATGTACAGGCGATCTTTGAGCTCTCCACTGGCAAGCAAGCTCTCGGTGAGCATCGAAGAGAGAAACACAGGCAAGGCGTCGTCTTCACGGAAACCGGGCACCTCGACGCTCATCTCGACCCACGCATTCTGGCCCTTGCCCTTGCTGTCGTCTGTCTCTTCACCGTCGCCCATGACTACATCCTCGGGCTCCCCCAGCGTCGGGCGCTGCCGTGACTTGTCCACCTCGGCCTTGACTCCTACGAGCGCTTCGGTCCCATCCTCGAGCGCGATGCGCGCACTCCCGTTTGCACTGGGCAGTACGTCATACTCGGCGCGCATAGAGCGAAAGTCGCGGGGCCCTTTGGTGACATCGAGGCGGATGGGCGGCGTCTGTGAGAGGGCGGAGCGCAGAAACGACAGCTCAGCCGGCGAGAGGTTGACGAGGGCCTGCTGAGGCGCCATGGTAGTTGGGTAGTAGTGCGGCTAACGGGACGACGACGAGGTGTTTGCTGCTCCCAGATTTCTTGCGCATTTGTTTCGACGACCAACTAGCGGCCCCGGCGATTCGGCTGCAGCGTCACTCCCTTGCAGGCCGGGGCGCAAGCTACTTTCGCGCGACAACACCAACCTGCAGTCCAAGTGCCGTCGGCTGACCGCTGGTCCTCGGGAAGCATCATCTGGGGAATTCAATACATCTGTGTCCTTTGGTAGTTCGATTAGTTGCTGCTATATATTCCTTGAGGCTTGTCATGATAGTTTAATTAAGCCACCCGCCCTTCGTCACACGTACCGACCGCTGCCGCCAATGTCACCCCCGACCTCTAAGCGGAACAGCGGTAATGGCATCACCACCATCGACAAGCTCGACTACCCACCAAACTCGCCGCGCCGCCCTCTGCTAGCCCCCGACAGCGATACCGAATCCCAGCGACGCAGCCAGGACACGAGCTACGCAGGCAGCTTCTTCGAGCAGGTGGCTGAAGGCATCTACGAGCAAGACCGCGTCAAGATGCAGCGCGCCGTGCTGCGATGGCTGAGCTTCGTGTGGGCCATCGTCATCTGCCTATGCGCTGGTAGCATCACCGCCTTCTCTCTGTACGGCCACTTGTTCCAGTCCAAGCTGCACTACACCCAGGTCCAGGTCAACATCGTCTCCATCGGCGCCGAGCTCGGCCTCTACCTCCTCGTCCCCATCTTCGGATACCTCTGCGACCGGCTGGGCCCCGGTGTCCCTGCCGGTCTTGCAGGCCTGCTCTTCGGCTCGGGATACCTGCTGGCAGCCTTCACCTTCAGGAGCGGTCCTCCGCCATCGGCAGGCGGTCATGGATGGCCCCATGGCGTCATGGTGCTGGCCTTTGCCCTTGTCGGCATGGGCACAAGCTGCATGTACCTGTCTGCAGTAACAACATGCGCGAAGAACTTTGGACGCGGGAACGCCAAGGGTGTGGCTCTGGCAGTGCCCATCGCAGCCTTTGGACTGAGTGGCATGTGGCAAAGTCAGGTTGGAAGCCGGCTGCTATACGTGAGGAACCCGGATGGGACCAAGGGAGACGTCGATGTGTTCCGCTTCTTCCTCTTCCTCGGCATTCTCCTGTTCTGCGTTGGTGCTATTGGCTTCTTTGCGCTGCGCATCATGGACGAAGAAGAGATGATCGACGATGCAGTGGACGAGCTCGAGAGATCTGGTCTTCTGCAGCGCGACGAGTTCTTTACCCAGGCTGCGAGCCATCATGGCTACGGAACCATGGAGACCCAGGACCTTTCCGACTCGACATTCGACTTCCTGCAGTCCGAGGCTGAGCGTCTCAAGGCCAAGGCAGAAGAAGAGGCACGGAAGAAGACATGGCTGCTGAACGAGGAGACTCGTCGATACATCATGGATCCCACCATGTGGTGGCTCGCAGGAGGCTTTTTCCTCGTCACTGGGCCCGGTGAAGCTTTCATCAACAACCTAGGCACCATCATCGAGACCCTGACACCTGCGCACGTGGCCACAAACACGTCGCCAGCAACCCACGTATCCATTGTCGCCATCACCTCCACACTCGCTCGCTTGATCACCGGCACACTTTCCGATGTCCTCGCCCCAGTCGCTCCCGTCCACCAGCACCGCCGCGGACCAGAATCCATGGCGAACTCGCTGTCGTCTCTCCCACCTCTCGAGCAACCGCCCAAGAGGTTCACCGTCTCGCGTATAACCTTCCTCCTGGCATTCGCTTTCATCCTCTCCCTTGGAGAACTCCTACTGGCAAGTGGGTGGGTGCAGAACCATGCCTCTCGCTTTGCCGCCGTCTCTGCACTCATCGGTGCCGGTTATGGAGCCGTCTTCTCGCTGACACCCATTGTCGTCTCAGTAGTATGGGGCGTTGAGAACTTTGGTACAAACTGGGGTATTCTAGCCATGACTCCCGCAGCAGGTGCCACACTCTGGGGTGCCGTCTACGCTACTGTGTATCAGAAAGCTGCCGAGAATGGCGAAGAGGGCGTTCAGAAGGATCCTGAAGATGTTCTCTGTCACGGAAAGGCTTGCTATGCATCCACGTTTTGGGCCATGACCATAAGCGTATGGATTGCCATGGGTCTCTTCCTGTGGGCTTGGAGAGGCCCTGGTGGCTGGAAGAGGAGGGGCGTTGCTGTATGATACTCTTGTCTTTGTTTTGCATGGCGAAGGGCGTTTGTGTTTTGTGACTATGAAGCGTTCATTGCATTGATCCTATGTTGCTCTAATAGCGTTGCATACTGCTCCTTCCTACATCAATACAAGTTTTGAATACCACCTTCGCAAGTTAGAACAGAATAATAGTGACTGTGTGTGTGTGTGTGTGTGTATACCATGGATACCGGAGCGCATAAAAAGGTGGACAAAGCAAGGGAAGTTGTGACAAAAGGCTGGTTAGTTTGCTTAGTTAGTGGTGGGTGGTGATGAATTGCTTGCTGAGCAAGGAGAGCAAAAAGAAACAAAATAAAAGTCAACACACCAGCCCGCCACTCGACTTCCAACCCCAATAGGAGTAATCCGGCGCCGCCGTTCCATGGTGAATACTCGATTGCGGAATTGCTTCCCTCATCAAATTGTATTCATTGCTTAGGTCCCTCCAGCATCACTGGTTACCCAAGTGAGTGGATTAAAGGACACCACAGGACTCGAACCGGGCTCCTGCTGAAGTGTAGACAGGGAGCTGAGTGGGGATAACGATGTGCTTTCTTTCGAGGACCCGTTACAGGTGGTAAACTTTAAAATCGAATATAATATATACGTATTGAGTGATTGTAATCCGAATACACAGTCGCTGAGTCCCACGTAGCTTTGTTTTTAGAATCTGTGCGCAGGCAGCGAATTTGCGGAAGCGCGACTGCGGGGTAAGAATGACGTCTCAGTGGGTGGGTGGGCCTCTCCTGCTGACTGAGACTGTCAATTACAAGACTACGAACACCATGCCCCCAACGCAGGTTACGAAGAAGCCCAATCTTACAAGTCGTACTCTAAAAATCTAAGACTTGCCCTGGAGGTATATACTAAGTTATTACCTTTAGTATGTTGTTGCAAAGTACAGCGTATAACTCAAGGATACTTCTTATGCGAAAATGCAAGTAAGACGAAACGAGCTTCTTCATAGTCTAGACCGACGAGTGCAACATGACAGTGACACAGATTCATAGCGGATAACACTCAATGAGTGATGTCATGTTATAGTGATCATTTCATACTACAAACGGCGTCCCGAAGTCAACACAGATGCGTGGGTATCTATATCTCCTGTACCTTTCAATGCACCACCTGCGCCTAAGAACACCTCACGCCTTCAGAACATACACCAGCTTCCTAATTTCGCTCCGCACTTCATCGCAACCTGAACGCTTTTCTTCATCTCCTTGTACCATATTGCTAATCAATTGCTGTACGTCGAGACCCACATCGCTCAAACTCTGCGCGAAGCCATCTGGAAAGACTCCGCGGCGAAGGTCCGCCAGAGCTGCTATCCGCTCCATGCGTGTACTGAACTTCTGTACCATCTCAAAAGCTACTACGCCAAGGGCGAAGATATCGAGTTTCTCGTTGACACGACTACTTGCGTGCGGACGGTAGAACTCTGTTCCTACAGGTTTGAAGGTATCCGATACGGTACAGCTGTCGCTCAATGCCGCCACAAGCCCAAAGTCTCCGATTCGCGGCGTCATATGCAAGCATTCACGCTTCGGGCAAGATTTGCAGCTTGAAACGTCGACGGAGCCGTATGGTGGATGCCGTGCCCTTGAGAGCGATAAGAAGACGTTGGCTGGTTTGAGATCGCGATGGACTACACCTTGTGCGTGCAGGTACTCAACTCCGGAGACGACGTTGTCTAGCAGCTCCAGTGATATGCGAGGATGGAAACAATGTTGTTCAATCCCCTGTGTAGTAGGAGAGTGTTGCTCAGATGAGAGGAACGCGGCAAGGTTGGTTTCGCAAAGACTCATCTGCACGTTCAACGTAAGGACTGGTCCGAGGCTTTGGTTTTGGATTAAGTGGCGGGGCGCATCGCTGTTGGATATCATGCTGTCTGACATCTCGGACAGTGGCTCTTGCGAATATGGCATGTGTGATCTCGGTATGTTTTCAACATCATCCTCCTCATCTTCGTCAACGTCCTCGACTGCACTCATTCGGGACTTTGTCGACGATATCGTAGCAATCGTGGTTTGACTTGCTTGGCTACCCCGACGCTTTGCGCGTCTCGTCTGCCTTAGTGTTTCTTTGTAGGATAGATGGACGCTCTCGCTCTTAATCTCATTCAATTGCGGTTCGGATTCGCTAAACTCGAATATAATTCCAGCACTGTTACTATTTTCGGTCCTTGCGAAGGGATCATCGACCGTTAGGCTGTCTAGCTTAGAATGCAGGTCACTAGAGCCTGGCGAAAACGACGGAAATGCAGGCCGGTCATCCAAAAGGCGATCGTCTCGTAACATCGTCACTTCTGGTACGGTCGCAGTCTCTGTAGGTATCGTAGTGAACTCCAGCCAAGCGTTGTGATATCGAACAATGTTGTTGTGGTCGAACCGAGCCAGGGAGCGAACCTCTTCGAGCATGCTTTCCAATTCTTCGGGCCCATGCTCTTGTATTCTTGCGACCTTGGAAGGGCTCACTGGTATTCGCTTTACAGCATAGAAAGAGCCATCTAGTTTATGCTTGGCTTTGAAGACTTTTCCGTACCCGCCCTTTCCTACAATCTCAAGTTCTGAAAACTCCCGAATGTACCGGTCCGTTTGGAGATGAGGATAGCCTCGCAGTTGGAGTTCTACCGGAGCTGAGATACCAGACATGATATCAAAGCCAAGAGTTGGCTGTTGCGGTAGAGGTGAGTGAACCCCAGTCCCTGGACGTGTGACAAGCGCCTGTGAAGATCCTTCGGGGATCACAGCAAGTTTGCTGAGGTTGCTCCGGGTCAATCGATGGATTCCTTGGTTCGCAGTTGCTCGATGACCCTGCATCTCGTCGCTCGCATAAGCGTCGTCCACATTGTTGGAGATTTGACGAGCGATTTCCTTATAGGCGGCTCTTCCCAGCCGCTGAGCTTCTGGGTCTGAGGGATCCTTTCCTAGTTGCTCTGCGACCTGTCGGATAGTTCTCTCTTCTAACAGTGAATGTAACAGCAAATCTCGAACGTTTTGCGCAGAGTTCTGCCGCACCTCTAGAGGAGGTCGGTGGGGCTGAAGAGGCTGCTGTCCTGAGGCAGCAGAATCCAGAGTTTGAATTCTCGATAGGACGCTATCTTGATATGATTCGCTTGCTTCTTCATATTCACTTTCTTCGTCAGAAGTCCCCGAACTCGATGATGATGAATCGCCCGGCCTGCGAAACATAGACATCGCGAATGGAAGGAGGGGTCGTTGTGAGTCGAAAAAGACCGATACAGACCAGCTGTTTTCAAACGACGGTGTTCAGGCCAATTGGACACCTCTCTGGCATCCAAAAATTCTCAGACGAAAAGATGCGAACGCGGTGTTGTTGTTAAGACGCTTGTGATTGTGTGTTGTTCGGTGTAGCTGCAGCGTCGGGCGACCAACTCGATGCCAACAGCTGTACCGGCAAGGACCCCATGAGTACGCGATGTCTAGGCAAGCATCGAGCGTCGGAGAATCTCATGGAAGCGAAACGTGTCTCCTTGAATGAAGGCGGAGAACACAGTAGCAGTCACAATTAGATCGGAAGGGCGCGCCAGCCCAAGCGAGTGGGTCTGTCTGGCGGAACCGGCAGGCACAAGCGCGTCATTGCACGTGGCCAGGCGACCGCGAACAATTCACCTTTGTGCACGCGCTCTCGACACTTTTGGACGTTTGTGCGGCGTGATACCGTTCTCGGCTGGTCTCGTACCTATCAGAACATTATGTCGTGTTCTAGTCGTTCGCTACACCCTCAAACCCTGCCAATACGAGGCTGATCGATCAATCTTCCAGGCAGCATGCCGCGTCAACTACCTTGGGCGAATAAAAGCGGCGGAAGCCGGACACAAGTGAAACCAGCGCCATCGCGGCAAGCCACGAAATCGCGCACTACAACTGCTATAGATGATGATTTCTTCGACGGCACGGTTCTGTCAAGCAGCAGAGGAAGATCAAATGAGTCCGACGACGACCTTCCTGGACTTCCAATAGAAGAGTCAACTCCCCGGACTAATGCCAGGACCAAAGATGCACTGCGAAGCGAACGTGAAGGCTCATCGTCGCCGCCTCCCATTGATGATCTCGAGCAGCCACTTGTGGAAGGCATGCATAAAGGTGTGTCCAAGTTCGACCTGCGCGACGACGAGTGGATGATGGTTGAAGACGAGTTTCTGGAGACGGCAAAGCTGTTCACACGACACTTGCACATCGCCGAATACGAGAAGCTCAAGGCGACCATTGAAGAGAAGAACAAAGAAGCGGCCGAGATTGCAAGGCCAGTCGTTGCGAATGCGAAGAGGTCAACTAGTGGCGCCATGAAGGAGAAGGCCAAGGTTCAAGAGTTGAAACAGAAGAAGGCCATTCGTGATGTGCTTGCGTCGCAGGAAGAAGATGACAAGGAAGGTCGGACCACGCTATCAAGTCGAACCAACCTTGCGTCTTCGCTTCTGGCTTCACGAAACAACCCTACAGCTGAACCTAAGCCAACACCCGGCAAATACACGACACAGGATAGTGATAGCGACGATCTGGATGCACCGCGCCTCTCAGCAAGACCAGCTTTCAAAGCCACCACCACGCCGACCCCAGTCAGAAAGAGCAGCACAGTGGGAGGGCAAAATCCTGCCTCATTTCCTGCACATAATCCAAGGCCGCTCAACCCTACCTTTGCTAAGCCCGCGCCACCTTCAGCCGCAGCAAAGTCTCGCTCAAGACTAAGGCGCGCAACACCCTTCGATATGCTCGACGACTGGTTACCTAAGAAGAGTAAAACGTTGCCAGAATCTTCACCGGTCCAGCCTGCTAAGGCACCACACATATTGCGCACACCAACTCCTAGTCGGCATTCACAGTCCTTTGCTTCCCCTGACAATCGAGACGATGGGAAAGCTGGACAATCGACTACTTCGTTCGACGCAAAGGCATCTACTAGGTACCAGGACCATAGCAAAAACGATAGCGGTGTAAGTAAGGAAACCACGGATCGCCTTGCAAAGCGGAAAGCCGAGCGGGAGAAGGAGGAGAAAGAGAGGAAGCGGAAAGCTGCAAAATTGGATGACATACCAACGTTTTTGTTTTAAGTCCATCATGTTTGCCATGATTGGCAAGTCTTAGGTTCGTGGTCGTTTTGTTTAGGAGTTTCTTGAGGGAAACAGATGATACTCTTAGTTATGACCTGCTGCGGGCTGTTTAATATAGATGATGGTATGTTTGTGCGTATGTATGTTGACGGAATTGATAATGTTGGGGTTTATTTAGAGGTTCTTCAAAATCCAATGGGTATCGTCTCTTGAGGTCAGAGAGAACTAATCCGTCGTCGCCTCTAACTTTCATCTTCTTAGCCTATTACTATAATGCACTGCGAGTACATTCAGGGTAGGCCTTGTTAAGTCTACAGATGCGACACAATGATTTCATCCCTGATGACGTTGGGATTACTTGACGGTTCTCCAGGATGTATCATGTTCATTGATATGATGGAATCTCGTAAAATTTCATAGTCTCATATGTATTACCCAGACGGGGACATTTATGCCCCTAACAAGAGTGGCATGGGATCTCATATGCAAACCATCAAGCACTGGTTTCCACAACCCCAGCTGTTGCCATAGCACTCACCGCAGGAGCCTATCCAAACAATTTGTCCAAAACACGGTTGAAAGCATTAGTCTCCGGCTTCTCCACAAACGTACGATGATACTCTTCGATCTCAGCGAGATCAGTTACAAGATCCGCTTCATGCGCCGGGATCCACTTTGTTCTTTTCCAGAGTTTCCAGAATATGTAGAGGCATGGGAACGCGAAGACCCTGTTTTACAGATCAGCATTGCGCCATATTGGAATGGAAGGAATTCTGGGGTTGGGTCTTACATCAAGTACGAGAACAGGAATGAAGGTACATCCCACATTCCCTTTAGGAAAACTGTGTAGCCTCCGACAAAGGTCATGACGAAGGTCGTGACAAGACCATACCATGCCGCGTAAGGCTGTGCCATACCCTTATATGGCAGCGTGTCTCGATCCAAGCCCTGCACCTGACACGCCTTGTAGAACTTCAAGAAAGTAAAGCACATGACGCTGAAGTTGATGAGCTGGGACGCTGTAACCAGGCTGACGAACCAGTTCAGCACAACAGCAGAATTTTGGCCAAGCTGGAGGAAGGAGAGGAGGGAGATGATGAGGACTACGCCGACACAGTAGAAAGGTACACCTTGCTTTGTGCACTTGGTGAGGAATTTGGGTGCTTTTCCTTCGAGAGCAAGACCGAAGAGGGAACGGGACGCGCAGTAAACGTAGGAGTTTCCAGCGGAGAAGGCGGAGGCGAGGACACCAGCATTGACGACGTGGGGTAGGCCTTCGATACGGAGTCGGTTCATGGCGATGACATAAGGTGAAGCTGCTGCGCCTGGCTTGCCGTCACGGAAGGCGCCGATCAATTCTTGGTCGTTGAAGGGAACGTTGATGCCGACGGCTAGCGAGCCGAGCACGAAGAATGTGGTCAAACGGTAGAAAACGGCGTTGTAAGCCCGGGGCATGACTTTGCGGGGGTTCTCCGTCTCTCCTGCGGCCATGGAAACATAATCAGGTCCGGCAATCGTGAAAGAAGCCTGGATCAAGCACTGTAGGAAGCCTAGGAACCGACCGAGTTGACCTTCATAGTAAAGTTCTGTAAAACTTCCAGGGTTCTTCCAGTAACGGAATCCGTAACGGTCTTTCTGAGGATTGCCTCCCAACATGGAGATGAAGGTGAAAATGAGCAGGCCGATGATGAGAAGGACTTTGCCGATGGCAGCCCAGAACTCGGTTTCGCCGTACCATTTGACGGCCATCATATTGATCACACTAGATTCATGTCAGTACTTGATCTGATTGTAATCTCCCCTGGTCATAGTGTGCAGGCTGAGCACATGGCTTCATAGCTACTCAGAAGTATGCCCGAAAATGCCAAGCGCATGCGAACGTCAGTTCAGGAAGAAAGGTCTTAACGTACGCATAGAGCACGAGAACAATAGCAATTATTGCGCCAGTTGGGACCACATCGGACCAGAATCCGATGATGACATTGCAAGCCACAATCTCAAAGGGCACAAGAGCTGCTTCGAACACGAAAAAGTTCCAGCCAGCAGCGAATCCGAATGCGTCATCCACGAATCTACCGGCAAATCGGATGAATGGCGAGGATATCGGGAGGAAAGTGACCATCTCGGCGATGCCTAAGTAATCATATTAGCTGGAGCTCGGCATTTTAGCGCGAGCGGTGAAGAAAGGTGCTCTGGGAAGTTTGATAAAGCGCGTGGGCATTGTCGCGATAGGAAGGTGTTGTCGCTTTGGAATTGAGAAATGGAAAGTCTCACTGAGCGTCACAGCTAGAATGACAGTACACCTATAGAATTTAGCATCATTACCGTAAATGGCAGGGGTAAATTTGCATACCATAAGGAGAATGCAAGGAACAAATTTCCAGGTCCTCCATTCATCAAACCTCGGCCAATCTGCACATATAGGGCAGTACCAATAGTTCCTCCGATACCGATAAGCTGAATGTGTCTGCTCTTGAGCTTTCGATGTGTCTGATCGGTGACTGCTCTTACAGATCCGACTGCACTGGAGCGGCGAGGGCCGTCATTGTAATGATTCTTCTCTTCATCGGCGGCAACACGACCTGGGTTCTTTACCTCATAGGGCCCGCCGGTTTCAAAGTCTTTGCCGTAAGAGGCCATTGTATTTGAAAGTCAAAAACCTCAAGGCTGGACTTCAAAGTATGGTTTTAAGAAGCAGGGCAAAATACTGCACTTCGAAAGCCATGTACCAACAACTAGGCTCTGGGTTGTCTTATAGGTTGCAAACAAGGCTGATCGTCGTCGTGCGAGATAACGAACGGAGTTGCGGAGTGGCCTGTTAAATACCTCTCAGCTGCCCTAGTGTGGGCAGGTGGGAACCCTGCATAGGCGGATTCCTCGTGGTGAACGCTGTAGATCGCGCTAGGCTGATTGAGCATTCACAACTATCCCGCTTCTTCGAGGTTTGGGCTTGCCCTTAGTGGAGGCCAAATCGCAGATGAGCGATTTGGCGTTCGCCATGGTGGGGCTGCAGCAGGCATTTTCACATATTCTCTTTCCTTCACTGGCCACACGGCTGTTCATCTGGGGGAATATTTAGGGTCGGTGAATTTTTGTCTCGTGTGCCGTGTGTTGGATAAAAGACCCGATAATGTCGTTCACAGGTGCAGGGATTGAGGTACCCGGCATCACTAGCTGGACATTGCTAGTTAGAGGCGGCGGGGTCCTGCGTGCAACGAGTAGCCCTGACGCAACCTACTGTACTCTCAAGACCGCTATTTCCTTTGTCGTGCATCTGGAGCTCTCTTTCGCATGTTCAGCTCGTGAAATAGTTGCTATCCTGCCATGTTATCTTCCCTATCGGCTTCTCCGAATCCCTCTCACCAATCTTGTGGGACGAGGACCCCTCCATCTCTTGAGTGTATCTTGGCTTGCGATTATTCTCCAATAACCGAGTCCGCGTCGTTTTTCGAAGGGCTGAAGCTACCTTGGCGTTTCTGGGCTGGCGGGTTGGCCCCAGGCTTGCTTCAAGGCTTTGCATTGCCTCCGCTATCTGCCAGAGGCTTGTCTATACCTTGAAGGCAGCCACTAGCCCGGACCCCAGCCAACTTCTAGTCCCCAATTGACAGCCGCCCGCTGCGCCGAAGGGGACTAGAAGCTGCGTGTCGTAAGTCGAGACTTTGGCCTGGTCGAAACGTAAAATTATGTGTCGCTTTCTTTGCCTGTGGGGAATATTCGAATGCTACCATGTGACGCTACAATGCCACGAGATAGCGTGCTAGATGTCAGGTTGTCAGCCTTGGGTCGCTTGAGCCAGCCTCTTTCTGCACCCAGGACATAAGTCATGATACCTTCGCCAAGTGAGCCTGAACCTACCAGTGGGTGTAGAAATAACGCACTCCACGCTGTCGCTGACACTTGGCGGATAGTCCTTGCTCATGCTTCACCTCTCCAAATATACAAGACGACAGCTTCCATCTGCAGATCTTCGCAGGCCGAAGTGCTGACAGTAGGGGGATTTTGATAGGCGCATGGTAAATACTATGCCTCACTAACCTGTGAGCGCGGGACTCGCATAGCAAAGCGACGCCCACATAATATAGCGAGGCTTCCTCCCATCCTATGTGTTCGAGATGTCGCGACCAAGCACTCCACAAAGCTTGGGGTTACGTATATCGAACAAGCAATCTGGTTCACCTTGTCCGCCGTCGCCTTCGGGTCTGCTCGAATTCGCGTTTCGGGGTATGGGCCGTCGGGCGATCGACCGCATGCTTATCCGAGGAATGCTGCGACATTGCGACACTGGATATCGCGACAGCAACACTCAAGTATGTTGCAAGCGAAGCGCGACAGGATTCCGAGAAACTGAAAAGCTTTCTAGGCGTGGATACTAGGATCACACTCGAGGCAGCGGGCATTTAAGGACTTTGGACAATTGAGAGGCTACCTTGCTGTGAGTGGCTGCTTTGAGAGCATGCGGTTCGTCGCCCATGAGTCAAGATTCCATCGCAACAACCATCCGAGGAATTGAAGCTGGTTGTGCGCATCGTGTTGGAGCGACAAATCAGTGGTTCTGAGCACATGTCTGATGTTTATTGCTGTACACCAGACGCCTCACTTGTTATGAAGAAGAAGGGAAGACACGACGCAGCGCGGCCTACTGGATGATCGTGTTTGCAATGGTTACAAGATAACGTATAGAAGGATTGAGATATTTGGGTGAGAGAGTCGTAAGGACCTTCGCAAAGAGATGGGGTGACCAAGAAGTAGGATATCCGTCGTAAGGCATTGCAAGCGAAGATTACGAATTAGTCATAGTGTGGTCATTAGACCCTAAGTATACATGTTAAAGGTACAGTCTATGAACCCACCTCCCCCAATGGCGCCTTCGCTAAACTGCTGTATGCTTGATAACGGATAGCGAGATCAATCGCTAGAGAGAGTCGCGACCAACAGGCTTTCGCTTGACAGAGGGACTTGATGAAACTTTCGGCAGGTCTGCGGTAATGTCCTTCATAGTCATGAAATCCTCGTCATCCTGTCGGCTCAGTTCCCGGTTCAACTTCTCTACAGTCGTCAATTCTCCCAACCAACGCTCCCCAGTTTTGTGATCGAAGTGTACGGGCTGAACTAATCCACTGTAGCGCGACATATCGTCTAGTGTTGGTGGATAGATGATAGTCGTCTCTCTACGTTCGAAGCCCTCTTCGGTTATGTACGGCTTTCCCTCGATGATCTGCGGCTCTGTGCGCCATTCGAATGGAGTTGCCGGAAGCGCTGGCTCTTTCTGAACTATATCCCACCATCTGTTCTTGCCAGTGCGGTTTGGCAACTCGTCGGCAGAGATTTCGATCAAACCCTCTCCATCGGGGTTGGGAATGAAGTGACGAGGCGGGAGGACTTCGGTCTGAAGAACTGGCTGCAGTCGGTGGTAATATGTATAGTTGTGAATCTCGCGGTGGATTCGTTGCTGTATGACCTCGTGCTCGTGTGGCTTGATGATCTCGTGGGTAACAGCTATCGGGTTGTTAGCCATGTCGAAGCCATTGAGTGAAAAAGAGCTTACCCGGAGCATATGCAATGTCCCGATCCATATCCACAGTATCTTTGAGATCCACAACGCCTTCAAGCATCGCTTGTTGTTTCACTTTCCAATCATGGCCACCATCCGTGCCCTGGTTGTCCTTCGTAATCGCAAGGCCTGGGACAGGCTTTACAGCCAGCGCATCATCACCGGTGGATCCTCGCACAGGATGGTCACTCTTCTTCAGGCCATGCTTCTCATTCGGAAAGCCCTCTCCGTGCGATCGAATGCTATTTTCAAAGCCGCCATCGCTGACTTGGTGTCTGGGGGGTTCGGATAGTGCTGCACGTATTGTGCTGCCAAGGCCACCGGTATCGATGGATCGCCTTGGGTGATCAGTGTGGTGATGACTAGAGGAATCTGCTGCCAGGTTAATGTTGCGTTGCAATGATCTGACCAACTCTGCAACGTACTTGGTATGGCGGGGAGAGGCTTCAAGCGCTCGGCATCGCTCGATGGCCTATAACGAAGATGTCTGTCTGGTACGCCTTGCTCGGCTGTTGGATCATCTTCAGAAGCTAAAGCAGGAAGATAAGATCTGTAGTCATCTGCAATGGATCCATTGAGGTCTGTGTTGGGCGATGCCACGGCATGATTTGCGCGTCCGTCATGGTAGGCAGAGTCCCGTGGTTGCCCTCGAGTGTCCGGGTGAAAAGCATCGTTGATGATTTCGGAGTGTTGTTGGCGACGATTGCGAGGTGAGACAGGGTGCTGCTCAGTACGCGGGCTTGTCTCCGCGGACTGTTCGTACGAGGCGCGAGGAGATTGCGTGGGTGTCGACTTCTTCCTCCTGTGGAGAACAGACTTGAGTTTTTCTTCGATCTTTTCTTTCATATCTGCAGGTCTGAGAGTAAAAAGGCGATAAGCGGAGGTGAGAGCTAGGGAGATGCCGATCTATTGTCTGATTTCACGAGGCACGGTGACAAAAGTAAGGGGGGATGACCTCACAGCACTTGCAGACAAACGAAATCTTCAACACCAGTCGGCAGGAACGAAGCCGAAGTCTGGAAAGCGTGCATACAACTAGCTAGGCTGCATCTTTGAAGCTTCTAGACAGTCGAACAAACGGCACGCGAGAAATCATACTCTGTAGCTTCGCTGACGCCGTGTCACAAACGACGGGCTGGAGTAGCACGGGCAGCAGTGCTCTCGCCTCGTATTCGCGGCGTCCGCGGGGCAGTCTAGACTTGTTCCTTCGGTGAAGCTCTCTCTCTCTTCTCGACTGAGGCTGTTCGAGGTGGTGGCACCAGCTTGATGCAGTTGGTTCACGACAACGGCATAGGTGGCGACTCAACATGACGTACACTGAGGTACTTGTGTTTCGCAGTGTACGGCTAGTATCTCGGAGTACCGGCGGCATGCATGGTAAAAGCAACATGCGTCTATTACTGCATTGGTATGTCATAATGGAGATCAGAGCGGCATGACGACAGGGAGGGGGGTCTGGTCGCGGGCGGCTCCACTGTTGATCAACTTAGCGTACCAAAACAATGGCGATCGTGTTAGCATGCCCCCCTAGTCGCAGCCAGGCCACCGGGACTTCTGAGACACCTGGAGATGGACACTGATTATGATGGGAATTGATGGCGTCTGTGATGAGAAAAAACGCATATGTGGTTTCTGAGATGTGCTGAAGTTGGCCCCAAGGTACTGCACGGACCTGCTGTCACCAAACGGCAGGAGCACTACCCTAGCGCCGATCCCTCTGACCACTGAGATGTCGGGACGTTCCTCCCCGAATTGGTCCAGCACTTGGACATTTTAAGAACCTCACCCAGAGTGTTGCGACGCTTTGAATCCTTTGTGATGGCCAATTCCTGTTTGGACGCGCAGCATGACTACATCATGGCAACTAGGCTGCGGTAGGCGTGGAACGACAGCACTGGGCGCATCATAGTGCCAGTTTGCATTGTCAAGCGTACCAGCATGGAGCGCCATGTTAAGCGCTACCTACCGAACTAAGGTCCCTGACGTATATCAGCTGTTTGTGGCGCGCTCCCCGCCAACCAATCGAGGCTGCTGGGAGCATCGATCGAGACCCGGACAGCTTCAATCCACTGTTGCTGCCCCACGATGATGGCTTCCGACCCTGTGAACAAGGAACGCAGTCAGCGACTGCCGCTTTTACCTGGAACACACTCGATCATTACGTCGTCGTGCGTTTGTCCCACTAGCGTTCTCTCTGTATAAGAAGGCACTGTAGCAGCGCCTTGGAGTATCATCATCATCATCATCACACTCATCACATCTCACCAATAACCAATCCACCACCCACACACCAAAACCACCACCTAACCAACAGCAACCACAAAACAATCAAAATGGACAAGGCCAAGGCAGCTATCACCGACTTCATGGGCCGCTCCGGTCACCACGACACCACTGTCCACGAGGCAGTTGCCCCCGCTGTTCAGCACGAGGTCATCAAGCCTCACGTACACGAGGAGGTCAACACTGCCATTGACAAGGAGGTTCACCAGGATCACTACCACCGCACTGTTCAGCCCATCCAGGACCGTGAGGTTCTCCCAGAGCAACACACTGCTAAGCTCGGTGCTGTTCAGCACCGCGAGTTTGACCACCGCGATGCCGATGCGACTAAGAGGGCTCTGATCGACGACCAAGCTCGCTTTGCTGACGAGCGCCGCATTGAGGACACCACCCACAGCCAGAGTGTTGCTCCCACCGTAGGCGGAGAGCACGTCCACCACGTAAGTTTGAAAACAACACAACAACACCCCACCAAACACTGACGTCATCTAGCACATCCACGAGACTATCCAGCCCGTTGTCCAGAAGGAGACTATCCAGCCCAACGTCGTCCACACCACTGTCCCCATCCATGAGGTTCACCATAACAAGGCTACTCACCATGAGACCACCGCTCTCCCCGCTATGACCATGGAGCAGTTCAAGGCTAAGGGCGGTGCTCTTACTGGCCGTGAGGAGCGCTACGACGAGTTCGAGGGTGTTCCCAAGAACATCGGCGGTGCTGGTGGTATCGGAGCTGCCGCAGGTCTCACCCATAAGACTGTTGGCTCCCACGGCCACGAGCACGCCCGCCACGGCGACTACGATGCTACCCCCAACCACCACAGCGATGCTGGTCTGAGGCAGGGTGGTCTTACCCACAACTCCACTTCCACTGGTACCCACAACCCTCTTGACCGCAACAACGACGGCAAGGTCAGCGCCAAGGACTTGACCGGCAGCCACTCAAACACTACCTCTACCGGTACCCACAACCCTCTTGACCGCAACAACGACGGCAAGGTCAGCGCCAAGGACTTGACCGGCAGCCACTCAAACACTACCTCTACCGGTACCCACAACCCTCTTGACCGCAACAACGACGGCAAGGTTGGTGCCGGAGACCTGACCGGTAGCCACTCAAACACCTCCCACACTGACCGTGGTATGGCTGGCCAGGGCAACCTGACCGGCTCTTCCACTCAGGGAGGAGTTGTTGGCAGCGGTGTTGGTGACCGCAACCACGATGGCAAGATCGACAGCCACGATCTCAAGGACCCCGCCCGCAGCGGTAAGTGCTTTTCCACCCTGCAAACAAGTTACATGCATACTGATATGGCACAGGCAACCACGGTGCTACAGGTACGAAAGATTCCAGCGGCCATGTGGTCGGCGGTACTGACAAGGGCCATATGGAGCACCGTCCAAATGAGGATGGAAGCTTGCCCAAGGCCCTTACCGAAGACCGCTCCAGAGCCGTTCCCCACTCCCAAGCATCAGAAGCGGAAGCGCAAAAACTACAAAATGAACATGAGGCCAACACTGAATAGGTCAACGCAAGCCTTCATTGATGGACAAGCTCAACCCTAGTAAGTATCATCATCTCATTACCATTATCTCGATTGTTCTCTGACCACTTCCACAGAGGTTGATGCCGACGGTGACGGCAAGGCTGGATTCATGAAATAAGTGCATTCTGCACCACGCGCGATCACGATGACTGCAAGCGAGATACCAAGGACAGCTTCCTATGACATTGTATAATTAGCCTAGTAATGAAGTAATCACTACAATCTTCCAAAACCTGTTCTTTACTCATGTGTGATGCTTTGTGACATCAAAGTACCCGTTCACCTATAGGTCGCCATTGATCAACTGGCTTATCGGTGGGTACTAGTACCACTCTGCCGCCACACCAGCCCCCCAGTTTCCCTTCACCTTCAAGGTTGATGTCAAGCATGTCCACTGATGCTAGTCCTGTCGCATCAACTTGTGGACAGTCGTGGCTGCATCAGTCAGCATTAGCAAGTGTCGAAGCTAGATAAACATACTACAACAAACTCAGATGGGGCATGTATTGCTCTTCTGTCCAAGCCCTCAACTTAGTCTCTTCCTCAAATCCATTGACATGTTTTCGACACTGGTGAGCTAGTTGCTTGATCCCCTCAGCTTTCTCGCACTTGATGTACAACTTCCGAAAGAAGACATCTTCACTACCTAGACGCTCGAATCTGACCTGTACACCATTTCCAGATGGCAGGTCGAGTGATTCAAGCCAAGCCTGAGGATCCGAGCCATACTTCGATGGATAGATTTCTGAAGTCAGAGTGACGTGGGGAAGGAAGCGGTGGAACTCCGAGTGGAACTGTTCCGATATTCCGTCGATAACATGCGGGATGACCTCGTTCAAAGGATGATCTACTGGTGGAAGCAGCCAAAGAGACGAGCCTGGCATCTTCAGGTATTTGCTAAGATATCAAGAACCGGAGGAGATGCAATGTCAAGTCAAGCTTCCAATGCCCTCGTAATGCCCCGCACGGTGGTTGGCCACTAACGCCACGTGGCTAGTGCCGGGTAAGTATCAGCCACACCCTGACGTCTGCAGCTGACTTGCATGTGAAAGTCCGCATCAAGTCCGACAAGCGTTCCCACATGCTCAATGGCACTACCTCTCCGCAGACGCGACGAATGAACATGCGACTTCTGATACCGCGGCACTGTCGGCCGATCACTATCCGAAATAGCTTTACGCCATGAATGAAGCGCTGAGCGTCGTGTCGGGGGCGCTATGGAGCTTCGTGCTGTGCTTCTTCGACGTGGCTTTCTTTTGGCAACGAGTGCGTCAGCTTCCCTCTGCTACTGAATGGCCATTCTGGGTCAATTGATGCATCTTCGGATAGAATGCTGATATGTTGAAGAAACTATACGCGTGGTGGGTACAGAAGAGCCAGAGAGATCTGCTGCTGGAAGCTATCAGCGATGCGCGGCTGTTTGAGGAATGGGAGGCTGCTGCGTACAAACTCGATGAGGTGCTCGACTACGACATGTGGTAAGCAGATCTTCCATCCCATTCCGAACGGAACCGCCCATACCGAACGACTGCTGACAATGGCTGCGTAGGCGACAGACCGCCATAAGCAAAGACTACGACCATCGCCTTATCCATCAGCGTCTTTCCGCCATCTACGAAGCTCAGGAAGACAACGACATACTTGGGCTCATCAACCTACTTCGCAGCGGTCTCGTTCGCAACCTCGGGAACATAACAGCGTCGAACTTGTACAATCGCGCATACGCAGGCACAAAACTGTTGATCGAAGACTATGTCACCCAAGTCGCATACGCCATCGAGAACCTCACCCAATACCCTACGTCGAGAAACTCGGATACCGGCTTGACGAACCAGGCGAAGCTGGATGTTCTCCATGATACAAGGCAGGCGTTTGGTAGATCTGTGCTGGTGCTGCAAGGCGGGCAGGTCTTCGGGATGTGCCATCTTGGTGTTGTAAAAGCGCTCCATCTACGTGGGCTGCTACCTAGGATCATAGCTGGGACTGCTACCGGTGCTCTGATAGCGGCGCTGGTGGGTGTGCACACCGAAGACGAGCTATTGGAGTTTCTCACAGGCAGAACTATCGACTTGACAGCCTTCACGAACCGACCATATAGGAAGGGCACAGGAGGAACCGCATGGATAGGCACACTGATACGTCGGGCTAAGCGATGGTTTGAAGAAGGGCACTTCCTAGACGTTGGTGTCTTAGAGGATGTTCTGAGAGCAAACGTGGGAGACTTGACATTTGAAGAAGCATATACGAGGACGAAAAGGGTGCTGAATATCACCGTCACGACAACTAGTGGTGGAGGTATACCAAACCTTCTGAATTACCTCACAGCTCCTAATGTTGTAAGTACTCGGTCGTCTCTCCGTGTCAAAGCAGCTGTTAACATTCTCAGCTCATCTGGTCTGCAGCCCTCGCTTCCAACGCCACAGCCTCCTCTACCCTCTACCATTCCGTAACAATGATGTGCAAAGACGAAGAAGGCAACATCGTCCCCTGGTCTCCAGCTTCGAAAACCACCTTTCGCCCCTACACACACGCTTCGTATCGAGAACGCGAGTCTCCTCTCCATCGTATCGGTGAACTCTTCAACGTAAACCACTTCATCGTCTCACAAGCCCGACCCTACCTTGCACCTTTCCTGCGCTCAGACTCACACCACCCCAACCCCAAACAAGACGGTCGCTGGCGACTAAGCATGCCCATACTGCGTCTCGTAGTTCTAGAGATCCAGCATAGACTACAACAACTCGACGAGCTGGGTTTGCTGCCCCTCTCTATCCGTCGTTTCCTCTTGGACGAAAACATCCCAGGACCAAGTCTTACGCTAGTGCCCGAACTCACACCAAGCGACTTTTTCAAGCTGCTTGAAAACCCTACTAAAGAGGCAATTGACTACTGGATACTAAAGGGGGAACGGAGTGTTTGGCCGGCGGTTACGGCGCTCAAGATCAGGTGTGCGATTGAAGTGGAGCTGGATAGGGGATACCAGCTTGTTCGGAGGAGGAAGCCTTTTGATCCTGTTCCGCCTGGTGGGGGCTTGAAGAAGAGTGGGAGTAAAGGGGAGGTGCATACTGCATATAGTTTCGAGGATGGTAGTAGGGAAAGAGAAAAGAGACATAGAGCGAGGGCTGCGAGTTTTGGAGGGAACGGTTACTCTTGAGCATGTAGTTCCATCCAAGTTTTCCTTCCTTCTTCGTTGCTCTTCTGTTGTACGCAAAAATGACTGAAGTAGTTTTACCGACAAGTTCGAGTTTTATAAATTGTATCTAGAACTTAGAATCCACCCTGAAGACATTCCCTACGTCAAATTTTATGGTTAGTTGATGCAAAATGCAGCGTATACCATTAGAACACCCTTAGGCTTAGGTACAGCCCAGAAACCGAGCTTCTCTGTATGGAAGCGTCGTAAATTGGCCTTACCTACCTGGATATAGTGTCATGCCTTGTATGAGGCATGTTTTCCGCTCTCAGCCTTACCCGTGGAACCGCCCTGCAGCAAACTTCCGCTTTAGCACGTCATTAACGCTAAAAGAATTCAATGTTTCTCAACAGTGCAGAGATCGCGTTTGAAGTACTAGTCGCCCATCCATCCGTCAATTGACGCCTTTAAAACACCTTTACTCTAAAGCAAACTTCAATTCCCTTCATATTACTTCCTTACTTTCCCCATTAACCTTAAACCTCCATCACAGCTTCCACAATGGCAACGTGAGCCCCACCATCCTACCCCGCCATGACCGCGCAACACTAAGAACACGAACTGACAATCTTGAACAGCAACATCACATGGCACCCATCGCTCTCGCGCGACGAGCGCAACTCATTCCGCAAGCAGAAGGGCTTCACAATCTGGTTTACCGGTCTCTCTGCGTCAGGCAAGTCGACCATTGCGACAGCACTTGAGCAGCATCTGCTACACCTCGGCTTCGCGGCATACCGTCTTGATGGCGACAACGTGCGATTTGGGTTGAACAAGGACCTCGGATTCTCGGAGAAGGACCGAAATGAGAACATTCGAAGGATTGCAGAGGTATGTTGTTCTGCGCAAGTTGCGACCGCACAAAAGTCCACCAGCTAACAATTCTGTTACAGGTCGCGAAGCTCTTCGCTGACTCGTCCACAATCGCCATTACATCCTTCATCTCTCCCTTCAAAGCCGACCGCAAGCAAGCTCGCGACCTGCACACCGTAACCACAGGCAAAGACTCCCCATTGGCTTTCGTCGAGGTCTTTGTCGACCTGCCACTCGAAGTCGCCGAGGCGCGCGACCCCAAGGGTCTGTACAAGTTGGCAAGGGAGGGCAAGATTCCCGAATTCACCGGCATCAGCTCGCCGTACGAGGCGCCTGAGGACGCGGAGATTCACATCAGGAGCGACCAGAAGAGTGTTGAGGACAGCGTTAAGGAGATCGTCGAGTACTTGCAGAGCAAGGGCTTGCTGGAGTTGCAAAAGTAACTCTCTAAATGAAGGGTATCAAGGTTTAAAGCGCTCGAGGATCACCAAAGTTCTGTCGCTGGCTGGATTGAATAAAGAATCGAACAACATTGGCCAGGTCCTTTGTCGATGCACAAGGGATCATCAAATCTTATAAGACTTCTGCAAACTATCACGTCTCTCCACACCTATCAGGGTTGTTACACAACTAACGCTCAGGTGCCATTCAAAATCTACACCAAGAGAATGACCGTGCGATAGTCTCTCTTACCGGGGCTGATAATCATACGCAGCTGTTCCACTAGCCGCAGTACGCGTGCATACTGTCGTCGCATCAAACTTTACAGATATGTTCACATACAGGGTTTTTAACAGGAGACATGAGAAGACGAGTTATTATGTTCGCTCCAATTACTGCATCAGGTTGTACAGACAGGTCTGGGGTTTGCGAGTCAAGAAAGGGATTTCTAATAGTTCGTACGGCACAATTGCAGCCAATGCTAACGATCCTACTGGCATTCTATGCCGCGATGGCAAACCTACTTGATCCTTACATCGAGCAAGAAGACCCGAAGGGCTGGTTCTGGGACCAAATAGCTTGATTCACATGCTATTGATTCTGAGACTCAGTATAGCCGTATTGGAGAGTGTTGTGCGTTACCTGGGTGTCATTGAAACCAACACCAATGGACACTCTCGAAGTCAATTGCTGAGAACCTCACGCCCAGCAATCACCAAATGAGCATACCCAACGATTGCGCAATGCGCGGAGCATCATCTCCGACGGGTCCGACGCACACATAGCAGTCCTTCTCCTCGTCCTTAGCCCTACAGGGCAGACCCAGAAGCCAACGGCTATCGCAGACATCAACCCGTGACTGCGTCAACAAGGCCGCATAATCTCGGGAATTCAATCCTCAAGATAACGCCATAGCAACTAAATTTACTCCGCGCACGGTGGGACATCGGCATACTCTCGCCCAATGCTGGCCCCTCGCAATCGAACACGAAAAGTCGAAAAAATCCCACAAAATCTCATCTCCGCCATCAAACCGTCCCTAGGTGGAGTCATTTGGCAACCCATTGGTACCGGTATTTGAAAGCGACATTTTGAGCGAATAGTCCCCACATAACGCTATATGTGAAATGGAGCTAAGATCTCAATGATGCCGCGTTGCGCCTCTCTTTAGCGACAATGATCCTCGATCCTAGTTTCAATGTCTTCAGCTCCGTGGGATGATATGTTACATTCTGGACCTTTCCCCATATTTTCGCGGAATTGGGGTGCGCGATGGGAATGGTATGTGAAAACCTTATTGAAGCTACGCGAGTACCTAGACCTGGCAGAGTCGTAATGAGGGGGGATGATGTGTCATTGTGGACTGGGGAACCTTGACCTTGTGATTGTTATTGTCGATATTGGTATCGGTATCGGTTGCAGTTGCAGTGCCGAAGCTGATTTTCGTGACGTTGACGTTGATGACTGAGGTCGCGTCGGCTGGGGAGTGGGGCGACTCTGGTCGCTGTAGGATATTGGTAAAGGGCGTCGCGGCTCGGCAGCGGGACGATGGAGACCGGTCTGCTGTACACGTGTTTGAACTAACCTGCATGATAGCAGGCTATGGTACGAAAGTCAGAAAAAGAAAAGTAAGGCTGCCAATGCAACTTGAAACGTTGGTACACCGTTGACGGCCGTGACGGGTGGCGTGTGGCTTATGCGTGCGTAGAAAAAGCAACAAAAGTCGGGCCGAAGCATGACGAGTTCAGAGAAAGCAAGCATACAAGCAGGGTACCGTTCCGGTTGGGGTAAAGAGGGAAAGAAGGACCCTGGTAACTGGTAGCTGGAAAGTGTATTGAATGCTTGGAAATGGGACAATGGTGCTGTTCGAAAAGGGAGAGCCCATGTGATTGTGATGACATGGGAGCAAAGCGCTTCTGTGACAAAAGGAAATACTCCGATTGCCTATCTACCTGCCCCATGTGATCCAATACCTCTATCTGCTCCCTGTAGTGGACTACTTTCTAGTAGCTGCGTTTCTCGGTCCGCAAATCACAACCTTCCGCCGAGATCCTGCTTGAGGACGTCTAGTATCTTCTTACTATCGACATCCTCGTCACCTGCTCCATCCTCCATTCGCGCAGTTCCACCACCCTCTTTCAGTCGTCGCAAGATCTCGGGATCAAGATCCTTCATCATCTCGTCGAACTCCTTCTGTTGCTCCCCCTCTAACATGGCATATTCTTCTTCTAACATGAACTCTTCAGGCAACTTCTCCATCTCAGCAGGGAACACATGAATGGTCGGAAATTCGAGGATAGTACGGCCGTGTAAGCTTTCACCCAGTGTGTGAGAAGAATCTAGAGGTATGAGGACGTGGCGATTTGTGCTCGTGTGTGGCTTTAGCAGAAAAATCCTATGTTGCCTATCGCCCATGGATTGGGTGCTTGGCCCATCATCGCGACTGTCTCGAGTACGCGGCTCTGCCACGTCCACTTGTCTTTTAGGGGCTCGTTCCTTTTGCTCTGTAGTAGGGGTTCCTCGTGCGGGGGAGCTTGGCTCTGGCTCCGCATTGTTGACCTCGAGCTCACAATCGACCTGGAGTCGCCGATCCGACAGGCCCTGATCCATCGAAGTGGGCGCAACGTCATCCTGCGGTTGTGGCGTAGATGTCGCTGGAGAACTTCCCCTATGAGGGGCTTCGCTGTTCAGCTTTCTTTTCTTACCTGTACCGTCTGTGCCATGTTGTACGAAGGGTTGTGCGTCTTTTATCTGCTGTGTAGAGGATGTCTCAGTAATCACACGTTTCTTGGTTTCATCAAACCATTCGACGGTCCATACTATGTTCCGCGAAGCCTTTCTGGACACGGGGATCAGCAGTGTTATGTGAGCGTACTAATGGCGGGAGGCTCACTTTGTAGCAGACATGTGCGACTTATTCTCCTTTTGCCTACTCATGCCTTTGGGTGCTTGGATGATCCTGACGCTAGCAGCGCTCTCGAGCTTACCATACGAGACGCCCGCTCGCTGGCGGCTCGATAGACCATCTGGAGGAGCGCTTCCAGCTGTGGCGCCAGCAACCCTCTCAGCTTTTTGGAGATTTCGTTCTATACCGGAAAGGAAATTGTAGTCGTGATCAATACCCTTTGGGGTTACCAGATCAGACTTTTTGACAAACTTTGTTGGGTCTCGCTGGCCTGAGCATTGCGCATTCTGTTGATGACGCTTGTAGCATGGGAGCGAGCATGTGCGTGCGCCACACCCAGGACATTTGTATTTGGACTTGTTGCTATGGCTAATTAAGATGTCAGCTTTCTCTGTCCAGTCTCAGCTTTGTTGCGCTGGCTAATCTCACAGGCAAGCAGCACAGTAATTAGGCCGATTACCGACGAATATCGTCCAAGTTATTACCCGTAGTAAGGAGGGAAATCAGCTAGACATACCATATACTGCATAGTTCATTGAGCAACATTGCATCTGTCATATCGCTCAAATAGTGGATACGAGTAACGCGATATCAGATCGCCAATACCTAGGCCGTCAGATCTGGCGCGCGACGGGGGCACGAAGGGAAATCACTTTCGCACCAAGGGTAGCGGGAAAGCCGTAGGCGTGAACAGGTGCAGGGAAGTTCTGGCGGTAGGTGCTGTTGATCGATACGACGCGTGTTCTGGCGTGTGAGACAATGATGGGTCGCGATGGAAAGTTTCGCACATAGGTCGTGATGTGGCTGAAGTCAGATATGGTCCCGACTAGAGATGCTACAATCGGCACCAGAATGCAGGTTTGCAGCAGTGGCAATCTTGCAGATCCACGCTATGGACAAATTCGCAACGTTTGGATCGCTGCTGCACGCAAGACTGCAGATGTTAGTAGCTATGAAAGTTTGTGTGGTTTGAATTAGCGTGACCCCAAAAACTCTGCTCACAGCTCTTCGTTTGTCTAGTGCAGATCTATCGCGACACTTTCCACTCGCTTGGTCACTGTACCCCTATGCGAAAATTCCCATAAACATCGAAATTTGCGGCTTATCCGTGGTCTCTCGACGAACCATAGTTGGAGCAGTCGCACGCCGCCAGCATACTCGCCAGGCTGTGGTCGACCGGGAACCCTTCCCTTACGTGCGTCGGAGTATTCTCCACGTCAAATTACGTCGAGGTCCACCGGGCGCAGATCAAACAAGACGACGACAGCGCCGATTTATGCGCTTGCGCTCGTCTACTGCTGTTGAGAGGCAATCGAGTCGTTCTCGTCGTGTCCGGCTGCAGCAGGTCTTGTCCTTGTTTGCGTGACCGAACCAGGGCGAAGCCGCCCGATTTGCCAGATAACATTACTGCCCGGTGTTTCAGCCTCAAGAATCGCAGCTCTTCTCCGCAAACCTCAGCGAACAACGAAGAGGGTCCACTACACGCGAGACTACTGTACGTGGCCACCACCTTTACCGGACTGTGGAGCCGATCAAGGACTCTGGTCGACAGCTCGACGGTGCATTTTAGACGTAACCCTCCTGCAGAAGAGCCCTCTCGCCTCCCACCTCCCACGCAAGATCAAACGTGCCTGGCGGGCCTGAAAGCGATCTTCATGTACCGCGTGCTGGGCAGCGACCGATAGCCACTAGGCGTCAGGGGTTAGGCTCGCCAATTTCTAAGCACTTCCATTCGCGGTCCGTCCGAGCTGCAAGTGCGGGAACTCTGCTCATGCATGCTGCTGCGAGGATGCACGCTGCAGACGTGCTCCTGGTGCACAAGGCTTGTGAATGATTCGAATCCATCCCAATGCGGTATTCAGCATAAGACCATTCCATACGGCGCTATTGCCACCGGCGGGGGTTCTCTGCTGAGGCCGCTGCACGCTCTCGCTGACTGAGTCGTGATACCACAGCTTCGGGTGCTTGACGTGGCTGCAGGAACCCTCGTCGCATGTGCAAAAAGAGAGACATCACAACAATGTACTTTGTGCTTTCCGACTCTTTGATTGCGGCCCTTGCTGCCGTCGCGCCGCTCGAGAAAGCTGAGCGAGCCGTTATTCAGGAAAAGCGCCCCTGACAGCGCCGTGCACCGTGCCCGGGGACGGACCCTGTAAAGGAACAGGGATATGCTTCTCATTTCCTCGAACCGAAACTTGTGAAAGCCACCTATGCTAGTCTTCGGGTCGTTCAACCCCCAGCATCCAGTCCGCGCGCTGCGGCAGAGCTCCCCAAAAGCCATGATTCCCCCTTGCTGCTACCCTCCTCTACTGCCCGCAGCAAGGTGACCTCGGAGCTCTCAATTGACGGAGTGCGTAAAAGTACTCACGGTCCGCTCTCTCTTGTTCTCGCGGGTTGCCTATCGGACTCCTTTACGTATCGCCTCATGTTTCTACAGTTATAGCTGTCATAATAATTACTGGATTCTTCCGCCTGCCGTTCCCTACAACCACACCCAAACGGCCAACTCGATAGGACCGACGTCGACGAACCCGCCAAAATGGCACCTTCTCTAAGTTTACGACCTCGTACTGGCGCCAGTGAGCGTCCTCCCACCAGAGACAATGCCGACCACAGCCTCATCATTCCGAGCCGGACTTCGTCGCTTCATTCGAGGATTACCCAGCCGCTTCCATCGACTCTGAATGTCAAGCAGGGCGCGAGGAGCCCAAAGACACTGACTCATGCCTACATGGTGTGTGGTGTTGGAAGGGAGCCATCGCAATGGGTGAAGGCGCCTGCACCATCTCAGGGCAAAATTGGGCATATGAAGGGTGCAGTGGGCACTTTTTGGCTTCCAGAGATTTTGGGAAGCAGCCCAAGACTTGAGCAAGATAATGAGATCGCGAGATCTCTGCATGCTGCGATGCGAGTATGTTGACACAATAATGCCATTGTCGTCACATTACTAACCCGTCCCGTAGGCATGCTTCCCTCACGATGTCGAGATCTGCACTGGCAGGAGTCAGCCTCACTGCGTACACCACTCATTTGTTCTGCAACAAGATTCTTCGCATACTCTTTACGGCATTGCGCTGCGCGTCTGGTCTCGCGCCGATGAGAAGAGGGCTGAGACTATCCGGGACCTCCGCAAACGAATTGAGCCCGACTTCTTCGACAACCCAGATGAGACATACTGGATCCCCTACTGCCTCAGCTTCCTCTCCCGATACCCCTTGTACAACCTTCTCGGTGACTACCTGCGCGGCATGTGGATTCACTGGAACAAGGCCACGAACCTATTCCACGCCGAAGAGGTGTCGCGCATTCTGAGCTTCCCCGCCCCTCGCCTGAACGACCTGGTTCGAATCGACATGAAGGACTACGCGCTGTGCTACCAGTTTCCATCCTCGCCTACTGGGTTCCAAAACTTCGCCATGTGGCCCCTCTTCACGTGTCTGTCAATTCCTAACATCGTTGGTGTGATAGAGGCTGCAGTGTCGCCCACACGACGAATCATCTTTACTAGTCATTACCCCGCTATGCTCACTATTGCAGCCGAGACTGTGCGCTTCTGCGTGAGGGTGTACGAGTGGAGCGGTCTGTATGTACCCGTCGTTCATGCGCGTCACGTCAAGGATCTGGTTCAGGAGCCGGGCCCATACATCCTGGGTGTAACGTCGGAATGCCGGTCGCTCTTCACTGCACCAACAGATGCTCTTGTTGTCGACTTGGACCGTAACTTCGTCCTAACCTCAAGCCCACCAACCGCCCTTACGGCGGGCCAAAGGACTAAGATGATTCAACGTCTGACTCAGGCTCTCAACGGCGAAGTGTCGCCCACCGGTGTTCCACAACATCTGCGATCAGCGTACGGTGGCGGCAAGCTTATCCCTGCTGGTCAAATCATCGTGATGCGTGGCGAGGTTGAGAGCATCCAGGACCCAGACTGGTGGACCCAGGATGCTGTTATGTCGGTTATGGACCACGTTTGCGAGAAATTGGTATGTACCCAGCCGCGCGTGTACTCGTCAGACCACATGCTAATATCACCTCAGGGTCGCAACACTGGAGTCAAGGCAATCTTCGGAGGCTCCGTCAAGAAGCCGCTGATGACCAAGGTGTCTATGCGCCACTTGAACGAGATTGTTCGCGAGCGCAACCAGTACTCGCGTGACGCGCAAGAAGCCTGGACAGACTTTATCAATCTCAAGCAGCGCTTGGATAGCGAGCTTGGTAAGGTTACGAAGCGTAACAACTTCTTGGTCGAAGAGCTCGAGAGCTGGAAGCAACAGTTCCTCAAGTTCCAGGCGTTCGCTGAACAACTCACCAAGGAGACCCAGGATCTCAAGGTCAAGATTGAGAACCACAAGCGCGAGAACCGCCGCCTTACCAGCCTCATTGATCAACAGAAGGATGATGCCGCAAGGCTCACTGTTCGTCTGTCTGGCACAGAGAAGCAACGCGATGATGCTCTGGAGGCGCTTGTACTGCAACAAGAGATCGCTGAGGAACTCGAGCGTGAGAGGAAGAAGAACAAGAAGGAGCTTGCTGCTCTACAACACACCAACGGTGCGATCATGCGCCAACGAGACGAGACGCAACGGGTTGTGCTTCACCTTCGCGCCCTTATCGAGGGCCAAACACATCACATGGAGCACATCGTCAAGTCGCTCAACCAAGATGACATGTCAAATTACATGGACGCTGGCTTTGAGGATGTACCTGAGGAGGATGAGGACGAGTTTGAGGATGCCGAGACACGTACCCAGACCCCGAGCCGTCGTTCCATCAAGGACAAGTCTGAGGTTGGTACCATCCGCGGCGTAGCCGGTGTTGAGAGCCGCCAGGAGTCAAGAGCAAGCACTGCGCAAGGCAAGCACCTCGATGGCGAGGACGTAACACCAGACATGGAGCAGCGCCTATACAACAACCCCGCACGCAACTCCAAGCGCTTCTCAAATCAGTCCATGGTCGACGTCGCCGACCGTGTCCTTCGCGACAAGACCGACGCGATTGCGTACATCATCCGCAACATCTCAGAGCAGTGCGCTGCGGCTGTAGAGGGCCTTCAGCTTGCTCAACGTGCCGACACAGAAGATGACAATCACAGCGATCGCCGCAGCAGCGTCGGCCAGCTGTCTTCAGCCGGAGGCCGCGCACAATCAACCATTGGCAGCGAGTATGGCGACGATGACAACATGCTTCGCCCCAACCGAGGCTCAAGCATTCCCCCAACGCCCGACCTAAGTCACAGGTCCAGCACATCCATGTCCATGGCCAGCGCCAGCACAACACCAGACCGTACAAGCCTACAGCACCGATCGCACGACATTCCTGTCGTACCAACACGCATCATTGAAGACGAAGATGATGTAGACGACAATGATGTCCACGCTGACATGATCCCTGTGTCCAAGTACGCGACGCCACTCCAGCGACCCAACACTGCTGTACGCCACAACCTCCGTTGAGCACGTTGTCGCCGTTGCTTGCCCCATTCTTCCTCTGTTTTGCTTTATCATTAGCGATCGAAACGAGATTAGCATTGATGCCCTTTTCCTTACCATGTCACCTAC